TGCATATTAAATACTGCTATAAATTGGTTTTTGAAAATGCTTGATATGTAGGTCTGTAGCCTGGTTGGAGAGAAACAACATCCAATCTGATCATATATAATGTTATTCTCTATGGCAGGTACAAAAAGAGAAATCAAAATTCAGGCATGCCTAAGCGCGCCTGAGAGCGTCTCAGGCGTACCTCTGTTTAGCGATTGTTGCTAAAGCCTTACGCCAAGTTATGGAGGCGTACGCGTGAAATTGCAGAGGGGAGAAGAAGACGATGAAATCTAACTTTATTTCTCTCAAAACGATCCCGTATGGTACGGTACAGCTTTTGTTTTTTATATTAATTAGTCCCTCCCGTGGATATTCAGATTTCCCTTTGTTTCAATTTTGACTAGCTCTCAGCTATATCCACCCGCATATTTCTAACGGAAGCCTCTCTCTCTCTCTTTCAATCTATTCAAACGAGATGTGAATCCTATCTTATAAATTTGAATTCGTATCCAATCTATAACTGTCTAAATCAGTTTAGGGCTTAAAGAGAGGCTTGAGATGTTTCAATTTATGAATCAATGAACATCAACAGCAACTTCTCTACCAGTAAGTGAACTGATACAGTCAAATGAGTTACAGAAAGATGGCAAGGAGACAAAGCAAACATGTATCATTATGGTAAAGAAACCTCCCCCGTTCCTGAATTAATTATGTCAAATTAATCTTCTTTTGGATATTACTTTTCACTCTCTTTGCTTCCTCTTGGCATTACTCCATTTTAGCTTCTCTAAGTCTACATGCCCACCAGATTTGCAGCCCAATGTACTTGGTACGCCTTTCATGGCGGAGAAAGTAAGAAAGATATCTTCTTTAAAAGGAATCCTCTACTTTGTTTTTTTCTCTTCTCTGGTAATAATAATTCAGTTTGCAATTATCTTTTGTGCAGGAGCTTCTGGCTGCAAAATCAGCCAAATTTGCTGCCTTACTCAAGGATAATTCAAAGGAAGATCTTTCTCATTTCCTCAGAAATATGCCAGCTGACCCCGAAACTCTTGAGCTTGTTGCCAGATTCTACCATGGCTTTCAACTTCAAATTTCTACTGAGAAAGTTGTACCCCTCATTTGTGTTGCTCACTACTTGGAGATGACAGAAAATCACAGCAAAAACAATCTTTTGGGCCAGGCTCTTTCTTTTTTTCAAGAAACAATCCTCCCCAGCTGGAATGAAACTGTCAACGCTTTCCGAACCACAGAAAAGTTCCTTCGACACTCCTTGAAGCTTGGATTGGTTGAGGCCTGCATGAAATCTATCATTACAAAGGCACTAGCTAATCCCAGCCTTCTTGGAGAACCAATCAAGAATTCGACCAAGTATGTGGATGATAGTGAGGAGGAGGACCAAGGCTATAAGCCGAGTGCAAGGAGAAGACTCTTTGACCTTGATTTTAAATCGGAGGATCTGACAACACTGTCCCTCGAACTCTATGAGCCAGTCATCCATGAAATGAATAAGCATGGAGTTCCATCACCGTACGTGGCTGCATCCCTTTGTAACTATACAAAGAAATGGGTTTTATCTGGCAGTGGAGAGGCAGTCAAGAGTAACTACAAAAAGGAAATCCTTGAAGCTGTGGAGAGGCATTTGCCTCATGAGAAAGGACTTGTTCCATGCACCTTATTGTTCGAAATCCTCCGGTTTGCTAATGTTTTGGAAGTTAGCTCTGAATGTAGAAATGGGATTGAGATTAGAATCGGAAAACAACTGGACCAGGCAGCAGTCAAAGACCTCTTAGTCCCTTCTCAAGGCTATTCCAAGGAAATGCAATATGATATTGTATGCGTGAGGAGGATATTGAAAGTTTTCTATGGCAGTTACACTTCGTCGGACATATCTGGGCTAATTGCAGTGGCAGAACTCATTGAGGATTTCTTGGCCGAAGTTGCAAGTGACATAGATTTGAACATAGATACATTTGTTGACTTAGCAGAGATGTCACTTGCAGCATCATTGGGAACACAAAGAACCTTGGATGGAATATACAGGGCAGTTGATATCTACTTAGATAAGCATAGGCACTTGACAGAGTCAGAGCGAGAGGAAGTGTGTCGAGTTTTGGATTTTCAGAAAGTGTCCCCTGAAGCTTATGAGCATGCTGCTAAAAATGAAAAGTTGCCTTTAAGGGTGGTGGTGCAAGTGTTGTTTGCAGGGCAGTTGCAGCTGCGAGACAGGATCCTGAAGGAGGTGCAGGATTCTGATGACAAATCAACAAAGGAGGAAGCGGAGGAGAATGAAGCAAAGTTGGACTTTGGTGAAGAAGAAATGAGATCAGAGATGGAGAAAATGAGCATGAAGGTAATGGAGCTTGAGAGAGAGTGCAATATGATGAGAAAAGAGATTGACAATGGCGGCAGCCCTAAGGTGAGGAAGGAGAAAACTAGCTTGTGGAGAGAAATGAAGAGGAAGTTTGGGTGCGTCAACAGTGTGCACGATTCTGACTGCCAATTGAAGAAGAAGAAGATGCATCCAAAACAAGGAGTCTAACATGTAGATTCTTCTTCCATCGAAGATTTCTTTTGCAAATATCTAGTTATTCATTGATTTAATTTTTTTCAGCTTCAATCATTGACTTTCTGAATAATCATTTTTCAGCTTGGTTGCCAAGTAGATTGCTCTTCATAACTAGTACTTTGTACCAAATTTTAACTCAAGAAGGACTCATGAAATGACCAACCAATTCTCTTATTGTTAAATTATGCTAGAAAAAGTAGAAGTATTATCGTTCTCTAATAGCAGTTTAATTTATCAGTCTGGATTTCATGGCCATAGATGCATAATGAGAAAGCAAGTCATACAAATCAAGAAGCTTAGTTTGAACTTCATTATAGAAAGAAGTTTACGTTCTCGAAAGAAATTGGACAATATGCAAAGAAGCTTAAGAAAACCAAATTACAACAAAGAAAATCTTTCCTCTAAGTTAGTTCCCTTTCTAGCATCATACTACATGCATATATCACTCTTGCAAAATACTTTACATGGGTCCAAATTACCTCTACAATCAATTCTGTCCCCTTTTCTGCTTCAGATATCATTAGCCTGGTCACACCAAGAACACACTCCAAACTCTCCTCCCCACATATATAACATCCTCGAGCTTTCGTTCCCCGTGGCAAGAGAAGGAAGTTATACATGGTTGCATATGATTCTTGCCTCCTTTGAAGCCAATTAATTCTCTCCATTCCATTTCATTCAATTCCATGGTAATTGCAATGAGACTAGTCCATCGTGAAGATACATATATCAATTACCAGATGAGCACTACTTGGCAACATTCATATTACGATAAAGAAAATCAAACCATCAATCTCAATGGCATTTCACTATCTGCAGAGCCAACCGAATCATTAATCCCATTATGATTTTCCATGTCTATGGTTTGATGATGGTTTTCGTTTCCTTTCTGCCCTCCATGACCACCTTGATCTTCATCCCCCATCACAACCACCCCTGCAAACTGCACCTTGCGTTCACCATCAGGGGAATGCACAGGGGACTCTGCAGCTGATGCATTGCCAGCTGTGAATACGTCACTCGTGTTCGGGATGGTGGCTGCCCGGCTGCTTCCTGCCTTGGCATAATGGTCGCTGTCTGCAGTCTGCTCGCCTTCGGGCTTAAAGCATCTATAGACACATGTGAAGAGCCAAAAGGCCCATGGAATTGCCACAAGTACCATGCCAACAAAGGGATACCACGGGTGGGATTTTTCTTCAGGTAGAAGCATGTAAAGGAAAAGAAACACTCCACCGGCGATAATGCAGAAGAAGAAGACTGCGGAGATGAGAGAGATTCTAGCATCTCCTTTTCTTTGCTCCATCGGAGGTAAAGAAAGACAGAATAGGATCCTTTCTCTGGGTCGAGATCGATGATGTTTTCTGAGTTTGTGTAATTATGTTCGTGTTTTGTTTTTGATGTTGTTGCTGTTGTTGGTTAGACCGAGTTGAGTTGGTGCCGGAATCTAACAAAGTGGTGGATGGAAATTATGGAGGATATATCCGGTGGTGGAAGGTTTCAAAACAGAGCGGTGAAACCGGGGCTGGTTTCTAACTGCAGTGCATTGTGAATAACTGAATAACAAGTTTTATTCATGTCCAACAAAAAAAAAGTTATATTTATATAGAGAACAACACCAATTTTCTTTTTTTTTTTTTTTTTTTGTTTGGGGAGATAGAGAATACCTTAACTCAAAAGAAATATCGACAATGTATCAAGTACTATATACAGTTAATTATATATCGACAATATACTAAGTACTAATACAGTTAATTATACGAGTAGCTAATCAGGCTCTCTTTCCTTGTTTTATGCTTTCAGTCTTACTTTGTTAATTGAATTACTAAAACTACCCTTATTTAGTTTTTGACTTTCTAGGACTTTCTAGGACTCTTGCTAACTCATTGTTGAGTTGAGAGAGTACACTACCAAAATCAAGGCCATCTTAATTTAGGGACCCTTTTATTAATAAGGACATCAAGACAATTCGATTATTTGACGCACAACATTGACAAAAATGAACCTACAAAACTATAGATTTCTTGTAGTTACACATTAAAAAAATATTTTTTTTTCTTTCTCTGATGCCAAGACTTTTGGTGTTGCCGATCATTTCTTGCCGTGTTTGTGTATTGAGCGTATGACTCACTGCAAGTCATGTTATTTCATTGAGTCGAAGTCCCAATTTTGTTATAACATTTCAAACCTAAATTTACCCCTAAAAACTGAAAATAAATAATGTCAAGGAAAAAACGGAAATTGTCCCTTCCCCAAGCTGTCAATAGAACCCAAGATACAGAGGTCCATAGCATATAAAAAACACAACGGATTTCTTTTGAGATCTTAATAACATCTCCAGAACATGGTGGTGACCACAAATACTTATAAAATTTTACAAGAGAAATATGAAAAGAGAAACATGCTAGACAAACCAGACGAGACTCAGCATCAAACAGTTTGGCACCGTGAAGAATCAAGTAGGAGAGCCCCATCCACCACCACCAGGAGTTAAAATCTGAAGAATTTCCCCCGGCTGCACTTCAACTGTGTTCTTACCCCCCAGGTAAACCCTTCGTTTATCTTGTGTGATTAGGAAATTAGCCCCACGAGCCCCGTCTTTCCCTCCTTTCAATCCCCTTGGTGTGTGAACACGCCTCTCTGAGAGAATGCTCACAACAATTGGACGCTTGAACTCTATCTCCCTCACAAGTCCATCACCCCCTCTGTGATATCCAACTCCCCCGCTGTTCTCTCTCAGGCCAAATTTATGCAAAAGAACAGGATATCTCTGCTCAAAAATTTCTGGATCAGTCATTCGGGTATTGGTCATATGACACTGGACTCCGCTTGTCCCATCCCAGGTCGGACCAGCTCCACTTCCACCTCCAATTGTTTCATAATAACCAAATGTCTCATCCCCAAAAGTGAGATTATTCATACAACCCTGTGAACAAGCACAAGCCTGAAATGCAGTAAGTACAACATCAGTTATTCTCTGAGAAGTGAGAACGTTACCACCCACCACAGCAGCTTTATCACTTGGTGAGAGAAATGAGCCTGGTGGAATATAGATTTTCACAGGAGCCAAACAACCTTGATTGAGAGGAATATCCACATCCACCAAGCAGCGAAGACAGTATATAACTGCTGCTGCTGTTACGGCTTCTGGAGCATTCCAATTCCCATATACTTCAGGACTGGTTCCACTAAAATCAAAATTTGCTTCACCTTTATCAGAATCAATGGTAAGTTTCAAATGAATAATGGATCCATCGTCCATGTAATCCTCTTCTTCAATAGTAACAGAACTCACATCTCCAGAACTAGACGGCTGAGATAAAACTCTAGCAGCGACAGACTTCAGCATTTCCCTCACTGCTTCTTCTGCATTCAGCTGTACATAGGTCATGTAAGCCTGAACAGTGTCCAAACCATACTGCTCAATTAGCTCTTTGATAAGGGTAATTCCTCTCTTGTTTGCAGCTACTTGAGCTTGAAGATCTGATAGATTATCTTGAAGCCTGCGAGTTCCAGGGATCTTTTGAGCCAATTCATCAGAACAGGGGAATCGAAGAAGTTTAGTGATTCCTTCTTCTTGAAAAATCTCCTTTTCCACAAGCTTAAAAGCTTTTAAGGCAGCCCCTTCTTCCCATATAGACTTGGAAAAAGGTGGCATGCTTCCAGGAGTGATACCCCCAATCTCTGCATGATGCCCTCTACTTGCCACAAAAAACACCAGCTTTCCATTATCGAAGACAGGTGTAATAACAGTTATATCAGGAAGATGACTACCTCCGGCACAAGGATGATTCGTGACCAAAACATCTCCTTCACTCAAATTGTCACCCCAGTAGTTGATCTGCCACCGAACAGTACTTGACATTGCTCCTAAGTGCACAGGGACATGAGGGGCATTAGCAACTAGTCCCCCATCAGGTCCAAAGAGGGCACAAGAGAAATCTAGTCGTTCCTTGATGTTAGTTGATATAGAAGTTCTCTGCAGGGTCCTTCCCATCTGTTCAGCTATACCCATAAATCTATGATTGAAGATTGAGAGCTGCACAACATTAGCAACTTTTTCCACTACTTTCATGGTGCTTGAAGTAGAGTCAATTTCAATTTTAATGTTACCATATTTAGTTATTATAGCTTTACAGTTAGGTTCTACTATCACAGTACTATTCCCGTTCATGATTATTGCCGGACCAGCCATGATATGCCCATATCCCAGTTTCTCAAGCTTGTATAGAGGTGTTTCCTGCCACCCATTTCCAAAATATACCTTGTAATTACCTTCAACTTTAGGAGAACACGAAGTACGTTCTAGAGCCAGGGGCTTCAATATATTAGTGACTCCTACACCGCGAACCCTAACATCACATATTAGGATATTCCTATTCAGTAATTTAAATCCATACTCCTGCTGGAATAGTTCCACAAAGTCCAGATCGTAGTTACATCCTCTCCCATCTTCAGTAATTCGTTTCTTAACCATGATTGAGGTGTCTGTACCTTCATATCTCAAATTCAGATATGTCTCTGTTGTCATATTTTCATCTCTAAAACCTTGCTCTTGCAGCTTCTGCCTTATTTGAATCAGTAAAATAGCTTCTCTGTGAGAGGCCTCCTGAACCGATTCAAGACTGTAAACTGCAGAGTATGGCTCCTGTGCCTCTTCTACAACATCTGCCAATCCCATCCCATAAGCACTTAAGATTCCACAGAACCTGTGTATAAGTACTTCTTTCATACCCAATGACCTAGCAATTGCACAGGCATGCTGAGGCCCAGCACCTCCAAAGCAAGCAAGGGCATGGTTCCTTGTTTCATGGCCCTTCATCTCAGTTAATTGCCTTATTGGACGGCACATAGTCTCATTGGCAACATTTACAAATCCTAGTGCTATCTCCTCCACGGTCATGTCCTTTGCAGATGGATCCTGGCTCTTTCGGTAGGAATTTATTTGCCTTGCAAGCTTGTCAAACTCGTCTCTTGTTGCCCTGATATCTAGAGGCTTATCTTCATTGGGGCCAAATATTGATGGGAAATAATCAGGAATTACATATCCCAGAACTAAGTTTGCATCTGTAACTGCCAACTCCCCACCTTTTCGGTAACACACTGGACCAGGATGTGCACCCACTGATTCTGGTCCCACCCGGAAAGCTCCAAACTGGAACTTTAACTTTGACCCGCCACCAGCAGCTACAGTACTTATGTCAAGCTGAGGTGCTTGTATTATGGCACCGGCAATCTGGGTTTCCAGGACTTGTTCATAAGTCCCTGCATAACGGCTCACATCTGTAGATGTGCCACCCATGTCAAACCCAATGAGAGGTTTCTCAGTTTCAAGCCCAAAAAGTGTCTGTGAGTAACCCACAACTCCACCAGCAGGACCAGACAAAACAGCTTTGTGACCTGAAAATCGACTTTCTGGTGCAAGTCCACCGTCAGATTGCATAAACAAAACATTCACCTTCTCTACCCCTTCATCAAATTTAGACATGAACCCTGATAGGTACTCTTTGATCACCGGCGTCAAATATGCATCAACACTAGCTGTCAGACCCCGAGGAACAGCTCGAACCATGGGTGTCAAAGCTGAAGACAAGGAAACATGTCTGAAGCCCAAACTCTCAGCTAGCCTTTCAACAGCTACTTCATGCTGTGGGTAGGTGTAAGAATGCATTAACACGACAGCCAAACAGCTAATCCCCTTCTCCAACAAACCTTGGAGTAGAGGCTTCAAAGTTTCTACATCAATAGGCTTTACAACTTTAACCATCTCACCAGAAACTCCTTTAACTAACGACGCAGAAGAAGAATCTTGATTATCATTTGCCAGCTCAACTCTCTCGTCAACCTCAACAACCTCCTCATAAAGGTTTGACGGTTTTGATACAGTGAGATCAAATATTTTGGGACGAGCCTGGTTACCAACCTGGAGCAAATCCCGGAAACCCCGAGTCACACAAAGAGCAATCCTTTCCCCTTTTCTCTCCAAAAGTGCATTTGTTGCCACAGTTGTACCCATCCTTATCCATTCTATCTTATCAGTCGGTATTTTTGAAGCACGGGAAATTTTCTTCCCAGTAAACTCTTCAAGAATCCTCCGAATTCCTTCAACTGGAGCATCGTCATAGTTTGATGGATCAACAGACAAAAGTTTTAAAACTTGTCCATCAGGCTGACCTGGGATCTCAGCAAAAACATCAGTGAAGGTTCCCCCTCTGTCAATGCAAAATCTGAGTTTGTTGTCATTGGCACTCCCCATTTTTATGCTAAGAGATTAGACCTGAGACGACGCTGATATGGAAACCTAAAGATCAAAAAAAAATATACAGATGATCAATTATGCTAGTAATTTCACATGCACTGAGCCAAATTGTGGATCAGATTGGACAGAGCATGCAATAATTCGCTCAACCCCCTACGAATTTCGATCTGGATCGAGCGTACCCAATCGCGGTACGGTATCAATCTGGAACGAAAGATTTAACGACTCAGTTCCAGAAGAGAGAACAGTACCTGATAGACGACAGAACACTACCAGACCGCCAACAGCAGACGAGCAATGCTATAGCTGATGAGCCCACGTTTGACTCTTGCTCTCTTGGCACAAGGGGAGGGAAGATATTGGGTTCGGAGAGGATTTACTTTTACTGCAGTAAAATACTATTTTAGTTATTAAAAAATATATATATTTGTTATCCTGCATAAGTTAACCATTATTAGGGTTGGAGCCATATGGGGGAATTGGTATGATACAGTGCATGTTTGTTATCCTGGTGGTCCTCATTCGTTAGTTTCATAATGATGACTAGCCTCTCCGCAGGCGTGGAGGGTTTTTAAAAAATTTGTTTTAAAATATATTTTAAAATTAAAAAAGATAATGAGTAGTTGTATTCTACAAAAATAGAATTCATTATCTAATTTTTCTTTTAATTTTAATTTTTTTTAATATAAAAAAGTATGAATTTACCATATTATCCTAATTTAATTAATAATTTTAATTCTTAATGTTTGGATTAACTAAGAACATTTTTTGGTATTTTAAATGTTTCACCATTCTCTGCCTTTTGCATTATATATATAGATGACTAAAATGTGTAAGATAAATTGATAAATGATTTTTCTTTTTAAATTAATTCGGCCTAAAATGACTTTACAGCCATAGTTAACACAATCCATATATACAGAACCTATTGGTCCTAGAGACCTAGGCCTTCACAGTAATGCAGTGTATATAATCATCCCTACAACCAACAAAAATTCTGCCACCAATCATTACAGGTGAAGAAAATACATCTCCTACGAGGTCCAGTCTGGAAAATTCCTCAACATCTATCGGTTCATTTGCCACTTTGGCGACACCCGAGTTAACCCGAAGCAAATAGACACTTCCTGAGCTGGAACAGATACAAACCAACCTAGAGAAAAAAAAAGAAGGTTGTGGATCAATATGAAAATTATCAGGTAAATGTTCAAGGGTCTTTCAAGAGCTTTCTGTAGTTCTTTACCTGTCTGGCAAGTTAGATCGATCAGATACCAAGCTTAAGTGCTCATCCACATAAGCGGATGAAGTAATTGGATCCTTAACATTGTATTGCCAGAGTAAATCTCCCGTTTCCTAGAGCAGTGATCAAATGTGCAGTTAGTTATAACTTATAATAAACTGAATATGAATAAATTAAGTTCTTTTTTTTTAAAACAAGATCTTGGGAACATGATGGCAATTCATAATCTATTTTCCAAAATGTCTACTAGAACAAATTAGAAAATTTAATCATATTACAGAATGGTTAAATCATATTCCTACTCCTACTGTTCCTTATTGAAGAATGTTGAGGGCACATCTTGATGGATACTGGAAGTTGGATGGGCCAAACCTGACTTGCAAAGACTAACTGATCTACTCAGAAAGTAAACCATTCATGTGTGATTGATAATTTTACTATAAATTCTAATGAGGAAGTTTCTTTGATAGGAATTTCGAGGGAGTATGAATGATCACAGAGCCATTGATAAGACCACGTAAAAGTCATGCCATTAACTATGTTGATTCAGACATTATACTTGGATCTCAAACAAAAACATATATAAAAGAATTGTGCAGATTTTCATCCATAGCAGATGCTGGGCCTTACCAGTTCAAGTGAGTAGATGCTTCCATCTCGAGAGCATATGAGTGCCTGCAGAATCATAACCAAGACAAAAAAAACATCTTTAATATCTTAACAACTGCTCCTTCAACATGGTCTAAGCAAATTCTACACGTGGTTGGGGGAAGTGGTGCTGTGAATTGACATGTAAAACTTAAAAAATACAGCAATTATTTAATCAGATCTGGAATTAATATATGAAAAGATATTAGACCACATATCCAAATATTTTCCCAACATAAAACTAGAGCACATGGCCAATATTTACTCTCATTTCTACGCTACGAACATTCACTTAAAAAAACATTCTGACAATATCAAGACAGGTACAATTATAATGATTATCAACCAATTTTAACAGGACCTCAGCTTTTCATATATTCATTTGCTTTTCTCTATTTGGTTGTTGCAGTGGTTACAATTACAAGGTTTGTCATAATCCTGCCTCAGCTAATCCAACTATAACTTGGAAGTTCCTGAAAACACCCACTACTTAAGCTTGCAGATGCTTCTTATTTTTCTCAGTAAGTCCATGGTTTGCTTTATGTACCATCAAGGAGAACGTTTAGCAGACTCAAGAAAGATAATAAATTATGAATTAGCTACAGAACATTGACTCCATACTACATACCTGAAAAGGAAGAGCAGAAGACATGCAGGCTCCAGCAAATATAGGTCCAGCAGTTCTATACTGTTCAATAATATCATAAAAAAGAAAATGAATTATGAATTGCAAATGACCACGACATACATGTTAGAGGATTATACCACATATAGGCAAAGAGCTGCATCACTATATATCCTTGATCTAATCTAACAGAGAACTTCAGTATGGTGCATTTTCTGTAGAGGAACAAAAACTATGGAGGTAGTAGAAAACTCTGTTCACTAGATTCAAGAATTGTTTTTGAGTTTGCTCTTTCTCATGACTCATGGTTCGTAATACACTGAGTTTCTCTTTCAGATGACTCATAGTTAATAATACAAAGGATGTATAAAATACATACAAGTATTATTTGGTAGATTCATTCAAAAATACGTTGTGGATTCAGCCATAAAATATGCAAACAGAACGTTCAAAATAAAAAAATTTGTGTGCAATACATAATGAAATATATGGAAATTGGAAACATATATTTTTTGTGTCAAGTCAAATTCATATTAAAATTAAATTCTTATTTTAAGTAAAATAACACACTCATGTCGACGATTTAGATGAGTTAAAGTCAGAAGGTCATACATCTTGGTAGAGAAAGGTGAGGATTTTAATTTTAATTTCATTATTTTAATTTATTTTATAGGGAAATGTATTCAATCATTGTGCTTGAAAATACAAAAAATGAACAACTTAATGCACTTTATCAAATCTCCTTTACTCTGTTAAGGTTAACGAGTCTAAAAGTCACATTGCACAATTCAATGTTAGAGGGCAAGAAACTTATGGGTCAGTCATTTCCACTTTCAACTAAGGTTGCACCCAGAGAATGAAGTTAGGGAAGGATTAAGCAAAAACATGTAAATAAAGTATTAAATAAAATTGTACCCTCCAAATAACAGATCCACTTGTATCCAATGCGAGAACATGACCATCCACTAAGCAACATATAACTGGTAGTCAAGAAACACACAAGATAATGTAAATCATGATATCAAATTATTAAGATAAATGAGAGAGCTTTCACATATCACAAAGGATGGATATATAGCCAAACAGTCAAATGAACTGCACATACTATTTCCATTCAGAGAATTGATGGCAAGAGAACCAAACACTGGTGCTTCTAGCTCATGCAGCCACAGAATAGAAAATGGGAATGCCTGAAGTTGTAAATAGATTGGCCAAATCAATAACAAGCTTGCAAGCCAAATAAATATTCAACTTTAATAAATCAAAACAATGCATTTTTTTCCTTCTTTTGAGCAACGAAGGATAGTTGGGACATAATAAGCTCAACAGCCTTATATGGGAATCAGTGCTAATACTTGAACACTAAATCTGGCCTAGAATGGAATGAACTTGAGGGAAAAGATTGTGACTCCTCTCAGAAACTGAGATATGGAAAGCATGCGAGCACATGATTAGATAAATTCTATATCTGGTATTAATTAGGTCAATGAATTAGCAGAGATGGCATGGCAGACCACTAGGTTAACAGTTGTTGCCACAGGGGAGACTTTGAGGTCCACCTTTTCCTCCATTTCACTTTCTTTCCTACTCTTTTTATTCCCCTTTTGTCGAAATATTTGTAATGTTCATTGATTTTGAGAAACAAAATGATATAGAAACAATCATGAAGGGAAAGGGAGTGGCACCAATTACTATTGATGCAGGTCATTGTCTAGCGCTATTTAATATGATAAGTCAAGGTGGCTTCAGAGGTAATAGTAAGTGCATTTGTAGCTGTATTCTACCTTCTAAAACTTTGTTTAGAGGTATGCAAATAAATTTTCTTACATTTCCTATGAATAAATTTCAATTCTCTGATTTAGCATGTTTTCCAAATCCACTCACAAAGACAAGGTTCACCGTTTAAAAATCACAAGCAAGAACTACACGATAAACCTTGAGATTTGTTATACCGCAATTGATATGGCTGTCATTTGGCCACTCGTAGAAGCCACATAAAAGTATATTATTCACTGCAAGCAAAATTACTAAGAAGATCACATTTACTGACAAGCAGAGTCGACAGATTATCACAGTTTACTGACTGACAAGAGTACAGTACTATACCGTGGAACGGCCAGTTATATTTATCATTACTTTCTAAAAAAAAAAGGCTCATATATTATTTTCGCTAAAAAAAAAAAAAAAAAAAAATTAAATATCCGAAAATGTACCAAGCATGCTGCAGTAGATTTTCCCTGGGGAAAAAATTAGCAACGCACCTCATCAATTGCAGGTGACCCATAGATACTCCCACCACATGGAAGCTGATATACACAGCAATGGTTTTTGTAATCTAGAGCATACAAGTTATGGTCATATGATCCACACCTGCAGAAAATTTGTTATAGATCATTCTCCTTCTTTCCCCTCTTCCAACAGAAGAGAAGCAAAAATAAAACAAAGTTAGAGTAGGTTCTGTAAATAAAATAGTAAAGAGAAACTTTCACCATTCAAAACAGGTAGTGAAACTACAAAAGAGTACAACAATCACCCATTTTCTCTTGACTGCTTCACAAATCCACATCCTGCCATATAATTTCCTAAGAGTTCCTAAACTTCATTGTTGCGAGAATTCTACGCCTTTATAAGTATATGATCATTGTTAGAAGTCCAATCACAGAAACGTCAAAAACAAAAACTACGAACATCATTGCCAAGAAGGAGATATAGCAGTATACACTACCCAACAATATTCCGCTTTCTTTTCCTCTTTTGCTGATAAGATTTCATAAACTATCCCAAACTCAACTTCCCTTTGCAACTCAGCCGAGCCTTAGGTACTAAAGAAATCTTTCTACTGCAAAACACAAGACCAGAACTTTTGGAAGCGAATGCTTACTTGGACATGCTAGCAGTTCACTAATAAAGTTGCATAGAGAACTTTCCATGCAAACAATATTCATTCAACCGAGAAGGTTGCAGACAGGAATTAAGATTCTCAGTGTTAACATGAACGGTTCCTTCTTCAATTCTTTTTATCAGATATTGTTTATATGAACAATTGATGTAGCATATCAGCAATCCACTGTCCAACTTGGCTAGGGTTTTAATTGTTTTCTTATTTTCTTATGATTTGCTTGGATAGGAATTTAGTTCCTGATGTTTTATTTAACTTGGCCAACTAGTTATGCTCCTTGTCTCTTTTAAATAGCCATGTGACAGTCATTTCAGTTTTGAAAGGGTAGGATTAAATATCTATCTAAAGCAATCAAGGGCTAGGAGCCTAGGATGCTATGGTCTCCTTTACACCAATATCATCAATACACTTTCAAAAGACCGTATAAGAAAATTTTAAAAACATTTATCAGAATTTGGAGAATTGCATCAATATTTTATATTCTTAGCTTCCCTTGAGAATTCAAGGTCCTTCTAGAGAGGATTCCTCTTCGATCCTTAGATTTCTGACGAGTTTGCTTACTTTCCCAGTCCAACATACATAGTTAGTAAGGCATTTATAAAAAGGATTGCTAAGCATAGAATAAAAGACAGAACCAAGAAACAAATTATCTTTTGATTCAATTAACATTATTAATGGAATAATTAGTTTGTCGACACAATTGATGTAGCAAAACACTGTTCAAATTATTTGAAGAAAAAGGCAAGGAGGTCTCAGAAATATACCAGATCAATTGTCTCCGACTGTCTATGACAGGCTGTGACTTTACCTTCAAATTATAAATGCATCAACCATAAGAGCAGATAAAAAAAAATTAATACACGGGTTATCTATATATTAACATATATAATATACAGAATTTAAATCAAGATTCAAATTATAAGAAATTAAAATAACTAATATGCCTGCAGTAAGAAATTATGTGAAATCAATCATAATACAAAGAAAATGGAAAATAAAAGTGAAAACGAAAACATATAAAAGAAACAACAATAGTAGGTTAGAACAATCCTACCTCACCAGATGTTTGGAAAGTCCAACAGATGTTACCGTTCAAAAAATCAAGGAAGTATATTTTCCCTCTGTAGCATCCAACTACAACCTAAAGCAATACCCCACATGAGAAAGATCCAAATGCCCCCCATGGAGCTAATTCAAAGATGACTTATGAAGTTAAAAGCACAAAATTTGTTTCAAATATAACCTGTGTGAAGTCACTAAGAATTGCTGCTGAGCATTCCACACGTCCTTCTAGTTTATCTCCCACTGGACAGAACCACTAGGGCAAATTATGTAACAATAAAACACTAGAAAGATAAATATTTCATGCTGAGTGGTTAAGAAATACTTTAAATGCATCCAAAATTTCTAAGAATTATGTAATAATATGATTGTATTCAGAAACTACAATATACCTTACCTTCTGGCGTTAACACACATAAATTTATGTGAGTGCGATCCAATAAATAAGTAGATATCCTGGCCTTTATGAACAATAATTGGCGATGCATCAACACATGATCCCATGTAAACTTTCCATGATTCTTGCATAGGAACATTTCTACTTTTCAGGACCATCACAGAACAGGTTGCTTGATAAATATCTTTCACCATGGACCCACCTTCATACACAACTTTGTTGCACCGGCTAAAAGAACAAGACGCACATATTGCCACAGAATTCCATGGATACCCGTTTGCTGGACTACTACCACCAGCAACATTTATGTTTGAATCCAGTTTCAAGCGTTTAGAGATAATTGCATTATCTTCATTTCTTCCAGAAAGAGTTCTTAGTAATCTCCTTTGCTCATCAATATTTACTGCAGCAGGAGTGTCAGAGTGAACATGAAAAAAACTCAGTTTACCCCCTTCCCGATTCATCTTGATTAGCATCTCTACTGACTTTTATATTCAATGATTCTTTTCTCTCTAAAAGAGCAGCACAAAGCATGGATGGACTTGGAAAGCAATATATCAATCGCATATCAACTCCTATATTATTAGAAAGATGTGCAGCAGCAATAGAATTTCCACCCATAGTAAAGAAATCATCATCATCAGAAATCTCTTCAACACTTAAAACATCTTTAAAGGCCTGTCGAAAATTTAAAAAGGAATTAATCTCTGTTGAAGAAACAAATAGTTAGTATGAATTTAAATATAATCAAAATTTAGATATGATAGAGTATTTGTCATCCTACAAGTGATGTACACAAACAAAAAAATCCTTCCATAATAGATGCAGAAATGAATGGTGAAATCAACAAAACAAATCCGAGCAAACATAAGAAAAGAATAAAAGGTCGATTATATTATTATGAGGGTAAAGAGCAAACCGTTTTTACTAGTTGCAGTAGGTTGCTGCTCCCAACGTCACCAAGCCCATCTTGGACATGCTTTGCAAATACTGAGTCTGCCAACAACTCATAGTTAATTTTTCCACTAGAAGATACAGGAAATGATTCAGTAACAACAATGTGGCCAGGAATCATTGCTAATGGAAGTTTGTCAGCCATCCAACTTTTGATGGTAGATCTGAATATTTCTTTGGGTATTCCCTCTCTTAATATTATAATGCTACGAGTAGCATGGGTTCCCCTTGAACTTTATGAAAATTACAGCAGCATCAATTACATCTGAAGTCCCTCACTGTATCTTCAATTCCTCTAAAGCAATACGCTGCCCATTGAGCTTAATTGTCGGTCTTTTCTACCTAAGAAACCAAGTCACCGTACGAAGCTGTTTAGCAAAATCACCCGTCCGAAAATAATATTGACTTTTATGTCCATTTACAGAACTGCAACAAACAGAATCTTGAGACAACTTTACAGTGTCCAAAGGAGTAACTATAGAATCAGAATAGTATCCAGAAGAATTGCATACACCAGCGACATAAATTTCTCCCTCATTGGATACATCATCACCACCAATAAGACGACATCACATTAACAATAGGCATACCAATTGGAACAGTGTTAGTGGGTCTGCCGCCAAAATCAATGGCAATCTCTTGCAATCAAAATATGTACAATCACCAGACACCTAGAATTTAACAATTTCCCTGTTAGCAATTATTGAAGGAATTTATGCAATAGAAGTAACTTATATGTCATGAGGAAGTATATCAGTATAAGTGATAATACATAATGAAATGACTAATAACAGTTTTGTCGATCCTAAGATAAGCTTTACAGAATTTAAAAGGTGACCAACATGGAATAAGCCACACCATTTATCAAATAGAACATATACTGTTCCTGCAAAAGATGTACAAAGAGATATAGGATTTCTCGTGACAAACTGAGCCCACTTCAGAGTACTTGAAAACAGACAATCATCAGTAACGTAAAAATATTACAAAAATTTTGTGAGGAAATGACAACTATGGAAGTCAAAACAACGAAGACATGGCAAAGCATTTCAGAATGCTATAACAAGCCCTTCCACCCCCAGTAGTAGGAAAAACTGCAATCCACAATATGTAGCAGGAATGCATCTAAAATTGTATGATATTATGGAGAAATTTACAAAACAGTTTCTCAGAAAACCTATATTTCTTGGAGATTGCAAGATGCAACCCCCACCGAAGGTATAATCACAGGCCTTTCTTCTTATTTCTTCACCCACTTTCCACTCAAAGAGTTCTGACCAAATGAAAACTCGATCTAATCACTGGTGCTTCTTGACCTTAAAATTCTTTCCTGATACAAGCATCACATATCCCACAAAGGAAACTGCACTCCAGATAGTAAAGATTCGTGTTTATGAAGGCAGCCTTAGAAACAACAAGCAAGCATCTCAGGCACTGATTTAGGCATTGCCAGTTATACAGCCACATTGAAAACAGATGGTGCCACTCCAATAACATGTATAGATTAGCGTTACAATCCAACACAAGAAAATGAGGCAGGGGGAAAAACACACACAAGCCACAGTAAACTAGCATTTTTCTATAATAAACACGACAGTATCTAAATTGTAAGATTGTCAAATTTTGCAAAGTAGATAATATAAATTAGTAAAAAAACTGAATGAGTTAACAACGAAATGCAAATCATTTCATATTCGTCCAACCAGACTATGATTCGACCTAATCTGTTGGAGATCTAATCAAACGGATCATGTTAAATTCAAAGTAAGTTCTAAACTCTAACCTCGGTACTCCCATACAAATTCAAAATAGTGGTCCTCGGTAATATCTTGGAGAGCATATCCCATAAGGATAAAGGCAAAACTTCGCCGCTTAACACTAACAAATCCAATGACCTTGGAAGCTGCTTGTCATCTCGACCTTGTAAGGAAGGAAGGATTGCTCTCATAAGTGATGGAACAGCAGTAAGTCTATTGACACAGTAAGCCTACAAGAAAACTCCAAATTATATAAAATAAAATAAAAAGGAATCAACTTATAAGTAACTTCAATCGTATAATATAACTATTGTTTGAAAATAATGAACTGTGATCAGCTTTGAGCATATGAAAGTACTTGAAAATAACTAAAGGTTTGCATAACAAGTAGGGTGTGAATATTAAATGTGATATCTTGTGAAGTTGCACCAAGAATTTTTTTCTTTGTTTATTCTGAAAAAAATTTCTTAGTTAAAAATTAAAACTCCTTAGCCAAACCAGCTGAATGCAAGACGATTATGGAATTGGAAGTCACCTAACATAATTGATTGTTTAGTTATATGACTCATCAAATTATCAATGATCTGAGCTCAACAACAAGGTTGCAAATCCTAGTTCACCATTGTAATCTGAGCTCAAAAATCTAAACAAAGCATGAAGGAAAGGCCATGTACCTGTAGAAAATCGACAAGCGAAAACACATTGCGCTTAAGGTGATTGAAAGGAGGTATAACCAAAGTACAACCAGTGAGAATAGCGCTAAGAAACTCTTGCAGGTGATCAACAAAGCTTATCCCTGTCTTGAACAACAAAACCTCGTCCCCAAACAGTGGATACAACTCTTGCATCCATAGAAACCGATTCAAAAGACCTTGCTCAGTTCCACACACACCTTTCGGTTTCCCAGTCGAACCCGAAGTGTACATCAAATAACACCAGCACGGCCTCTCCTTCACACTCTCACATTTGCACGCCCAATCCCAATCGATCCCTCCATTTTTACGCTCTTCCATTGAGAACCACAAAACGCGACCACCGCAGGCCACGGGTGGCCAATTCGAGTCGGATTCAAACCCGAACGGCGTCCTGCAGGCGATGATGAGGTCGACATTGGCCGAGGAAATTACTGAAAGTAGCCTCTGTTTGGGCCACGAAGGGTCCAGAGGCAGAAAGGCCTCTCCGCACCTCAAAACTGAAAGCACGGACACTATGTACTCCGCCGAGGGCGGCATGTATAAGCCGAAGATTCTCCGGCTGGGCTTGTTGTAATCACAGGAAAGTCGAGGGGTGGAGAGGAGCTGGGAGGTGAGTGAACCGACGGCTGAGATGAGATGGGAGTAGGTGAAGGAGTGATCGCCGTCATAGAGGAACTGCCGGACGAGAGCAGGAGCAGCATCCTCTGTGATGGAGGTGCGGGTACGGAGTTGTGGGGAAATGAGGGCCCCACCGGAGGCGTGTACAACGGCGATTTTGTTGGCGTTGTTGGCCGCCGCTGCGGAGAACTCCCGGGAAATGCAGCAATGGGTGTTTTTATGTTCGCTTCTCATTTGGGGTTTCAGTGCACCATTTCTCGTCATCCCTCACTATATTATTAGAGCATCTCCACTCACAAGGGCTAAGTCTAAGGCAAGGGCAAGCAATGGCTGTCACTATTCACGTAAATAGTGTCAGCCTTTGCATTTGTGGTTCCACCCACAAGGGCAAAGTCTAGGGCAAATCTAAAGTAATTACTATTCATTATACTTTATTTCCTATTTTTTTAGTTTAAACCATTAATTTTGATAATCTTTTGTAATTAAATTTTCGGATAAGATTTTCACCATCTAAAATTGTGCCACGTCTGATGTAGAACAAATGACAGATTTTATCGCGGTCGAGCTAGAAAAAGGACGTAGCGGGAATTTGCAGATTTGTCGTCCGAGCTCCGATTAGGACGCAAAATACCATCTCGGAAAGGGAACGACGCCACGAGTCAAACTCACAGCTTTGCTGTGATGTATGATGGATTTTGGCATTTTGAGGTCGTTTGGCCTTCCAAAAAGGCATTTAAAGTTTCATAGTTAATTTTCGGTATCTCAGATTTTAATAAAAATTATTCCAAGAAAATTCCTTCTAAAATTGTGCCATGTGTCAAATGTCAGATAACATTTTCAGATATTTTAAAAAAATTATAACTCATATTTCAGATAAGATTTTCACCATCTACAATTGTGCCACGTGTCAAATGTCAGATAACATTTTCAAATATTTAAAAAAAATTATAATCTCAGATTTCAGATTAGATTTTCACCCTCTACAATTGTGCTACGTGTCAAATGTCAGATAACATTTTCAGATATTTAAAAAAAATTATAATCTCAGATTTTAGATAAGATTTTCATCCTCTCAAATTGTGCCACGTGTCATCTCTATCTTCTAAATCCGTCTATAAAACTACACTTGATATTCATACCTCTCACACCATCTCTTATCTATTCCTTCATTTCTCAGATTGTAGAAAACACATTCTACTCTCAATGTCAAACTTGTTGAGGGTGTTGGAGAGGAAACAGAAACAAGGCGTAGACGTGCTCAAGAAGATCGGGAAACCGATGAAGAAGAGGAACAACTGCTTGCAGCAGCGGTGTGTATGATGGATCAATTAAGGCAACATCGTCGTCGTCGTGCCCCGAATGTGGACAGCCGCAGGGAGTCTCGGGGTAAGAATCTCATGGAGGATTATTTTATCCCAAATCTGTTATATCCTGCTTCTAAGTTTCGAGAAAGATATAGAATGCAACCACATTTGTTCCAAAAAATCATGCATGATATTTGTAATTACGACACATACTTCATTCAAAAGCATGATGTTGTTGGAGCTTTGGGTCTTATCCCGGAGCAAAAACTTACAGCTGCTTTGCGGATGCTTGCTTATGGGGCATCTGCAGAGCAGGTGGATAGATTGCAAGGATGGGAAAATCTACTGTCCTAGAGTGCTTGGTGAGATTCTGTGATGCAGTGGAAAATTTGTACACGAGGGAGTACCTTCGCAAACCCACGCCAAGAGACCTGCAACGGCTTCTACAAAAAGGCGAGGCTCGAGGTTTCCCAGGAATGATTGGAAGCATCGATTGTATGCACTGGCAGTGGAAGAACTGTCCTACTGCTTGGCAAGGGGAGTACGGGAATCGGAAGGGCCAAAAAAGTATAATTTTGGAGGCCGTAGCTTCATTCGATTGTTGGGTTTGGCATGCCTTCTTCGGGGTTGCCGGTTCTCAGAATGACCTCAATGTCCTTGGTCAATCCCCAGTGTTCGATGAGGTATTGCGAGGTCATTCCCCCCAGGTCACGTACCAAATCAACAATACCGTTTACTCTGGTGCGTACTACCTTGCCGACGGAATTTATCCTAGGTGGACGACATTCGTGAAAACAATTCCGAATCCCCAATCCGAGAAGGAAAGAAACTTTGCTTCCTTTCAAGAAGGTTACAGGAAAGACGTGGAGAGGTGTTTCGGTATCTTGCAAGCTCGTTGGGCAATTATTAGAGGTGCTGCTCGGATGCTAGATGAGGAGGTGCTGCGGAGTATTATGATGACTTGCATCATCCTTCACAACATGATTGTGGAGGATGAGTATGACTATGATGCTCAAGAGGTGTTTGAACCCGATCCAATGAACACATCGTTGACAAGAATATATGAAAGGCCGATTGGACCAAATGGACTACCACTGGAGCCCGAACCCATACTTCGGGATGGTCAATTCAACAACCCCATGATTGATCGGTATCAAGAAATGCAATCTTCATATGTTCACGAGATACGTCAACGTGACTTGATCGAGCACTTGTGGGAGATGAAAGGCAATCACAATGGATGAAGTCAAGATTAGTGCTTTGTTTGGAATTATGCTTTGTTTTTAATTATGCTTTATTTTGTGTGTGGTTTTGTTTGGAATTATGCTTTGTTTTTAATTATGCTTTATTTTGTGTGTGGTTTTTTTTGGAATTATGCTTTTTATTATTATGCTTTTATGTATGGTTTGTTTTGTGTGTTGTTTGCAATCAATGAAGGTTTTTTTTAATTAATATTTGTTTTGATGCTTAAATGTTTTTAATAAATAGTCATTTTATTTAATGCTTTTTTTATTGAATAAAAAGGAAACAATACAACAAATTAAAGGATAATACAACAATACAACATATGGCAAAGGTGTTTCAATACAACCTAATGGTTTTCATCATTTAACCAATCCGTATTGCTAGGTCCGTCGTCATGGAAAAGTTTTTTTCTCATCACATCTCTTCGTCGTAGCTTCCAATAGGCCTTTGTTTCGGGAGACATATGGCTCGTATCCATGGCCATGATTTTCATCTCTCTATCCTCTATGTCTTTTTCTTGTGCCATTTGTTGTTGCAGAACAAATGCTTCCTCTCGTGCCATGTCCATTTCATCTCTTTTCAAGTCTCTCTCGATTCTTAGTGAGGTGCTCTTAGCTATTTGCTCCAATAATTGTACACATTCATTGGTCGAAGTGCCCCCTCTCTTGGCCTTTGCCGCCTTTCTCCCAATAGGTCTTGGCGGACGTGGCACAAATGGTGACTCCGTTTCCATTGGGGAGTCCAATGGAGAATCGGTTGATGTTGAATCGTGGAGTGGCGTCTCATTCATCACAACCGGCGGACCGGTGGGAATAATTTTGAATCTCGAACAATCCTTCACAATTTCCCAACATTGGAAATGCACGAAACTTTTTTTGCCTTGCCCCATGGCACCGAACCACATTTGTGCTTGTATCATCTATTAAAAATAAATAATTGGAAGTGCAAGAAACAAAAATTATTATGCAAGAAAATATAAACTATTTTGAAATGCAAAAATAAAATTGATTATGCAAGAAAATATAGACAAATTAAAGGTGCACCAAGAAAAAAAAATTATGCAAGAAAAACAAATAGAATATGCAATAAAAAAAAAGTGACATTGAATTGATTAAAATGGCAATTATAAATATTTTACCTCATCGGTCAAATTTTGACCGCTTTGAATGTTCGCCTTTGCTTTTGTCAAGGCATTTCTCCATTTCCCTAACTCTTTATTCAGAAGTTTCCATCTACTAGACAACGCCATTTCGGTCCGAATAGAACCCGATCTTTGACAAAATTCTCCATGAATTTTGCTCCACATGTGATGAAACTTCATCTCATTGCCCGTGATAGGGTCATGACTAATGTTCACCCAAGATTGACACAACGCAATATCTTCATTCGTTGACCACGAGCCTCCGACTTCAATAGAAGATGTCATTCGTTTTTTTTATACAAATGGAAAGTAGTAGAAAGAGAGTTAAAAATATTGGAAGGAGAAGAGTTTGTATGGAGAATTGGTGTGGAAGTGAAAAATGTGAGTGGAGATAAACAAAAAAATTGGAAGGAGAAAAGTTTGTATGAAGAATTGGTGTGGAAAGTGAATAATGTGAGTAAAGAGTAAAAAATATGGGATGGAGAAGAAATTGTATGAAGATTTTAGTGTGGAAAGTAAATAAAATGGTTAGGTATTTATAGAGAAAAAATACAGAATTTTTGGGTAATTTTTTTAAAAAATTTCAGAATTTTTTCGATTTTTTTTGCAATTTTTTTAGCCAAAAAAACGAGGACCGTCGGATTTCTGGAAAAAATCCATCCGAGAGTCCCCGTCGCGCCACATGGCACACGCCCGTTGGAGCTGTCAGGTGGTGACGTCAGCGCTGGTGTCACGCTGACGTCAGCGCTGGCGTCACGCTGACGCCAGCGTACGGAACTCAAATTTTTTTTACCGTTGGCGCACGCGCCAACGGTAAAAAAAAATTTGACTTACCGTGCGCTGACGTCACCAAACTCGGGCTTCAGCCCGGGCAAGACTTGCCCTTGGGCTTCCTCGGGCTCGTGGGACCCACCACGAAACCGGGCTACGGGCCCTGCGTTGGAGCTTCCTCGGGCTCCCTCTGGCAGCCTTTTACCCTGGCTGGGTTGGGCTGGGTATTTGGACCAAAAAATCGGAAGAATCGGACTGATTGGATCGATTAGATCCGGTTGAATCACTTTAGCCTGCAATCTTAAATTTTAAATAAATATGCAATTCGACCCAACCGAACCTATTTTATTTGTTTTTCACCTTTTTCACGTGGTTTTATTCTAGTGGTTGGACTTAAATCATATTATCATTCTTCCTACATAGAATAGCCCACAACATTTGATCTAAAATACCCTTACCCTCCTTTTTAACGGAGAATAATTTAGGATTTAGCTAAAAATTAAGAATTGAAGAGGAAAAATTTATATTTCCATTGTTTAGCAACTTGGAGAAATGAAAAAAATCGCTGAAATACCCCCTCAAGTCTTACCCTTATCGAACTCAACCCCCTTAACTGAAAATTTAGCCAATTTAGTGCCCGATCTAATTTAAATCGTCAATTTAGCACATGTCGTTAGATTTTGTGAGATTTCATCCTAAATTTCGTCAATAATCTCCCGTGACACGCACTGGAACATAAGTAGAGGGTAATTTGATCCTTCTCAAGCTAACAAGTTATTCATCCACCAAATCATTAGAGCCATCATCACCACAACCCTAAAATCCTATTGTTCTGTAACATCTCACATCGACCAACGGAGAGGGGGTGATGTGTCTTATATGTACATGCCCACCTCCATTTAGCACGAGGCCTTTTGGGAGCTCACTGGCTTCGGAGTCATAAGAACTTCAAAGTTAAGCGAGTTGGGGCTAGAGCAATCCCAAGATGGGTGACCCAATGGGAAGTTGTTTGTAAGTTCCTAGAAACAAAATCGTGAGGGCAGAGAGGAGACCCAAAGCAGACAATATCGTGCTACGGCGAAGCTGATCCGAGATGTGACAATTTGGTATCAGAGCCACTCTTTCGTGTGGTGCGAGTGTGCCGACGAGGACTTTGGGCCCCTAAAGGGGGTAGATTGTAACATCCTACATCGACCAACAGAGAGGGGGTGATGTGCCTTATATATACATGCCCACCTTCATCTAACACGAGACCTTTTGGGAGCTCACTGGCTAGAGCAATACCAGAATGGGTAACCCACTAGGAAGTTACTCGTGAGTTTCCCAGAAACAAAACCGTGAGGGCAGAGAAGGGAGCCCAAAGCGGACAATATCGTGCTACGACGAAGCCGATCCCAGGATGTGACATGTTCCTTTAATGACCCCTAACCATCAGACCCACCAAACCCACGTCATATTGATGTTCTCCCCAAACTTCATCTTCTTCCTTGTGGCAACCTGGCTGTGATGTCTTTGGTGCAATTAAAACAACCATCATCACCCTCAACACCGTCGATAAAATCGACGAGCAAATTGCCTTAGTTGATCAAGAATTCTTGTGGATTTTCCTTGGTTGATCAAGAATTACGACATAGAATGAAGTGTTGCAGCCCTAATTTGATTTGGGATTACATAGGAAATGGGTCTAATGCTTAGAATGTCAAAATTTCCCTCCAAATTTATCACATGTGCTACTCAAGTGGTTGAGTTTGATAGGAGATTGGATGAACTCTCACAAATCTAACAACATGGGTGGAATTTGCATTCTAAATTAAATTTAGGGGGTAAATTGGTTGATTTTTTAGCTCAGGGGGTTAAATTATACAAGGGTCATAGTTCAAAGAGTATAACAGCTGAAAAATCTAAAATAAAAAAACTAAATTGGGAATAAAATAGATTTCCTAATAAAAAGACACCGGATCCTTGTAAGTACACTTGATAAAACAAATCTCATGTCCCTCTCATCTAATGTGAAGTCAAATAATGTCTTTTTGCACCCTAAATCAACCAAGAACAATATTCAAATTTTTGCTTACTATTTTATCGTGGTTTAAAATTCATCCAACGTCAAGTCGAAAGCTTTGGGCCAGCGTTGTGGTCACCTTGGTTTGTAAAATTACGATTGGGATCATATGGGATCAAACCTTTGATCAAACAGGATCAAAACCTCCAATCAAGGCCTCTGGTCAATTGGGATATAGGCCTTCAAGTCGGGGTCAACCAATTCCAAGTTGGGTTTTCACTCCACGTTGTGGTCAAGAAATTCTAAGTCAAGTTTTGACTCCAAGTTAGCCAAGTCTAAATTTTTAGCCGAAGTCGTGAAGGTGGGACAAAGTCTTGAAGGTTAGATGGGGATTTGACTTGTGGAACCTAAGGTTGACTTCCAGCAAGTAAGGCATAAAGTCAAGTCCAAAGAGGTAGATCTTATGGTCAGACCTAGGGGTCATTATGTCACCATGCCTCATCTAATCTTCAACAAAGTATGAAGCTTAGGAAGCACGATGTTCCACCACAATTCAGACTAAGAACTTAGAAATCCAAGCCCAACTTCAAAAGTCGAAACATCTGAGACTTCCGAAGTTGGAATATCTGAGACTTCCGAAGTTGGAACTTCATAAACTTTCGAAGTCAAAACATTTGAAACTTCCGAAGTCGAAACAGTTGAAACTTTTTCAAGTCGGAGCATCTGAAACTTCTGAAGTAGAACCATCTGAAACGTTCGACGTTAAAACATTTGAGGCTTTTGAAGTCACAACATCTAAGACTTTGGAAGTCGAGTTCAAAACTTTCGAAGGTTTATTTGCACATTGTGAAAATCATATAAGAAAAGCAATCAAAGATATTAAGCTCAATACAAAATATTCTTAAGGAGAAGAGAATCAAGTCATCATATTTGCAATCAGAAAATCTCCATCAATCCCACCCCATGAATTTTTGGGACCTTAGAAGGATTTTTTTTTTTTTTTTTTTTTTTTTTTTTTTTTTTTTTTTGACTTTTATTCATTTATTTATTTTTTCTTTTTCTTTTTTAATGATTGCCTATGACGATCGACACTTATAAATACCTCGCTAGAAGAAGAACAAAGGAGATCTGATATAGGGACAAAACAAATAAATTTTGGGCAGTAAATTCAAAAAATAAATAAATGTTCAACAATAAGTAAATTCATAGTTTCCAGTCACTTACATAACATATTAAAATTGACTTTTTATCACAAAATGTCCTTGCATTTCACAAAACTATAAGGTTTCATCCTTTTTGTTTGTTTTCTCTCATTCATGGTCCTCAATATTAACATGTGTGTTCACAAGTAGTCCTTATCGTGAGCTTCCGTTAAAAACTCCGTTATTTTACTAATGTGACATATATGTGGAGCCCACATATTCAATAGGGAGATTCACATTCATGCCATAGGGGCTTGGAATAGCAGAAAACTTAACCCCATAGAAATTGTAGGAAAAAAAAAAAACCAAAGCCCATTTTTAAAAGCAGAACAACACTTTAAACACCAATAAATTACAACACTACCATCGCCTAATCAAACACCCAAAAACAATCTTCTCTAAATTTCATGACAAGATGACAAAACATTGATTTCACATATAAAATAACATTAAATACATGCCAAGTGCTTATTTTGGGTTTTTATTTTCCTTTCAAATTTGACTATTCATTGTTTCTTTATAATATGGATGATAGAAATGGTTACATTTAGAAAATACTCTATTCAATAATATAATGACATGTGGGTTTAATAATATATATTTTTAAAATAATTTAAAATTTAAAATTCATAAAAATAAATAAAATTGAAAAACCCAAAAGAAAAAAGAACTCTCTCTGATATATCTCTATCTCCCTTCCTACCTCAACATATATCACCACACCCAAACACCAACAAAAACCCAAAGTAAATTTTAAATTCCAAACATGCCCAGAAATTTGCCACACCGACCCAATGGAAGAAATTGCTCAAAATTATAGAAATTTTAAAACTCTGCATATAAATATTTAGAACTATTTTGATGATTTTTGTGAGGTTATTCAATCACTTTAAAAAAAAAAACAATGGTCAATATCTTCTTTGGTGACAGTTGGTAGTATTAATGACCCTTTTCTTTGGAATGGGTGACATTTGTTGGCGTAACTAAAGCCTCATGTCACCATTAGGCCACCTCCACAGCAAGGGGCAAGGGCAGGCAAAAGGGAGCCCCATGCCCAAAAAACCCTTGCAGTGCACAAGGTCCAGCCTGGGAAAGGGGTGGGACCCACTAGCCCGAGCAAGCCCATGGGAAAGAATCACCTGGGCTGTTGTCTGAAGGCTGCTGACATCAACGCTAATAGAAACCAACGGGAAGAAGTCACATGATGCTTCCTAGACGCTCCGATCATGACCCAACAAGTGCGATTTTTTTGCCTAAAAAGATTGTAAATAAAATTCAAATTATTTTTTTTTAAAACACCAAAAAAATCTGAAAATTTTCTCTATAAATACCTATTAATATAATTCACTTTCCACAACAAATCTTCCTACAAATTCTTCTCCTTAAAATATTTTTCACTTTCCACTCAAATTTTTCACTACTTTCCATTTGTATCAAAACACAAATGGCCTCTTCCATCGAAGCCAGAGGCGCGTGGACAACTCAGGAAGACATTTTGTTGTGTGAGTGTTGGGTGAAAGTTGGTCATTGCCCGATCATGGGCAATGAGATAAAGTTCTCTCATATGTGGAGAAAAAGTCATGTAGAATTTTGTGAAAGATCAAGTTCGCCTCGGACGAAAATGGCCTTGGCTAGTAGGTGGAAAATTTTGAATAAAGAGTTAGGAAAATGGAGAGATGTTTAGCAAAAGCGAGGGAGAACGTTCGAAGCGGTCAAAATCTTAACGATGAGGTAACAAATTTCTAATTGCTGTTTTATTCAATTTAATGTTAGTTCATTTTCAATTTTATTTTTTTAATAGATTATTCAAGCATAATTAAAAACAAACCTTAATTCATTACAAACCACACACAAAACAAAGCATAACTAAAAAAAAAACCTTAATTCATTACAAACCACCCAAAAAAAAAGGATACTTAAAAACAAATCATAATTCCAAACAAAGCTTTAAACTTGACTTCATCCACCGTGATTGCCTTTCATCTCCTATAAGTGCTTGATCAAGTCAACTTGATGTCTCTCGTGAACATGTGAAGATTGCATTTCCTGATAACAATCAATCATGGGGTTGTTGTATCGATCATCCCTAATCAACAGTTCATGCTCTAGTGGTTGTCCATTTGCTCCCAAGAGCCGTTCATAAAATCTTGTATGCGCCGTGTTCATGGGATCGGGTTCGAACATCTCTTGAGCATTATAATCATACTCATCCTCCACAATTATGTAATGGAAGATGATGCAAGTCATCATAATGCTCCGAAGCACCTCCTCATCAAACATACGGGTAGCACCCCTAATAATTGCCTAACGAGCTTGCAGGATACCAAAACATTTTTCCACATCTTTCCTATAACCCTTTTAAAAGGTAGCAAAACAAATTTCCTTCTCGAATTGAGGATTCGGAATTGTTTTGACAAATGTTGTCCAGCTCGGATAAATTCCGTCAACTAGGTAGTATGCACCCGAGTATAAGGTATTGTTGATTTTATACATGATCTGGGGGGAATGACCTCTCAAGATATGGTTGAATACTGGGGATTGACCAAGCACATTGAGGTCGTTTTGAGATCCGGCAACCTTGAAAATGGCATGCCAAACCCAAGTATCAAATGATGCAACGACGTCCAGAATTATACTTTTTTGGCCTTTCCTATTCTCGTAATCTCCTTGCCAAATAGTTGGTCAATTCTTCCACTGCCAGTGCATGCAGTAGATATTTCCAATCATGCTTGGGAAACCTTGAGCCTCGGCTTTTCGTAGAAGCCTTTGGAGGTCACTAGGCGTAGGTTTGCAGAGGTACTCCCTCGTGTAGAGATTTTCTATTGCATCACAGAATCTAACCAAGCACTCTAGGATAGTTGATTTCCTTATCCTAGCAATCTCATCCACCTGGTTTGTAGATGCCCCATACACAAGCAGCCGCAAAGCAGCTGTAAGTTTTTGCTCCAGAAAATACATAAAATCCTAAAAGCATCATACTTCTGAACGAAGTATTTGTCGTAATTGCAAACATCATGCATGATTTTTTTGGAACAAATGGGGCTGCATTTTATATCTCTCTTGAGTTTAGAGGGGCAATGTGGAATTTGACCGAAGTTTCCAAGGGCATTGGTGTACTTAAGCCTAAACATAAAACGTATCTCTCCCTCTTAACTTTCCAACCCTAAAACCCCCACCAGCCAACCCGAGCCAACCACCACCTCCCAATAACCAAACCCTTACCTCAGCCAGCCACCACCACCTTATAATTGGCATTTATAGGCAGTGACGATGAGCAATATTCTTTATTCTTCTTCAGCCTAAAGAGTTTGTTCAATTTCCCGTTTGCACTTGCAAGCAATAATGATGATTAATTGTAAATGGGCTTTAAAATTCTTTCTAAAATAGAAGAGTCAAACACAATTGTCTCATGGTCATGGAGATGCCTCTCTCATTCCCAATACCCTTTGATAATAGCATATGATAAGTCAAAGTTGCCCCCATTGGCGTTATTTGGTTGCTTGGAGTTTAGGCGGGCTTGGGTGGTGTGGAAACACATATTTCGACAACCAATCATGAGGCGCCACATGGACAATGAGAATATTCCTTAGGTCAACAATTGTGCTCCATTTAATTGACAAATTGTTAGACTTAAGATAGGGATATCACCATAAGTTAGGGATTTGATTTTCATTAAATCTCCCTAATTGATCCAATCTCTCCATATAAGGGAGAGAATAACTCCCTTTCATATGGGAATTATTCTATGAAAAATCCTAGAAAGCAAGAGCACTATAAATATGTGACTATGCAACACATATGAGGTAATTCAAAAAAACCCTAGAGAAACCATTCTCTCTCCCAACCCTTCTTATCTCTCTCTTCTCACATGGCTAAGGACACCTGGCTCCCCGAGAGTGAAAACTCTGACCTTTATATTATCTGTGCATCTCTCTCAAGATCATTTAATTGACTTTGGCATTGGAGGGCCTTCCCCTTGCGTATGGTCTGTTGACCTAAAGTTGTTTTGCTGGAACCGAGGAAGAAAAAAGAGAAGGAAGCACAAAGGGTTGAAGAATCACACTTGAATATTCTCCTGTGAGAAATTTGTTCAAACATGTGGCTAGGAAGTGGTTGGGTTACAAGGAGATGGTGGATGGCTGGGGTTGGGTGCGGACTATTGATGGGGTTTGGGGTTGTGAGGAGAAGGGGACATAGATGTTTTATGGGAGTTTCACTATTATGCCCAATATAAGGGCCAAATTATAAATAAAAAAGCCTACATAAAATGAACTTTAGAAACACACCCAAAACCCATTTACAACATAACAAAGAGGCTTCGAACTTCCGATAAAATACAAAACTGTCATCGATTTCTTAAAATAAGCCCAATCCCAAAACCTCATAAATAAACAAAACTAAAACACTCAATATGGCATCAAAGTAATTTAATGATCAAAATTAAATTCAATAGGGTCATCTGTCATTTTTTGGGTTTGTTTATAGAAATTATTGTTGACGAGATCCTAATTCTATTAGGAGATTTATTTCCTATTAGGATTTTATTTTTTTCTCTTTTGTACAAATCTTGTGTAATAAGGAGTTTATTTGTTTCCTTGTATAACTCAATTAGGGTTTAAGCACTATTATTATAAATACCTCTTTTTGGAGAATGAAATTCTACCCCATATTGTTTGACTTGGTATCATAGTCAACTTTCTGGTGACATGTGTGTTGTGCCCACCCGTGTTCTATCCCCATATTTTTTTTTACCTGTGTCATGTATGCCCTCTTGGGTTTGTGTCTTGTATGGTAGTGTTCGTGCTTCTACTATGTTTGTGTTGTTTCTATCTTCATGCATCTGTCGTATTTATGCCTCTGCTATGTTCCTCTATGTACTTTGTCGTGTTCGTGCCTCTGCTGTGTTCTGCTATGTACTCTGTCGTGATCTGTTGAGTTTCTGCTGCTGCTTCTACAAATTTGTGTGCTTCTGACTCTATTCCAGGTATTAGCTTCAATACTTGGATAATTGACACGAGTGCTTCTGATCATATGACTTATGATGCTAAATTTTTTAATGAGTTGTCTAGTAACACCCTTGACCCATACATAACTAGTGCTAATGGCTTGCCCTCTCCAATTACTGGCAAGGGCACAATCTCTCTCACTCCTACTTTGTCCTTGTCTTTTGTGTTACTAGTTCCCACTATCCATTGTAACTTGTTATTTGTTGGTCGATTATTTGATGCACTTAATGCTTCTGCTACTTTCTATCTGTAGGGACTTTTTCATTCCCGCAGCTACAGATGGACCTAGGCTGCTGTAAGGGGCAAATGGATGAAAATCCCCCCTGTGTCTGAGTTCAAGAATCAGACCCCAAGAGTGCTTCGAAAGGTTCGTGGTGTTTAAGAAAACACCTTAGTTACCTTCACCAACAAAACCAACAGTCGCTTACAGATAAATACTTGGCTTGACTTGAGAAGCTTGTGGCATGGAAGCTAAGCATTCATGAGTTTAGAATTAAAGAGAGAGAGAGAGAGAGAGAGAGAGAGAGCTGTGATTTCCTATGAGAAATAGGGGTTCAAAGCAAGGGGGAAGAGATTTTAAGAGGATTCGTTGAGGAGAGGGAGAGAGAGATAGAGAGAGATAAGGGGAGAAAAGTGGGTGGTTTGAGCAATTTTCTGGTAGCTCGATGAAAGCTTCGTCAGGCTCTGGAATGGCTTGTCATAAGAGAAAATTGGATAAGATTGAGGAATATGGCTCGAAATTGAAGGGCTCTAGGGATGAAAGGTGATGCTTGCTCCCTTTGGATGTGTGTTTGCCTTCAATGAGTTTTCTTGCTGTGTAGAAGGTACCTCATTTTAAAAGTGCTGGAAGCTTCTTCTTCCCGAGAAACCCTAGCTAGTTCTTCCCAAATCAGCCAATTCTCCCCCTCCATTTCTCTTCTCTTCCTTTGATTCATCTATATTTTGTTAAATCATTATATGTCCAAACACACAGAGACAAGATTTTTAAAGGCTCTAGAGCCTTCCTGCAGCTGTCCTTGCAACCATCTCCTATTTTGGGCTACCCTTTCTCCTTCTTTTCTCCTTCATTTTATTGCAAGAACTGGTGGGAGAAATGAGTGGGTAATGACGCTGGTCTGAAGAGCGTTTTGCTCAAGTATCCTTTGATTTTTTGGATGGCCTGTGTTAGGATTTGTCTTTGGCCATGTGCTGGAGATTCCCACAGCTTGCGCAAGTCTCTATCCCTTGATTTTCTATCGTGGTTTTGTCTCTAGCCATTTTTCTAAGTCACTTGGGCTATTCCCTAATGTAATGGGCTAGTTTACTAAGGGGATGGACCAACCTTCTAGAGTGATGGACTATTTTTTACTAAGGTGATGGGCCATTTTTCTAAGGTAATGAGCTACCTTTTCCTCTCTTTCATGCTTACCCATATATTTAGGATCAAGAAATGGGCTCGAGTTTTGGGGCTCCCAAGCAACCTAAAACTTCCACTTTTTGGCCCATCAATGGGCCTCATGAATGCTCATAACCATCTATACCACAACGCCCTCAGCAAGCCCCAGGTGTTCACATGGCTTGAGCCCACTTAAGCTTGTAGCGTGGATTGGTGCAAAAACAAGGATTTTTCGCTTGGCGTGGCGTGTTATTTGGCGTGCTTGTGCTAGAGCTTTGTCATTTTGTAAGGGATATGGTCGGGCTAAAATGGCGCTTAACAGGATAATGAGCATGGGTTCATAGAACCAATACATTTTACGGGCTTGTTACAACCTTTCTACGTGGCATGTTGCATATTTACTTGACATGGCACGTGTGTAAGCACATATGACGAACTTTTGCATACCCAAGTCGGGTTTCTTCCCGAGTTAGGTGTCGTACTGAGCTAGAATTATATTTGGGCCCAACCTTGGATTTTTTGGGCCTCAACACTATCCTACACATTGCTTTTTTCTGGATCTCAAGACTCACGGAACAATTGGGCATGGTAAACGGATAAGGAGTTATATTATTTGACATTTCTTGCTATACTAGTTTGTGATCGTGTTGTTAATATTGTTCAAAGTTGAAGTGTCAAAGACAAACAACAAATTTGGTTATGGCATCGTCGCTTGGGACACCCGTTGTTTGGCTACCTTAAGTGTCACATCCCGAGATCGGCTCCGCTTGGGACACCCGTTGTTTAGCACGATATTGTCCACTTTGGGCCCCCCTCTCTGCTATCACGGTTTTGTTTCTAGGAACTCACGAGCAACTTCCCAGTGGGTCACCCATCCTAAGATTGCTCTAGCTCCAACTCATTTAACTTCGGAGTTCCCATGACTCCAAAGCTAGTGAGCTCTCAAAAGGCCTCGTGCTAGATGGATGCGAGCATGTACATATAAGGCACATCACCCCCTCTCCGTTAGTCGATGTGGGATTAAGCGTCTGTTTCTATCTTTATTCCGCTCGTGTGATGAGTCTAGTTTGAAGTGTGAGACATATATTTTTGGCTAAAAGTCATCGCATTGTGTTTCCTTTCAGTGATAGTGAAGCTGCAAAGCCTTTTGATTTAGTGCATTCTAATTTGTAGGTTCCGATTTGATTTACTTGAAACGAATTTCGTTAGTTCGTCACATTTATTAATGATTATAGCCGACTCACTTGAGTTTTCCCGTTGAAAAATAAATATGATGTTGCTTCTATCCTTCCAGAGTTTTGTATTATGGTGTCTACTCAGTTTCAGGCTCGAGTCAAAGTATTCCGGACTGATAACGGAGAAGAATATGTGAATGATACTTTGGCTATTTCTTTCGTGCTCAAGGTATTATTCACCAAACAACAACCCCGTTTACCCCTCAACAAAATGGTGTGTCTGAAAGAAAACACTAACAACCCCTTTTACTCCGCATGATAAGACCTGGCATTCGTGTCGTGTTATTAGTGTTCATGTCAACCCGGTTTTCTTAACGGGTTGACACGACACAACACGATAAGAAAGCAGGTGGAAAATATCAAACACGAACACAACCCACTCCAATTCGCGAATCACATGACACGACCTGTTTCACTTGTTAAGAAAATAAACTTTTTTAATAAAAATTAAAAAAACCTATATTTTGAACAAATTTTAAATGCAAACAGTACATGCCCAAAAAATCAAAATCATTCCGACAAAAGCTAATATTCTTGAATTTTGATCCAAACTTCAACATCCGTGAACATGATCCATGATAACAAAACATAACATGATACATGATAACAAAAGGAAAAGGCAAAACAAATGTGAAGTAACATCCATGAAGATCTGCATAAATAAATAAAAAAATTCATGAAGATGATCCAAACTTCAACATTTTACCAATTGCAACTTTCCTGGAAGAAAAAAAAACCAACTATAAGAAAAGTATGCATTATTCCTAAATATTACATTTATAAAATATCAATTACTCATTAATACCTCTCATCAATCTTCAAGAGAAATATTATTGGAGCTTTGTCCTGATCTAGTATCTTAACAAGTAAGTTTGAAGATATCTTCAGTAAGGCTTTCCACAGTAGCATTCTCTTCCTCCATAGCTAAGTATTGAAAACCCAAAAGTTACAAAACATTCACATAATGAAAAAAACAGAAAATAGAACACTAGTTTTAAGTTACATAAAATTTCCCTTGCCAAAAAGCCAATTTCAAGTACACAACAAAGCTTGAACAATTTCAGGCAATAATGAACTTCGGTATTGATCTAGTACTCTACCACCAATACTAAAAGCGGATTCCGATGCAACCGTAGAAATACAGATTGTTAACACATCACGAGCTAGAATTGAAAGTATCGGATAATGAAAATGCTCCATTTGTCACCAAGAAAAAACATCTATGTCTTGCTTTCTATATAGTCTTTCCTCATCCAAATACTTATGCAATTCATTTTTCCTACTTGTACTTGGACCATTTTTGAAACTATTATCAAAATCCTACATCATACAAGATGAAACATGCAAATATTAGAATTATGCATCATTGTAATATATAATATCCAACAATAAATATAAAAAAAGAAAATAAATTTAGGTTACCTCAAAAATGGTGTCTCCATCTTCCGTGTGACTAGCCGTCTCATTCATTCCATAATTTGATAACAAGATGAGATAAACTTTCTAAGTACACACCAAAAAGAGATGTCAATGTGTCTCTAACATAATTGAACTCTTTAGAATCCTTACCATGAAGCTTGGTATAAGCCCACTCTACAAAATGCAACTTATAACGAGGATCCAAAATAATTGCAATTGCAAGAATGATTTATTATCACAAGACTTCCCTAAGGTTTACGAAACTATCATATTGCATCCTTAATGATTTTTTGTGTCACTCGAGGTCCTCAAGGTTAGTATATGCGGTCACAAATGGTCTATGCCGTTAGGTTCCGTCTAAAACTTCGTTAGTTTGCTGACGTGGCATATATATATATATATATCACAAAATATCCCTGAGATTAACACACCTATCACAAATGGTCCCTATGAAATTTTTTAATTTTTTTAAATTTAAAATTCATTAAATTTTAGTTTTCTTTTTAAAATTATTTATAAATGAAAAAACCATTTATAGAAGGATTTTAATCTTGAGGACCATTTATGAACCCTAAACCCGTAGTTTTTTCTTTTTAAAATTTTATGAATTTTAAATTATTTTTTAAAAACTCCATTAGTTTGTTGATGTGACATATATATGGAGCCCACATCTATAATAATATAGTGTCACATGTATTTGAAATATAATATGTATTTTTAAATAATTTAAAATTCATAAAATTTTAAAACGAAAACCAAATTTTATGAATTTTAAATATAAAAAATTAAATTTTTTTTTCAGGGACCATTTGTGATAGGTGTGTGAACCTCAGGGATGTTTTGTGATATATATATATATGCCACATTAGCAAACTAATGGATTTTTTTATAGAACCTAACGGTAGGGACCATCTGTGATCACACATACTAACCTTAAGGATCACGAATGACACAAAAAAAAACATTAAGAATGCAATCTGATAGTTTCGTAAACCTTAGGGATGTTTTGTGATAATAAGCCTTGCAAGAATTAAAATGACTATGACCAATACTTCTCAAACTTCATGTTCATATTAGTTCCCATCTTGTTCATGAAACCATCATTATCTTCCATGGCTGCCTTGATTTGGTGTTGTATTATGAACACCTTAGGGAAGAATAAATTTGACATGGGGTACGTTGTCCTAGAAAATAAGCATGTAACATCATTAAAGAACCCCAAAAACTTGGAAATCTTCTCTACATTAATCCACTCTTTAGAGAAGGACAACTACTAAAATTGGAATAAATCAATCCTAAATTAATAAAAGCACGACGATAGAAAAGTGCACTCGCAAGCATGGTATAAGTTGAGTTCCATATAGTAGGGACATCTTGTCTCAATCCTCTCTTACTACTCATTATCCCTACTTGTGCAACACATTTACAGAACTTTTGTTTCCTCCCCTCAGAACCCTTAATATATTTGATGCATTCACGAATCTTTATCACTTATGAATCAATTTCCTTAAGTCCATCTTGGACTATCAAGTTTAGAATGTGAGCACAACAACGCACATGAAAAAACTTGCCACTCATCAACAGAAGATCTCTAAAGTTCAATTGATTCATCAAAATCTAAACAAAAGAAGTATTTGCAGAAGCATTATCCAAAGAAATAGAAAACAACTTCTTCTCAATCCCTCACTCAGTTATTAATGTATTGATTTTTATTTTATTTTATACATAATGAAACACCAGAATGCAGAGGAGGCATATGACAAAAATTTATAATTCTTTTGTGCAATCTCCAATCTTGGTCAACAAAGTGAGCAGTCAGAGCTAGATACCCATCAGTACATACAAAGGTCCATAAATCTGAAGTTAAACAAATTCTTCCTAGAATTGAGCTTAACAAAGTACGAAGCTTTTGTCTTTCACTTTTAAACATCCTCAACACACATGCCTTAATAGTATTTCTACATGGCAACTTAATATCAGGAGAGACATATGCAAACAAAGCCCTAATTCCCTCATATTCAACAAAACAAAAAGGCAAATTATGCTTGTTGATCGCCTCTATTAACAAGTCACGAAATTTCACATAATCAAATTACGGGGAACGCAATCCTGAAGATGACATAAGTAATTGCTTCACATCACCATGAGGCTTCTTAATGCAATTTTTAGCATGATTCAACAAATTTCCCATCCCATACCTACACCTACTATCACACACATAAACAATCTCTCAATGTTTACATTTAGCATGCTTTTTGTTATCTTCATCAACGGGCAATAAATCAAATGATTTCCAAGTATGAGATCTTAGTCTACGCTTACCCATATTGGCTCTAACCTTTTTCTTTGTAGGGCTTAACTCTTTCTCTTTTGTATTTTTAGTATTTGTTGCATCAATACCCATTGAAACGTCAATTGACTCCTCATCATTAATATCAATAGCATTGGTAGGGCTATTTTCTGTAACATCCATCCCCTTCAAAATAAAAACAAATAGATATAGATATTATTAGACACAACAATAGAATCAATACAACTGATATGAGAGAGCCAGCAGCAAGTAGTATGAAAAGTCCAAACTCACAGAAACATCAATAATATGCAAAAATAAAATAGCCAAGATAAATATTTGGTCTTCTGAAAAAAAGGAACCAATATCAAAGCCTGTAATAATAAAAATATATACCAAGAAATCGTGTTTTTTTCCCCAAACTCCTCAAGGTTTAGACTGCAAAGATAATTAATCTCCTCAAGGTTTCAAAACCTCTTTACTTCTGGTATGTTTTCGTCTTCATTATCTAGGGAACCCAAAAATCAATTGCTTTCTGAGAGAATCCTACCCTTAAACAATTACTTTTTGAGAATGCTTTAATGGTTGGGGAAAGCATTGTGTTTGTTTGCAACCAGTCCAAAACGATTTGGCGGCAGAGGAAGATCTTCAAAGACAGAGAGAAGAGAGATCGCAAGAAGAAGGAGAAGATGAGGATTTGAGAGATAGAGAAGGAGACGTTTTTACACTACTTAGTTAGCCAGCCGACGCGGAATGAATAGATGCTAGGGTTATGGGATATTTTTTTTTAGAATTGAAGAGTACAAAATTACCCTCACTTAACGAGTTGGTTTGTGTATTCGCGAATGGGCACTGAAACGACCCATTAGCTTAACTGGTGGCTAAGGGTCAACACAATAGCAACATGACACGATAACTCAAACTTGAATACTAAATTTTTCATGCGAATTCGCGTCGTGTTAACGGGTCATGTGCGATATTGCCGGGTCTACGCATGATGTGTTTACTGACTATGTTTCCTCTATCTCCGTGTCCAAGTTGGCCCCTAAAGTTTTTGGGTGTGTTGCCTATGTTCATATGTACCCTCATCAATGGAGTAAACTTAATCCTTGTGCTCTGTGCTGTGTTTTTATTCGTTACTCTTCTACTCAAAAAGGTTATAAGTGATGTCATTCACCTACCCAAAAGGAGCATGTTACTTTGTATGTGACTTTCTATAAAGAAGTGTCTTATTATGTCTCTCCATTCTCTCCAATTCAAGGGGATAGAGGGAGTGAATTGGAGAGTCTTGGATTGGAGAATCTTGGACTTGAACTGCATAATGATATATTTGAAGATGTACTCTCAAGAAGAAAAATACCCGGTCATACTAGAGAAAGCGACCGGTCACCACAACTTGGAGTTGAAGATGGTGCTCTCTGTGAAGAAACGACTAGTCGACATTTGGAACTCGACCGGTTGACTGAGTCTGGCGATGACAAAATCGCTCTCTGTGAAGAAACAACTGGTCGACAGCCAAGATGCGACTGATTGACTGTGCTTGAAAATTGTGACAGTGACTCGTGTGCAACTGAGTTTGATGCAATACCCCCGTCTACCTTGTTAATGCCCCAATCTACTGGTGATAGTGAATCAAGTGAGGTAATTTCTGATGATCTATCTGTGTCAACTTATGAGTTAACCCTACGAACCACTTGTAGGAAACCTCAAGTATAATATTCTCTTGATATACATGCTAAGTCTAAATATCCCATTAGCTATTATGTGTCAACTCATCGTTTATATAAGTCATATACATCATATTTGTGTCAATTATCTAGTGTATATGTCCCAACTAAGCTGCATGATGCTTTTTCTGATTCTAAATGGGTGGATGCCATGAATGTTAAAATGGAAGAAAGTTGTTTGAGTGTAGATGTGTGTTTACTTTGAAGTATAAGACAGATGATTTCATTGACCGTTAGAAGGCTAGATTTGTAGTAAAGGGTTATACTCATACTTATGAAGTGGAGTACTTGGAGACCTTTGCTCTAATAGCAAAGCTCAATACTGTGCGTGTACTCTTGTCCCTGGCTGCTAATCATGACTGCCCCTTGTTGCAGTTTGATGTCAAAAATGCATTCCTACATGGTCACCTCAAGGAAGAAATATACATGGATATTCCTCATGGTATTCTTATATGGATGAAAGCAATCTCCAAGAGCATAGTTTGGGAAGTTTGTTGTATCTATGAAGAAATTTGGGTATGTACAGAGTAATTCGAACTATACTATGTTTCTAAAACGTCATAAAGGTAAATTGACAGCTTTAATTATTTATATTGATGATATGATTGTGACTAGAGATGATCAGACAGAAATGCAAAATCTTTAGAAGTATCTGGCTTCCGAGTTTAAGATGAAGTCATTGAGTGACTTGAAGTACTTTCTTAGGATTGAAGTTGCTAGATCTAAGCATGGTATCTTTCTATCCTAAATAAAGTATGTTTTAGATTTACTTATGGAGACTGGAATGTTGAATTGTAAACCAATTGATACCCCTAGTGAAATAAAAATATAAGTTGGGGTTATATCCTGATCAAGTCCTTACTGATAAAGAACGTTATCAACGACTTGTGGGAAAATTGATTTATCCAGCTCATACACCTCCTGATATTGCAGATGCAGTGAGTGTAGTGATTCAGTTTATGCATTATCCTAGTAAAGATCGTATGGGTGCTGTGATGCATATTCAAAGGTATCTGAAAGTAACTCATGGCAAGGGGTTAATGTTTTCCAAGTATAGTCATACAGATGTGGAAGGGTGTACAGATGTCGATTGGGCTGGTTCAGTTACTGATAAACGTTCTATGTTAGGGTATTTCACATTTGTTTGTGGTAATCTTATTACTTAGAGGAGTAAAAAGCAAAAAGTGGTGTCTCGGTCTAGTGCCAAAGCCGAGTATTGTAAGATGGCTCAAGGTGTATGTGAGTTACTATGGTTAAGGAGATTGTTGGGAGATCTTGGGTTTGAGCCGCAGAAACCCATGGATTTGTATTGTGATAATAAAGCTGCAACTGTGATTGCTCATAACCCAGTGCAACATGATCATACAAAGCATGTGGAGGTTGATCGGCATTTTATTAAAGAGAAGTTGGATACTAAGATTATTTCTTTTCAGTTCATATCATCTGAGTATCAGCTTGCAGATGTTCTTATAAAAGCTGTGTCTACTATTGTCTTTCTCAACTTGCTTGACAAGTTGGGCATGCGTGACATCTTTGCTCCAACTTGAGAGGGAGTGTTGGCGAGATCCTAATTCTATTAGGAGATTTATTTCCTATTAGGACTTTATTTCTTTCTCTTTTGTACAAATCTTGTGTAATTAGGAGTTTATTTGTTTTCTTGTATAACCCTACTAGGATTTACATATTTGTATTATAAATACCTCCTTTTGGAGAATGAAAATACATCAAAAAATATTCTACCTCATATTATTTGACTATTAAATGGTGTGGGGTTTATCTATATCACTAGCGCTAAAAATGGGTATATAACTAAATACCTCATGTTTTATTTTATTTTGAAACTAATTTTTTAAATTTATATTTATATCATTTATTTTTAAAAAGAATGAATTTTTTTAATAATTGGTGGATTGAATTTCCCTAAACAACTAATAGAAGCTAAAAGAATTTGATAGAAATTGAGAATTGTTCTCGAATTGCTTCAAATTGAAACCACATGAACAAAATTGACCAAATTGAAACCACGTGGACCTTAATGATAAAAGTGATAACCACATGGACTAAAAATAACTTTTTGCCTTACTACAATGAAGACAAAGTAGTAAAACTAATTTCCTAAATTATAAAAATCAAAATCAAAATAAAAACAAATTCCACTACGTAATTATATGGGAGCTGCTACTCCCCGTTCCAAGCACATTCCTTTGCTTACTCTCCAATCCACCTACATCCATGTATTTTCAGTTTTTTATTATTATATATATTTCTTTTTATATCTATATATTCACCTAATTTAAAAATGTGGTATGAAAATAAAAAAAAACAGAAAACAATATTATGTTGATAACAATATAATGCATGAAAAGTCCAATTGGCAAATGCGTTTAGTGTGTTTGCAGGCATGAATATTTGTAGATATAATATAAGAGAATAAGAGAAAGAGAAGGAAGCGATGTTGTTTTGTGTATGTCTCGTTGCTATTAAGTTTGTATTGTATATATATACAGAGCTTTCATTGAGGGATCCCTCAAATATTATTTGAGGAACACCCCTTGTAGGGCCCACTCCGGATTGTATTTCACTAATCCAAACCGTCTATTTTGTACATACACATTCAAAGATCATCTCTACAAAAAATACTTGAATCCAATATCATTTGAACATTCAATTGAGTTATTGAAATTTTAATACTTTCTTGAAGCACTGTGTTAATTGATTTTGTAGGACACAATTGTTTGTCGAAACGGTTTCCGATTTGTCTAATTTTTTGTAAGAATGATCTATGAATGAAGATCTAAAAAATAGATGGTTTGGATCATTGAAAAAAAAACTGTAGGGTACCCTAAAGGGCGTCCCTCAAATGTTTTATTTCAGGGATCCCTCAATAGAAGGGGACTGTATATATATATATATATATATATATATATATATAGAGGGCGGATCCGTGGCACCATATTTTTGACATAAGTTTTGACACAATTTTTGAGCCATTAGATTACTCCACTTTTAATGGCTGAGATTAAACCTGACATGGCAAAACAAAATTTTTTTTTCTTTAATTAATACTAGCCCCTTGGCACATGCACGCATGTGCCAATTGGTTTACTTTTTTCTTTTTTCTTTTATTTTTAGAATTAAGAAAAAATAATATGGGTAGTTATGTTCCATAAAAGTAGGACCTATTATCTGATTTTGTTTTTAATTTAATTTTTTTAATATAAAAAAATGTGAATTTACCATATTATCCTCATTTAATTTATTATTTTAATTCTTAATGTTTGAATTAACCAATGACATTTTCTGGTATTTTGAATGTTTCACCGTTCTCTGTCTTTTCCTTTATATATATATATATATATATATAGATTTATACATTGGGATTAAAATTCTGATAATATATTAATTAAGAATTCATTCTCTCTCATCTCATTAAATATCTTTAATTAATTCATTCTCTCTCTTTCTTCTAAAGAGAATTGATAATAAAGGCACTCTACCAATTTTGCTTTGCCTAGATTTGAACAGTCTAGGTCAAGCATATTTCTTCCATCAACATATTCCACCAAAGAATATGCTTTTTTCTTCTTCTGTTTTCCTTGTCCACGTAATTGCTAATTGCTAAGGTTTGTTCTTTTCTTTTCTTGATAGATGAGGATTCAAATGGCGCAATCGATCAAGAAGAGATGAAAAAATGTTTTTATAAACTGGAAGTCTCTTTTATAGATGAGGAAATCAGAGATCTCTTTGAGGCATGTGATATTAATGAGGACATGGGTATCAAGTCTAATGAGTTCATTGTTCTTATTTGCCTAGTCTATCTTCTCAAGGATGACAGTAATGACGTTCACACTGTATCCGAAACACAAAACTTTTATTCTACATATTCTTTTTTAGCTACCATTTGTTGCTCTTTAACAATTCATAAATAGAGTAATATCAGCGCGACTGGATCAAAACTTGACACTCTCACCAGAGGAGGAGGCGAGAGAGAGAGAAAAAAGAAGCAGAGGCAGAGGCAGAGGAGAAGGCGTCAATTCTCTTTGGAAGAAAGAGAAAGGATGAATTAATTAACGATAATTAATGAGATGAGAGAGAATGAATTCTTAATTAATATATTATCAGAATTTTAATCCCAAGGTATAAATATTAATTAAAGAAAAAAATATTGTTTTGCCATGTCAGGTTTAATCTCAACCATTAAAAGTTGAGTAATCTAATGGCCCAAAAATTGTGTCAAAACTTATGTTAAAAATATGGTGCCTCGGATCCGCCCCCATATAGATATATATGAGAGCAACGATACTTGCAGAGGATGCAAACATCACTGCAAATTGAGAAGTCGGCGAACAAACAATCACACAGTGCAAATTATTGATATTGAATCCCTCTATACGTGGAAGAGATATTCCCACTAATGAAACCAAAGAGAAGACCTCATCGTGTCTTAAGGGGGGGCCACCAGTACAAGTTATTTACGCTAATATTTCCTAAAGTTTTCGATGTTTACATAAAATTCTCTGAGGTTTTAAAAATTACCCCTTGAGGTTTCAATTTGTTTTCACAAACCCCTTTTCATTGATTCTTTATCCAAAATTTGATGATTTCATACATAAAAACTTTTGCGCAAATAACAAAATTAACCTCAACGAATGTATGTGAATCCTAATATCAAAGGCTAACTTTGGCATTTGAAGAATTTTTTAATATAAAATCATCAATCTTTAGACACAAAATCAATGAAAATGAGTTTTGTGAAAACAATTTAGGACCTAAGGAGGTATTTGTGTAATTTTATAAACCTCACGGGGTTTTGTGAAAAAAACGGAAAATCTTAGGGCACTACTACAAAAATTGAAAAAGACGACCAGAAAAAGACGACGGTAGAAAAAAAAACCGTCGTTATATTTAAAAAGACGACTGTAACAAAACAACCGTCGTGGATAAGTGACTTAAACAACTAAAAAACGAAGGTACTGTTGAATGTTTTTTTATAACGACGCACACAAATAAAAAAGAGTCGTCTTATTAAAAAGGTTTTCTTCAGAGTTAAAATCTGACCAAAAAACAACGACAGTAGGTATGACAAGCGTCGTCTTTTAAAAATCAAGTGTCCTTTCAAAGACGGGTGAAAATTTGAAAGACGACGCTTTTTAAAAAAAGATCGTCATCTTTACATATAATAGACCGTCGTCTTTACCTATAATAGACGACTCTTTTTAAAAAAAAACCGTCGTCTTTACTTTCAACTCTTTAAATGCGTTTTTGGAAGGCTAAACGACCTCAAATGGCCAAAAACCACCATACATCAGTGCAAAGCACTGAGTTTGATTTCTGGCTTCATTCTCTTTTCAGAAAGGTATTATGGACCTCAATCAGAGCTCGGACGACAAAATTGCAAATTTCCGCTACGTCCCTTCTGCTTCCACTGTTTTATGAAGTAAAGACGACGGTTTTTTTTTAAAAGGGTCGTCTATTTTATGTAAAGATGACTGTTTTTTCTAAAAAGGGTCGTCTATTATATGTAAAGATGACGATCTTTTTTTAAAAAGCGTCGTCTTTTAAAACACGCTAAAAAATGGCCACTTAAGTGAATTCGCGCTCGACAAATTTTCAAATTTTCACCCGTCTTTGAAAGGACACTTGATTTTTAAAAGACGACGCTCGAAAAATTTTCAGATTTTCCCCCGTCTTTCAAAACCTTATCTCTCCCTCCTTGAAACCCTCCTGCACTCTCTAAACAACCCTCATGAAACTCTCTAAACTACTCTTCTATATCTTGCTAGTGAATTCTGGATTAGTCTCTTTGCGTTTCTGGTATGTTCTTTGTCTCCCTAATTTCAGATTTTGTCTCTCTTGATTTGTTTGGTTTGTTTACATATTTTTTATATTTCTGGTTTCTTTTTAGATTTTCTGATTTGGTTATCAGGAGATGATGAGGAAGCTTGCAGATTTATAACTTTTTCTTTTGCATGTTTTCTATGTGAGTCGTATGTTTTTTTGTTGTTGAAAATTTGTTACCTTCTCTTTTCACCATCGTTTTATTTATATATTTTTCCTTTTGCAAGTTCTTGATGATCGTTTTTATGCTCATTTTACAAGTTTTCAATGGAAATATGGACCAATGGTAAAATTTCTCTTCCACCTAATTTTTTATGTTTATAATCTTAACTTTTTTTCTCTCTTTGTCATTTTGATTTATTTACAGGGATGAAGGAGGAGACTTCAGTTGTGCATCATTTGTATGTTTGGATGAGGAATGCTTGGATTAGGAGTACTTAGGTCTTGTTAGGAATTATGTTTGTTGTAGAATAAAGATTGGTTAACTATGTAATAACTATTGAATCTTCAAGTTTTATGAAAGAAACTATTTTTGAGTGTATATATCCATTAATAAAGCATTATGGTTGGTTTTCTAGTTAAAATCGTTGTATAGCATCATAGGAAATCAAAAAGAACTAAAATGTAGCAGTTTGGAAACTTATTAGATGACGGTTTTTATAATAAATCATGGTCTTTACAGATAATTAACGACGGTTTATATAAAAAAGTGTCGTCTATTATAGGTAAAGATGACCTTTTTAAAAAAAATGGGTCGTCTATTGTATGTAAAGATATGACGGTTTTTATTTATTTATAAAAAACCGTTGTCTTTATAAACAATCCACGACAGTTTTCATAAAAAACCGTCATCTTTACATACAATACACGACGGTTTTATTAAAAAACTGTCATCTTTACATACAATAAACGACGGTTTTATTAAAAACAGTCGTCTTTCCTCCTATAATTAACGATCTTTACCTCTAAACAACGACGATTTTCTTTAAAAACCATCGTCTTTACTGATAAACAACGACGGTGAAAAGTCGTCGTAGTTTGAAACCCAAATAGACGGCAGTCAATTTCACGACAGTTGGAAAACCTTTTACACGACGGTGGTTTCCCGTCGTCTATTTCAATTTTTGTAGTAGTGGGGAGTGTTGGTGTAAATAATTTGTTGCCGCGACATGTGAAATTTAGGTTGAAAAACATATGATCTACCTACAATATAGGATTAAAAAGTTACATGAACAATACATATACCATGGAAACACTCGTGTACATACAATATACCTACACCATGGGAACACTCGTATACACACAACTTACCTATATTTACAACATATGCTTCCACCATAAGAACACTCGTGTATATAGAACTTACCAATATTTACAACATATACCAACACCGTATGAGAACACTTGGACATACAATGTACCTACATCATGGGTATATGAGTAAATAGATCACACCTAGGGGGTGTTTACCAAAGGCCCTCTGATGCCTAAGTCAGTTCAATAGATCTTGAGAAAGATACGACAAAGTAGCTGAAAGCATGGAGACCTTCTCTCACGGGAAGAGCCGGGTGGCCGAAGCCATGTGTGTTTCGGTGTGTGGCCGTGAAGGAGAAAGAGAAAGTAGCGTGAGGGGGAGAGAGAGGTTTTGCTAGGGTTTCAAAATCTTACCTCATGTGTGTTGTGTAGCCATGTATTTATAGGCTCCTTACTTGGCTAGGGTTTAGAAAATAATCCCTCTTTAATTAGAATTATTCTTGCCCCATCTCGGCTTCCTTCTGTCAGTTGAGTACCTTTCATGAGTTGGGCTCCTAATTGAAATAGGCTTGTGACTCCTTATTGAGCTGGGATACCCAACCTTTATAAATACAAGATTTCTCTGCAGTCCTCTTCAAATTGCAAACTTGATTTCCTCTACTTTATAACTTGTGAGAGAAATCTTGGATGAGTGTACTATTTGTCAAGGAGAGGAGTCGTTGTGCACACCAAGGTAGGTCACGCTTAGATTTTTATTTTTATGTAATTTTTTTTCTCTAGGCGAGGACTAGCTAGTGTGGTCCCGGCTAGTTGTTGTCTTGACTAGGTGCGATGGCAGCTGGCGGTAGTTGCCATGATTATTTACGCTTTTCTCGGCGAAGACCAGCTGACCTTGGTTGGCCGGTTGTCGTCGTGATGCTCAGGCTGGAGCAATTGGATGGTGGCTGCACGACTGTGGTTGCTACTATTGCTAGCAATGGTGGCTACGGCCACTGCCCCTTTTTTTTTTTTTTTTTTTTTTTTTTTTTCCCCCGCCCCCCCCCGCTCCCTCCCCTCCGCTGTGCTTGTTTTTTTTTTTGACTGGCCGGAACTGCGGGACTCTCTTTTGCTGTGGTTTGGCCTTGAGGGACTTTGCTTTTATGTTTCTTTTGGCCTATAAACATTCGTTTGTCGAACTCTCAATCAAAGTTGTTAATTGGGCAGAATCATATTTAAATACGTGGTCAGATTAAAAGTTTGACAACATAACATTTCAAACTATTTTAAATAATGATACCTTCTTTTTTAGACCAGCACTATAGGGAAAATCTCTTCAATGAGAGAGAGAGAGAGAGGAGAGAGCGAGAGAGAGAGAGAGAGAGAGAGAGAGAGAGAGAGAGAGAGTGCATCTTTCCTGTGAATTAAAGTCCAAGTTACAAGTTGTTTTGTTGTAGATATATTTCCAAGTTCCTTGCCCCACATGAAGACATTAAAAATGTAGCCTAGCATGCACGGAGTAGTCATTCAAATTGAAGCATTTTTGGGGTTTGAAAAAAAGAAAAATGCTAGGAAGAACATATAGTATATCACGGGTACACATTTTGATATTGTCTCCAATGAAGCGGGCAAAATATCACTCTTAAGAGCATTTCTACCCATTTGTCATGGTCAAGGGGAGGCAAGAGCAGATACTATTCACGTGAATAATGTCAACCCTTGCAAAAGACAAGGTATGTTTCCACCCATTGCTATGGCAAAGGGCAATTACTATTCATTGCAACTTTTAAAAAAAAAATACTTAAACAATTTGGATAAGATTTTCAGTTGCCACGTGTCAATTTTTATTATAAAATTCTCATCTCATATTTCGGATAAAATTTTCGGTTACCACATGTCATATTTATTATAAAATTCACATATCAAATTTCAGATAAAATTTTCATATAAGATTTTCGAGTGCTACGTGTCCGTATTTATTATAAAATTCATATCTCACTCATCATACAATTAAAATACTCCCGATCCTCATAGTCTGACACAATCGAGTACATGGACAACTCAATCATTGGCGGAGACGGTTCCACCAGATCAAGACATGGGGGAGTATTTTCTTTTGAGGCCGTAATAGTGTCATTATTTTCGACACGGAACGCACCATGGGAACCGACTGCCTGCATTGTTCACTTGAGGAGCCATGTGTAATGGTTTTCCTCTTTTTTGTTTTGCCTTGAATAATATATTAAAAAAAAAATTAAAACACACCACACAAAAAAAAAAAAAAAAAAAAAAAAAAAAAAAAAAAAAAAAAAAAAAAAGAATACAGAATTTGATGAATAAGGAAATAATAAATTTTATTTTTTTTTTTGCCAAGATTTTGACCGCTTTTAAATGTTTTGTCCGGCTTCGATGTAAGAAGCCATTTGTATTGTTACACAAATGATATTGAGTAGTAGAAAATTTTGTGTAGAAAGTGAATAATATTGGAAGGAAAAGAATTTGTATGAAGATTTGGTGTGGAAAGTGAATCATATTGGTAGGTATTTATAGAACCCTCCAGGAATCGCCACGTGGCTTTTGGCCTTTGGATTGGAGCACAAACCCTAGATCGAACCCTCCAGGAGTTGCCACGTGGCTTAGAGCCGTTGGGTAAAGCTGCGCCGACGCCACATTAGCGTCAATGCAAGTTTTTCAAAAAAATTTTAACGTAATTCACACGTCAACAGTAGAAAAAATTCAAATTATTGCGTTGAGGCCAACGTGGCATCAGCAATGACGTAAGCTGCCCAAAGACAGCATCCCGAGCCATTTCTCCCCGAGAGCTTGCTCAGGTTAGTGGGCTCCACGCCTTGCCCAGGCTTGCTGTTGCGTGCTGGAATGTCCTCGCAGGGCCTACTCAGAAATTGTCAAAGCGTGGCTGTGGACTTTCTCTTTCTATTAGCTTGAAAACAATGCATCATTAAAGCGGCAAAACATCACTTTTAAGACTTAGAAATTGTCAAACAACCACAATTGTAGACCACATTATTAGGTCTAAAAAGGAGGCCTCCACGGTGAGAGGACCTCCTTATTTCAAAGCTTGCGACGAATCGAAGCACTTTGCCCCAGCTGCCAGCAGAAGGAACCGCGTTGAAAAAGTTGGAAAGACTGTTACGACGTCCTTTTCTTCTTCCAAATGTCGCAAATGGCTTGTCGCACACTGTAAAATAATATAAAGTACAATCTAGCCTCTGGAAACTAGTTCCTCGGAAACATTAGCTTCTAGATTTTCTTGAGTGTTGTTCTTCTACTTAGTGTGTTTGGTTAGTCTTCGGTTGTCTACAAGTCTTATTTGCATACTCCCTTTGCACAACTGTTCTGAGGGAGCATTAACTTTCTTTCGTATAGCCATATCCTGGCAGTTGTACCAATAAAATAGGATATGAAATCACATTCGCATTAGAATCACAAAGATTTAATATCTCAAATAGCATTCGGATGGAACCTTGCCGAAAGTTTAATGTCAAATAATATTATTGTATTGTCCTCCTGTCAAATTAAGTTCGTTTCACTTAATTCTTTGCATCCATAAAAATATATTTGGAGTGACTTGGATAGCCAAATGTGTCGGTTTTGCCAGCATAAAGAACAATATGTAGCATTAACTTATATCCAACAAGTTTCTTTCATGTAGCCATACCCGCAGACACTTTATATCCAACAAGTTATGCACTTGTACCAATAAAATAGGATATGATATCACATTCACATTAGAATCACCAAGATTTAATATCTCAAATGGCATTCGGATGGAACCTTGCCGAAAGTTTAATGTCTACGGAAGTTTGTATTTGTTGCTTGCTTTGCTTTCATAAGCCTGCAGGCTGACCTGTGTTGCATTAATCTTTTATACCCATTTTTGTTTTCAGTTGATTTGGTATTCATGATTTTTCAAAGCCACAACCTGTCGTTTTTGTTGCTTGCAAAAGCCAGCGTGAGGAAATCGTATCCGAAAAAGAAGACATAACTATGAGAACAAACTGTGCCTTATTACATTGGGAACACAAAAGAAAAGCAAACAAAAAAAATGTAAAATAAAACTACAATAATATATGTCTAGCCTCTAAGCCTTCTTTTCATCGTGTTGATGGGCATTGTTACCATTACATACAACCTATCTTGTACATTGTCGATGAATCGAAAATACACGTATCTCCATGTCTTGTTAACAACTAAAGAACCACACACTCCCCAAAATCCCACCATGAACCCCAACGCAGTGAAAATATAAAACCATGGAAGTTGATGAGGTTCATTGTCCAAGTCTTTGTTGTTTGTGTCATCTTCATCAATGCCCATATTTGATCCGCACTTATTTGGAAGTGGGGCACCACAAAGTTTTAGATTCCCCTCAAAGGCAGAAGTGTTGAAGGTTTGGATCTGAGTGCTTGTTGGAATTGGTCCTCCAAGATTATTGTACGAGACATTAAATTTTCTCAAGAAAGTAAGGCTCGCCAATGACGATGGAATGCTTCCAGAAAAATGATTCATGGAGAGATCCAAAACCTCTAAATTTTTTAGGTTAGATATTTGGTCTGGAATGACACCGGAGAAGTTGTTGGAGTAAAGAGCCAACTGACGGAGAAGGTGCAATTGTCCGATCTCAGCAGGTATATCACCAACAATGTTATTGTTAGATAAGTCTATCGTTGCGGGGAAACAAGACAATTTATGCGGTTGAAAATTTAGATTTGTAGTTATGCTGCCAAAGACATTCAATTCAAATTCATATCGGTCTACTTGAGATGCAATAGGTTCATAAACCAACCTTGGTAGTCTACAGAGTTGCTTTGGAAATTCACCTGAAATTCGGTTATTTGACAAGTTGATAAAAAACAGTCTAGGAAGATTCCCCAACCAACTTGGAATTGGCCCAGTGATTTGATTAAAGGCTAGAATCAAGATCTCTAGATTCTTGAGCTTCGATAACCACACAGGTATTTCACCAGTGAGATTAGTACCAGCCATATTCAATGCCCGAAGATTTTGGAATCCGTCAAAATCAACCATGCCATCATCAAATGACATTCCCTCACCCACAAAGGAACCATCAAGCGAGAGTGTGTGAAGGCTTTTGCAACTCATCAATATCTTCATTGTGCCTGTGAGGTTGGTGAATCGGTTGTAACCAAGGGTGAGGAAGGACAAGAATTTCAATGAAAGAATCTCAATTTGTATTTGTCCCTCTAGATGATTTCTAGTCAATGCAATGGCTTTTAAGTTCCTACATGAGTAAAGGCTTGTTGGAAACATACCAGTAAAGTTATTGTACCTTAGGTCAAGTTTTGCAAGTTGACTAAGTCTGGAGAAATTAAGCATGGAGATATCTCCTTCAAGGTTGTTGATTCCCAAACATAGTTCTACAAGGTTTGTGCAGTTCATCAAAGATGTGGGAATAGTACCTTCTAAATTGTTGAAATCAACAGTCAAAAACTTCAACTTGGAGAGCTTACCCAAATTTAGAGGAAGCTCGCCGCTCAATTGATTAAGGCTGAGGTCAAGGATTTGAAGGTTGGTGAGGTTGACAATTTTATCACTAATGGCTCCACGTAGTGAATTGATAGGTAATGAAATTTCTTCAAGTTTGGTAGCATTATAGATATCTTTTGGAAGTAACCCTGAAAGGTTATTGTGACCAGCACGAAAAACCTGCAGTTCAGAACACTCCCCTAGCCCAAGAGCAAGGTTGCCACCGAATTGATTGGAAGAAAAGTCCAATAGCCTAACAAAGGGAGAATAATGGAGACAAATAGAGGATGGGACATACCCTGTGAAGGTATTGTTGCTGACATTGAAACTAATCAAGTTGCTTGCTTGTTGGAAGAATGAAGATGGAATTGCACCAAAGAAGTGATTGCTCGACAAATCAACTATCCGAATTTTGCTAGATGGTAGAGAAAGTGGTAGCTCCCCATAAAGATGGTTATAGCTCAAATCAAGGATCTCAAGACGATTCAAAGACAACAAGAATTGAGTCTCAAGTGAACCATATAGTGAGTTGTGGGAAAGGTTCAAATGGGTGAGATGTGTGAGATTTCTAAGTGAAGAGGGAGAGATACCTCCTTTGAGCCCTTTGGAAGGTAAGAGCAAATGGGTGACCCAATCATCTTGATCACAAGTGATGCCTTTCCAGTGACAGCAATTAAGTGATGTCCAATTTAAAGGAGGAGAAGAGAGAGCGGAGGCAAAGGACAAGAGGGAGCAGCGTTCAATTTGGTTGCAGGCATGAATATTTATAGATATAATGTAAGAGAATAAGAGGAAGAGAATGAAGCCATGAGCCATTAAGTTAGCAATGTTGCTTTATGTGTGTGTCGTTGCTCACAGGTTTGTATATATGTGTGTGTGTGTGTGTGTGTATATATACAGTTTTGCTCACATCAGGATGACTGGATTTTAATTAAAATGCGGATATTAAAGGTGAAATGTCATATCAATCCAATGGTATTGCAGCCTTGATATGTATTAATTGACAAAACTTAAAGCCACACGCATCAGCTCTTTGGTGTTTTTTTTTCACGAGCAGGTGGCAGCCACAACTTTAATGATTATTAAACTAATTTAATATTATATCAAATTTTCATACTCTCTCTCCTTCTTTCTCTTGATTACCTCAAGCTCTCCCTTCTCTCTGTCTCTCTCCCTCTCTTTCTTTTTCTAATTTTCTTTTTCTTTCTTCTTCTACCTCTCTCTCTCTCTCTCTCTCTCTCTCTCTCTCCCTCTTCTCTGCTTCTTCTCCTTCTTAACAAAGGGCTTAAGCCCAGAGATCAATGGTTTCATTAAGCCTGTTGTTTTTTCTTCAAGTCAAAAAGTTTATGGAAAATGCATCACATGCCTATTTAATTTCTAGATTTCCAGACATTTCATTAAGCCTGTTATTTTTCCTTCAGTCAAAAAGCTATGAGAACAATGACTTGTAAAAATTTATCTAAATCAAATGGACAATGGATTTTGATAATTTGTGGATTGCGATGGGTGTTTCTTTGTTTTTCTCTACAAGTCAACAACCTTCCAGAAAACACAGCCCTTAATGGCAGTAGATATGCAATCATAACCTAGAAATTAGTTGACAAATTTAATTGGGGGTTGTGAACCTTTTTGGGTTGTGAAATTTTGGGGGTTTCTATATCTAAATGTTTGAATAAGAGTTTTACAGAAAAGGAAAACACAATTTTTAATTATAAGAGGTTTATAGAAAAGGAAAAACACCACTTTTAATTATGATATGTAAGAGCATCCACAATCATGCTCTCTATTTAGTTAAAATTTAGCTAAAAACACATAAAAACTATTTTAAGAGCTCTCTATAAAATTTAAACTCCCATCATGGTCTCTAGTTTAGGGAGTCATAAATGATATAACTCTTTTTTAATTGGTCAATCTCTATTAAAAAATAATATAAAAATAGTTAACATTAATTAAAAGTTTAAAATAATCATAAAATAAAAGAGCATTAAATTATAGGGAACTACTGGGAGTCTTTTCTCTTTCCTCAGATTTAGGAACTCTAAAGGTTTCCCTATTTTAGGAGGTTGATAGGGATTCCTCCCTAAAATTTGTCTAAATAGATGATTTAAGGAGCCCATTATAGATGTTCTAAGTCGCCAAATAGACAACCGCCTGAAGCAAATAGGGAGCCCACTGGGAGACAACTGGAAATTGAGAAGTCGGCAAACAACAACCGCATGAAGCAAATTATTCAGATTCAAAGAGAACCAGAGAGGACTTTGCTACTTAATTCGAAGAACTCATAGTTTCTGTTGTGTTGATAATTTTTCTTGGAAATTTGGAACATTGCATTGCTAGTAAAGCCTGACCTCAACATTTCATTGGCATGACGTCCTATATTCACAAGTCACAAGTCATGTCCTATATTCTCAACATTTCATTGGTGGTACAGGTGCAGTCACTGATTCAAGGGATAAAATTGCAGTTTAAAAATCAAGAGTTGAGATTGAATGACCTGATCACTTGTTCAGCCATTTCTTATTGAACCTCACATGAGTCATATGTGACTGATAGAAAGGAAAAGAAATCCAGACTCATGCGCTGGAAGTATTCCACAAGAAAACCCAATACGCTGCCAAGACTTCATCGCCGTCTGTCTGCAGACAAGAAATCTCAGCCCTGTTTTTCTTCAAGGAAATTTGAGATTGGCCTTGTTAGTTTGCATCAGCATAGGAAAATAATAAACTTGATGATTCAAATGATAGTGGTTGAGGACAAAATGTGAATTTTTAGAAAGCATTGCAATCCTTATTGTTCAAATTCATGAACATTTCTTTATCTTATTCTAGTTGTTTTAGGAAATATGGGGTCCTAGTTTCTTCTTGACTTAGTTGCCTTAGATTAAATGATAGTGCTAAGCTTAATTCGAATGAATTAGTTTGAATTCCAATCTCAAAAAACCTTGTTCGTATGCATTGTTCATGAAAACTCCTTCCTTTTTTTTTTCTTCACGAAAATATTTAGGGGTGCATTGGCAAATTTCTTAGATGAGAGGTTGAATCATCCTTTCCCAGGGTGACTCACGTGCCTCATCTATATTGAGGTAGCTGATCATAGTCTTCATAGCTAGACAGTTGACGTATAGTTGAAAAATGAGTGATTCACTGTTTCTTGGGCAAAATGAGTATAGGCAGGCATAATTTCCCTGTGTTTGAACTGCTGTCAGCATTTGCGAACTGCATCTCATCTTGAAATGTGCTCTTCTCAACTTTAGGAAAAGTTCTGTCTAACTAAAACCTCCCTTTTTTGTTGTGGATGGTGTTGGGGGATGATGTTTGTTTAAGCACTTCAAAGGTTTTCATCTCCGAAACTCAATGAATCTTTTCCATTTGTTACTTATGGATCCAGCACATGATTGAGATCTTATTTGATTTCAGATTTAAGGATATATTTTGCAGTATGCTTATTTCCTAATCATATTTTGGACTCACAAAACTGATATAATTGAAGTATAACTGCAGACTCTTAACTGTGCAGTTATTTTGCACAATGGGGATTGATATAATGGATATATGTTGCAGTATGCTTATTTCCTAATCTCTTCTTTTCTTGGTTGCTTGCTCTCTCCTCAGTACTCATTACAATAATTCTTGTTGATTCAGGTCTTTCCCTTCTTCAATATCCCGGAGTGATGCACTTTAGGGAGCCATAACCTACATAAATGAGATTTTCCAATCAAGTACATGACTACACTAATTTAACAATATCAATTTATGCAATTGCATATTGTAAACTGAGAGTTGCTATCGAAGTTTGATTCAATAATGTGGTTCAATCATTCGACCATTTAGTGGTTCAATTTTATTTTTCATTAATTCAATGTGGTTCAATCATTCGACCATTTAGTAATTCTTTTTGTTGAAAGTTTTTAAATTCATATTTGTATCAACAATAATATGTTTGATATTATTGAATTTTTTTTTTTGTTAATTAAAAATATATAGTAACAATTGGTGATAATCAACAAAGTTCAATTTTCTTTCCATTAGTTCATTGTGGTTCAATTTAGTAGTAAATCACAAAAGTTCTATTGAATAATTTATTCTAACAAACCTACCTAACAAACGCTAAGCGACTCATTGGTCAGGTAAATGATGTCATCCCTTGACCAAATTACCCAACAAATGCCATGATTTACTCAATGAATGAGTCCCTCAGCGCTCATTGGCTAAAGTATGTCGTTCGTTGGATAAATCACTTAACAAACACCTTGACAAAAAATAAATCACTTAATGAACGAAATAATTTACCTGGTAAACGAAAAAGGGCTCGTTTGTTAGGTAAACAATATTATTCGTTGAGTAAATTACTCAATGAACGTCTCATTCAGCGTTCGTTTAGGTAACATTGACGTTCAACGGGCTATAGGCATTTAGACTCGTTACTAAGCAAACAAAATAATTTACACAAACGAACGCTAAGGGACTTGTTCATTGGGTAAATTATGTCGTTCGTAGGGTAAATTGCATGACGAACGGAATAATTTACCTGGTAAATGATAAAGGGTTCGTTCGTTGGGTAAATAATGTCATTCGTTGAGTAAAGAACGACTCCCCCAGCATTCGTTGGATAAAAATTGATGTTCGGTGGGTAACGGGCATTTAGACTTGTTACCGAGCGAACATAATAATTTACACAAGGAACACTAAGGGGATCATTCATTGGGTAAATTATTTAATTTGTTGGGTAAATTACATAACGAACGAAATAATTTACCAAGTAAACGATAAAGGGCTCGTTTGTTGGGTAAATAATGTCATTCGTTGAGTAAATTATTCATTGAACGCACATATACATTAGTTATATGGTTCTCAATTACAATGTTAAAACCTACATTAATTAATTCAATGTGGTTGTAACATTTGAGCATTATATGTAGGTCTTTATTTAAGTTAATAGTAGACGAGCAATGTGTTTTCAATTAGTATTGAAATAAAAATAATAAATGACTATACGATCACGCATGATCGAAGGAACTTTGGCATAGGCATCCCAACTAAGATTACAAACTCAAAATAATCAAAAAGATATAAAGCTTGAAAAAACCAAGCCATAACAATACAAATAAAACTCTTACAAAGGAGAGATGAAAAACTCCCACCAAGGAGAGGTGAAAACTACACATAGAACCCAAAGAGTCTCTGTGTAATATCCTGCACCCAAATAATTTACTAAATTTCTTAATTTTTAAAACAAGGGGCAACCCTATCCTTAGGGTTTTTATAGTGGTTTAGGGTTGACTTTTTCCTCGGGGATGGCTTGGAATCACGTCTTTTGCTTTTATGTTTCTTTTTGCCTAGAAACATTCATTTGTCGAACTCAAGGTTATTGATTGGGCCATATTTGAATATGTGGTCAGATTAAAAGTTTGATAACATAAAATTTCAAACTACTTTAAAGAATGTTACCTTCTTTTTTTGACGAGCACTACAGGGAAAATCTCTTCAAATGAGAGAGAGAGAGAGAGAGAGGATGAGCGGTCAGATTAAAAGTTTGATAACATAAAATTTCAAACTATTTTAAAGAATGTTACCTTCTTTTTTTGACGAGCACTACAGGGAAAATCTCTTCAAATGAGAGAGAGAGAGAGAGAGAGAGAGAGAGAGAGAGGATGAGCGGGCGGATACTCGCATTCCTATGAATTAAAGTCCAAGTTACAAGTTCTTTTGTTGTAGACATATTTCCAAATTCTTTGCCCCACGTGAAGACATTAAAAATGTAGCGTAGCATGCACGGAGTAGTCATTCAAAACGAAGCATTTTTGGGGTTTTAAAAAAGAAAAATGCTAGGAAGAACATATGGTATATCACGGGCACACATTTTGATATTGTCTCCGATGACGCAGACAAAACATCACTCTTAAGAGCACTTTCATCCATTTGCCATGGCAAACATCAAGGGGAGGCAAGGATAGATACTATTCATGTGAATAGTGTCATCCCTTGCAAAAGGCAACGTGTGTTTCCACCTATTGCCATGGCAAAGGGCAATTACTATTCACTGTAACTTATTTTTATTTTTTATACTTAAACAATTAATTTAGATAAGATTTTCGGTTGTCACGTGTCAATATTTATTATAAAATTCTCATCTCATATTTCGGATAAAATTTTCGGTTGCCATGTAACACCCCGACCCTAATCTAATTGTCCATCTTAATTAATTAATTTATTAAATTGTGAAATTACAATTTTGCCCCTGGGGGTAGGGGTAATTTGGTCACTTTTTAATCCAGAAGGATTTTGGGGAAATGAATGGTACTTGCGTAGATCATGCCGAGATGAGTTTGTAGACATGTAGTGGGATCAAACTGGAGTTATAACAAAAAGTTACAATCAACGGAAGCATAATGGCACAATCGTAAATATTTCGAAGTTCAGTTTTAAAAATCAGATTTTTATTTCTCTCTCCCTCTCTTTCTTTCTTTCTCTTCCTCAGCCCCCTTCCCTTCGTGAATTGGCCGGCAACCACCTCATCCAGCCACCATTTATGGCGGGGCTGGTACCAAAATGACCGGGCTGCCTTCCTCTCCCTATCCCGCACCACCTCCAACGAAGCCAACAACCATGGTCGCCAGAAAATGCTGAAAATAGACCGGATTTTACATAAAACTTTCGTCGTCATTTTCGACGATTCCGGCCCCCAAATTTGTTGATCCATGTATGCTTTCTCATCCTTTGCAATGCGTCCTAGCTGATGATTGGGTTCTTTAGGATTGATTTCTGCATTTTGGTTGTCAAATTATCGCTTGAAATCTGGCCTATTTTGGACTCGCGATTCTGGCTATTTTCGACAACTTTTTGGGTTTGGTCCAAGAACAAAAATTGTTCCATTCAACGTCCTGATCATGTAGGTATAGGTCTTGACCGGCGGTTTGGAGATTTTTCGATCGCCGGAATCGCTTTGGACACTTGCACTTTGTGGCTGATATTTGGGTTCTAAAATAATCTCCATGTCATCCTGAGCACGACGGTATACTCGGATTTGAACTTGGTTATCGTTTGACCGTCGATCAGATATCGTATATTAGGCGTTATAGGGGTTTAATAGGTTTGGACCGTTGGATCGCCTTCATTTCAATATATGTTGATCTAGGCATCCTCAGGATCCTGTAGGAATTTGTGGATCTTGAATCGGAGACCCGGATGTTCCGATTCAATAACTTAAACTTCGCGTTAAACGATAACCGTCTGATTGTGCGATCGAGAACGATCCGACCGTTCGATTCATACCAAACTTGCAAGACCTATATAGTAAACCTTGTTGAACCCGTAAGAACTTTCGAATCAGAAACCGGAGGTCGTGGACCCCGCAGGTTGGTTGACTGTGAGTCTTTCGATGTAGTTTCACCCTTCGAGGAGTACTAAAATGACCTTATTAATGAGTCTCAACCGTTATTTGATTTATTGTTGACTATGTGGGATTATGAGAATGTTTTATGGTATTGTATGGAATTATTGGATATTAGTTTGATAATTTAAGAAGTGGAATGGATGAGCATGGGATATTTGTTTGACAGGCGGTGAAAGTGAGTCTTGGGTCCTGGCTATGATCATTAGTATAAGTGGACAGTTGTTTTAAGTGCACTTCGTTTTTTTAATATGGAATTTCTTGCATGATGAGTTTAGATTCAAAATTGATTTAATATGGGACAATGAGGTGTGATAAGCTGTTGCCTACCATGAACATGAGGGTCTTGTTGGTTGAAGCTGATGACTCCACCAGACAGAGGTCAGTGGCTCTTTTCTTTCTTGGCTGCTCTGCTGTGCTGTTGTTGCTTTTGCTTAAAGTCTTGGTTTTGTTTAATTATCTAGTGTCTTTTGCTAAATAATCAACTGGGTTGTTTTTGGCGATCGTTTGTTGGTGTTAGTTAAGATTGTGTTCATCTAATGAGTTAGATGATTTGCTTTTTTTTTTTTTTCTTTTTTTTTTTTTTTTCCTCTCTTTTCTTTATTATAAAGATTAGGTATATTCTATTTCTGGGCCTGTGCGGATGAATAATTGAAGAATTTTGTTGAATTAGCTCGAAGTTGAAGCCTGTGCTGACAAGGAACATAGGCCAATAGTAGTAAATTTGTTTAGAATTAAATTAACCATAACCAGGAAGACGTCTAGTTCTGAGTTCTAATTACAGTGACAGAATGATTTCTTTCTACTTTCACGTGTCTCGAGTTTATTGAATAAAGGGGTTAATGGTTAAAGTCACTCTTTTTGGCATTTGCTGCTTGTTGTTAGTAGTACAGATAATATATACTGCAGATTTTATTGCTATAAGACTATAGTTTTGGTAGTGGGCCCGGCATCTGTGTGATGTCGGAATTTCTATAGGATTCGTCTCGGGTTTCGAGGAATTTGGGGTAGATTCTGTCAAGTATGTCCATATTTATTATAAAATTCACATCTCAAATTTCAAAGAAAATTTTCGGATAAGATTTTCGGTTGCCACGTGTCCATATTTATTATAAAATTCACATCTCATTCATCATACAATTGAAATACTCATGATCCTCTCATAGTCTGACACAATCGAGTATATGGACGGCTCAATTATTGGTGGAGGCGGTTCCACCAAATCAAGACATGGGGAAGTATTTTCTTTCGGATGACTTAATAGTGCCATTATTTCAGACACGGAACGCACCACAGGAACAGACTGCGGGCATTGTTCACTTGAGGAGCCATGTGTAATGGTTTTCCTCTTTTCTGTTTTGCCTTCAATAATCTATTAAAAAATTAAATTGGAAATGCAAGAAAATGATTTTAAAATGACATTAAATTGAATAAAACGGCAATTAGAAATTTTTTACCTTGTCACCAAGATTTTGACAGCTTTGAATGTTTGTCCACAACCCTCCGACTTCGATGGAAGATGCCATTTATATTTTTACACAAATGAAATTGAGTAGTAGAAAATTTGGTGTGGAAAGTGAATAATATTCGTTGGTATTTATGGAAACAAAAATTTCTGAATTTAATTTTTTGGTAATTTTTATAAAAAAAATTTGATTTTTTTTCAATTTTTTGGCCGTTCATTTGGAGCACAAACCCCAGATCGAACCCTCCAGGAGTCGCCACGTGGCTTATAGCCGTTGGGTAAAGCTGCGTTGACGCCACGCTGGCGTCAAATCAAGTTTTTCAATTTTTTAAAATGTAATTCACAAGCCAACAGTAGAAAAAAAAATTCAAATTATTGAGCTGAGGCCAGCGTGGCATCAACGATGATGTAAGCTGCCCGAAGGCAGAAGCTAGGGCCATTTCTCCCCGTGGGCTAGCCCGGGTTAGTCGGCTCCATGCCTTGCCCGGACTTGCTGTTGCTTGCTAGAACGTCCTCGGAGGGCCTTCTCAGAAATTGTCAAGGGCTCACAATGCGTGGTTGCCGCTTGAAAACAAAGCGGCAAAACTTGACTTTTAAGACTCATAAATTGTCAAATTATTAGAGCATGTCCAGCGCAAGACCCAAACCGGGGGAAAGGCGAGGCCAAGCGCGCTCCAGCGCAAGAGAAGAAGCCCGGGCAAGAGCTGGGTCCCACCAGCCCGGGCAGGCCCAAGGGCAAGTTCCGCTTGGGGTTCGGCCTGAGTTTTGTGACGTCACGCTGACGTTAGCGCACGGTAATTCAAATTTTTTTTACTGTTGGCGCGTGGATTACGCTCGCCAATGGTAAAAAAAATTGACTTTCGCACACCGACGTCAGCGATGACGTCACCCCTGACAGAATCCAACACGCATTTGCCACATGTCGCGACAGGGACTCTCCAATCGTTTTTTTTTCCAGAAATCTGATAGTCCTTTTTTTTTGGCTAAAAAAATTCGAAAAAATTCTGAATTTTTTTTTAAAAAAAATACCAAAAAATTATGTATTTTTTCCCTATAAATACCTAACCATTTTATTTACTTTCCACACCAAATCTTCATACAATTTCTTCTCCATCTAATATTTTTTACTCTCCACTCACATTATTCACTTTCCACACCAATTCTCCATACAAACTCTTCTCGTTCCAATATTTTTTACTCTCCACTCACATTTTTCTACTACTTTCCATTTGTATAAAAAAAAAGAAAAAATAAATAAAAGGGCATCTTCTGTCGAAGTCGGAGGCTCGTGGTCAACTCAGGAAGATATTGCGTTGTGTCAGTCTTGGGTGAACGTTAGTCTTGACCCTATCACAAGTAATGAGATGAAGTTCCATCATATGTGGAGCAAAATTCATGGAGAATTTTGTCAAAGATCGGGTTCCATTTGGACCGAAATGGCCTTGTCTAGTAGATGGAAACTTCTGAATAAAGAGTTAGGAAAATGGAGAAATGCCTTGACAAAAGTAAGGGAGAACATTCGAAGCGGTCAAAATTTTACCGATGAGGTAAAATATTTATAATTGCCATTTTAATTTAATACTTTTTTTTTCTTGCATATTCTATTTCTTTTTCTTCCATAATCTTTTTTTTTCTTTTTGCATTTCCAATTTGTCTATATTTTCTTGCGTAATCAATTTTATTCTTGCATTTCAAAATAGTTTATATTTTCTTGCATAATAATTTTTTTTCTTGCACTTCCAATTATTTATTTTTAATAGATCATACAAGCACAAATGTGGTTCGGTGCCACAGGGCAAGGCAAAAAAAGTTTTGTGCATTTCCAATGTTGGGAAGTTGTGAAGGATTGTTCGAGATTCAAATTTATTCCTACCGGTCCGCCGGTTGTGTTGAATGAGAAGCCGCTCCACGAGTCGCCATCAACCGATTCGCCATTGGACTCCCCAATGGAAACGGAGTCACCATTCGTGCCACGTCCACCGAGACCTATTGGGAGAAAGGCAGCAAAGGCCAAGAGAGGGGGCACTTCAAACAATAAATGTGTACAATTATTGGAGCAAATAGCTAAGAACACCTCACTAAGAATTGAGAGAGACTTGAAAAGAGATGAAATGGACGTGGCACGAGAGGAAGCATTTGTTATTCAACAACAGAAGGCACAAGAAAAACACATGGATGATAGAGAGATGAAAATCATGGCCATGGATACGAGCCATATGTCTCTTGAAACAAAGGCCTATTGGAAGCTAAGACGAAGGGATGTGATGAGAAGAAAACTTTTCCATGACGATGGACCTAGCAATACAGATTGGTTAAATGATGAAAACCATTAGGTTGTATTGAAACACCTTTGCCATATGTTGTATTGTTGTATTATCCTTTAATTTGTTGTATTGTTTCCTTTTTATTCAATAAAAAAAGCATTAAATAATATGACTATTTATTAAAAACAAACCTTAATTTATTGCAAACAACACACAAAACAAACCATACATAAAAGCATAATAATAATAAAAATCATAATTCTAAAAAACACAACACACAAAATAAAGCATAATTAAAAACAAAGCATAATTCCAAACAATGCACTAATCTTGACTTCATCCATTGTGATTGCCTTTCATCTCCCACAAGTGCTCGATCAAGTCAACTTGACGAATCTCGTGAACATATGAAGATTGCATTTCTTGATAACGATCAATCATGGGGTTGTTGAATTGACCATCCCAAAGTAACGATTCGGGCTCCAATGGTAGTCCATTTGGTCCCATCGGCTTTTATATATTCTTGTCAATGTCGTGTTCATGGGATCGGGTTCAAACACCTCTAGAGCATCATAGTCATACTCATCCTCCACAATCATGTTGTGGAGGATGATGCAAGTCATCATAATACTCCGCAGCACCTCCTCATCTAGCATCCGAGCAGCACCCTTACTAATTGCCCAACGAGCTTGCAAGATACCGAAACACCTTTCCACGTCTTTCCTGTAACCTTCTTGAAAGGAAACAAAGCTTCTTTCCTTCTTGGATTGGGGATTCGGAATTGTTTTCACGAATGTCGTCCACCTAGGATAAATTCCTTCGGCAAGGTAGTACGCACCAGAGTATTGTTGATTTGGTACGTGACCTAGAAGGAATGACCTTGCAATACCTCGTCGAATACCGGGGATTGACCAAGAATGCATGCTAAACCCAACAGTCGAATGAAGCTACGGCCTCCAAAATTATTCTTTTTTGGCCCTTCCGATTCTTGTACTCTCCTTGCCAAGCAATAAGACAATTCTGCCACTGCCAATGCATGCAATCAATGCTTCCAATCATTCCTAGGAAACCTCAAGCCTCGCCTTTTTGTAGAAGCCTTTGTAGGTCCCTCGGCATGGGTTTGCGAAGGTACTCCCTTGTGTACAAATTTTTCACTGCATCACAAAATCTCACCAAGCACTCTAGGATAGTAGATTTTCCCATCCTTGCAATCTCATCCACCTGCTTTGTAGATGCCCCATAAGCAAGCATCCGCAAAGCAGCTGTAAGTTTTTGCTCTGGGATAAGACCCAAAGCTCCAACAGCATCATGCTTTTGAATGAAGTATGTGTCGTAATTATAAATATCATGCATGATTTTTTGGAACAAATGTGGCTGCATTCTATATCTCTCTCGAAACTTAGAAGCAGGATATAATGAATTTGGGATAAAATAATCCTCCAAGAGATTCTTACCCCGAGACTCCCTACGTCTGTCCACATTCGGGGCACGACGACGACGGTGTTGCCTTGATTGATTAAGCATACACACTTCTGCTGCAAGCATTTGTTCCTCTTCTTTAGCACGTCTACGCCGGATTTCTTCCCTTTCTTTCTGTTGCCTCTCCAACACCCTCGACAAGTTTGACATTGAGAGTAGAATGTGTTTTGTAAAATCTGAGAAATGAAGGAATAGATAAGAGATGGTGTGAGAGGTATGAGTTGATGGTGTAGTTTTATAGAGGGATTCAAAAGATAGAGATGACACGTGGCACAATTTTATAGGGTGAAAATCTTATCTGAAATATAAGATTATAATTTTTTTAAAAATATTTGAAAATCTTATCTGACATGGGACACGTGACACAATTTTAGAGGGTGAAAATCTTATCTGAAATCTGAGATTATAGTTTTTTTTTAAATATCTGAAAATCTTATCTAACATGGGATACGTGGCACAATTTTAGAGGGTGAAAATCTTATCCGAAAATTTAATTACAAAAGATTATCAAAATTAATGGTTTAAAGTATAAAAAAATAAGAAATAAAGTAAAATGAATAGTATTTGCCTTAGACTTGCCCTAGACTTTGTCCACATGGGTGGAACCACAAATAGCAAGGCTGACACTATTCACATGAATAGTGGCAGCCCTTGCTTGCCCTTGCCTTAGATTTAACCCTTATGAGTGGAGATGCCCTTAGGTCTAAAGAGGGAGCCTCCACAGTCAGAGGACCTCCTTATTTCAAAGCTTGCGATCAATCGAAGCACTTTGCCCCAGCTGCCAGCACAAGGAACCGCGTTGAAAATGTTGGAAAGATTGTTACGACGTCCTTTTCTTCTTCCAACTGTCGCAAATGGCTGGTCGCACACGGTATATGCGTCAGATTGACAATATCCATGCCAAATCTCAACATTAATTTATGTCCTATTCATTTTGCATGGCTCAACCCTCATAGAAAACCTTGAGGAATATGTAGTGTGAAAGAAAAGAAAGACATATTATGAGAACAAACTGTTACGTAAGGAAACACAACTGGAACTGTAAAATAATATAAATTACAATATTTTCTTGAGCGTTGTTCTTCTACTTAGTGTGTTTGGTTAGTCTTCGGTTGTCTACAAGTCTTATTTGCGTACTCCCTTTGCACACCTGTTCTGAGGGAGCATTAACTTTCTTTCATATAGCCATACCCGCAGACACTTTATATCCAACAAGTTATGCACTTGTACCAATGAAATAGGATATGATATTTCATTCACATTAGAATCACCAAGATTTAATATCTCAAATGGCATTCGGATGGAACCTTGCCGAAAGTTTAATGTCAAAGAATATTATTGTATTGTCCTCCTGTCAAATTAAGTTCGTTTCACTTAATTCTTTGCATCCATAAAAATATATTTGGAGTGACTTGGATAGCCAAATGTGTCGGTTTTACCAGTATAAAGAACAATATGTAGCGGAAGTTTGTATTTGTTGCTTGCTTTGCTTTCATAAGCCTGTGGACTGACCTGTGTTGCATTAATATTTTATACCCATTTTTGTATTCAGTTGATTTGGTATTCATGATTTTTCAAAGCCACAACCTGTCGTTTTTGTTGCTTGCAAAAGCCAGCGTGAGGAAATCGTATCTGAAAAAGAAGACATAACTATAAGAACAAACTGTGCCTTATTACATTGGGAACACAAAAGAAAAGAAAGAAAAAAAGAAAAGCAAACAAATAAATGTAAAATAAAAACTACAATAATATATGTCTAGCCTCTAAGCCTTCTTTTCATCGTGTTGACGGGCATTGTTACCATTAAATACAACCTATCTTGTACGTTGTCGATGAATCGAAAATATACGTATCTCCATGTCTTGTTAACAACTAAAGAACCACACACTCCCCAAAATCCCACAATGAACCCCAACGCAGTGAAAATATAAAACCATGGAAGTTGATGAGGTTCAATGTCCAAGTCTTTGTTGTTTGTGTCATCTTCATCAATGCCCACATTTGATCCGCACTTATTTGGAAGTGGGGCACCACAAAGTTTTAGATTCCCCTCAAAGGCAGAAGTGTTGAAGGTTTGGATCTGAGTGCACTACTACAAAAAAAGGCCAAAGACGACGGGAATTCACCATCGTGTATTCGGTTTTCAAACTGTCGTGAAATCGACTGCCGTCTATTTGGGTTTCAAATTAAGACGGCTTTTCACCGTCGTTGTTTATCTGTAAAGACAACGGTTTTTTTTATAAAAAGTGTCATCTTTACGTATAATAGACGACCTTTTTTTTTATATCAAAAGTGTCATCTTTACGTACAATTAAAAAGCGTCATCTTTACGTACAATAGACGACGGTTTTTTTATATAAAAAGCGTCATCTTTACGTACAATAGACGACGGTTTTTTTATATAAAAAACGTCATCTTTACGTACAGTAGACGACACTTTTTATAAAAAAGCGTAATCTTTACGTACAGTAGACGACAGTTTTTTTTTATAAAAAGCGTCATGTTTACATACAATAGACGACGGTTTTATAAAAAGCATCATCTTTACATATAATAGACGACGGTTTTTATAAAAAAGCGTCATCTTTACGTACAATAATGCTTTTTGATTTCCTATGATGCTATACAACGATTTTAACTAGAAAACCAACCATAATGCTTTATCAAAAATAGTTTCTTTCATAAAACTTGAAGATTCAATAGTTATTACATAGTTAACCAATATTTATTCTACAACAAACATAATTTCTAACAAGACCTACGTACTCCTAATCCAAGCATTCCTCATCCAAACATACAAATGATGCACAACTGAAGTCTCCTCCATCATCCCTGTAAATAAATCAAAATGACAAAGAGAGAAAAAAAGAAGAAGCTAAGATTATAAACATAAAAAATTAGATGGAAGAGAAATTTTACCATTGGTCCATATTTCCATAGAAAACTTGTAAAATGAGCATAAAAAGGACCATCGAGAACATGCAAATTTTCAACAACAAAAAAACATACGACTCACATAGAAAACCTGCAAAAGAAAAAGTTATAAATTTGCAAGCTTCCTCCTCATCTCCTGATAACCAAATCAGAAAATCTAAAAAGAAACCAGAAATAAATAATAAAAAATATGTAAACAAATAAGACAAATCAAGAGAGACAAAATCTGAAATTAGGGAGACAAAAAACATACCAAAAACGCAAAGAGACTAATCCAGAATTCACTAGCAAGATATAGAAGGGTATTAAGAGATTAGGTGACTTTCAAATCAAACCTTTCAACCAGCTTTGATTCTCAAATACAGAACATCCCTCTACATCTTATGGATTTGCTAAGACCTCAATCTCTCAACTCCTTCATTGATATCGATTTTTTGATGATTTTGTAGAGAGTTTCATGAGGGTGCTTTAGAGAGTAAAGGAGGGTTTCAAGGAGGGAGAGATAAGGTTTTCAGAGACGGGGGAAAATCTGAAAATTTGTCGAGCACGAATTCACTTAAGTAGACTATTTTTAGCGTGTTTTAAAAGACGACGCTTGTTAATGAGAGATAAAATTTTCAAAGACGGGTGAAAATTTCTAAAATTTTTCAAGCGCGAATTTACTTAAACGGCCATTTTTTAGCGTGTTTTAAAATACGACGCTTTTGTTTAAAAAAAATTTGTCATCTTTACATATAATAGACGACGGTTTTTTTTATAAAAAGCGTCATCTTTACATATAATAGACGACGGTTTTTATAAGAAAACGTCATCTTTACATACAATAGACAACGATTTTTTATAAAAAGCGTTATCTTTACATACAATAAACGATGGTTTTATAAAAAGCGTCATCTTTACATACAATAGATGATTTTTTACCACTACACTCCTTGACCCTATATGAATACAATGATTGAATTTGATCTTCAATTTAAAATCTTTACACTAGTGGACACCACAAAATCTTATGTTATATTTAATGAAAGTATAAATAAACTCTTAATTGTTAGTGAATATATTGTTTTGATGGCATACGCATTCTAAGAAACTATTTTCAACGATCCAACCGTCAAACTTGTTTGTTTATACTTCGAGATCATATACGCCAAAAATCGGAAAAAATAAACATTCAGAGATCAAGTAACGGGACAAAAAATTTCGACAGTTATAAATGAAAAATCATGATTTAACGGTTATTTTAACTCCGATTTTGATGATTTTCTACCGCTACACTCCTTGACCCTATATGAATACAATGACTGAATTTGATCTTCAATTTAAAATATTTACACTAGTGGATACCACAAAATCTTATGTTATATTTAACGAAAGTATAAATAAACTCTTAATTGTTAGTGAATATATTGTTTTGATGGCATACGCATTCTAAGAAACTAGTTTCAATGATCCAACCGTCGAACGTGTTTGTTTATACTTCGAGATCATATACGCCAGAAATCGGAAAAAATAAACATTCAGAGATCAAGTAACGGGACAAAAAATTTCGACAGTTATAAATGAAAAATCATCATTTAACGGTTATTTAACTCCGATTTTGATGATTTTTTACCGCTACACTCCTTGACCCTATACGAATACAATGACTGAATTTGATCTTCAATTTAAAATATTTACACTAGTGGATACCACAAAATTTTATGTTATATTTAACGAAAGTATAAATAAACTCTTAATTGTTAGTGAATATTTTTTTTTGATGGCATACGCATTTTAAGAAACTAGTTTCAACGATCCAACCATCAAACTTGTTTGTTTATACTTCGAGATCATATATGCCAAAAATCGGAAAAAATAAACATTCAAAGAGCAAGTAACGAGACAAAAATTTCGATGGTTATAAATGAAAAATCATGATTTAACGGTTATTTTAACTCCGATTTTGATGATTTTTTACCGCTACACTCCTTGACCCTATATGAATACAATGATTAAATTTGATCTTCAATTTAAAATATTTACACTAGTAGATACCACAAAATCTTATGTTATATTTAACGAAAGTATAAATAAACTCTTAATTGTTAGTGAATATATTGTTTTGATGGCATACACATTCTAAGAAAAGTTTCAATGATCCAACCGTCAAACTTGTTTTTTTATACTTTGAGATCATATACGCAAAAAATCGGAAAACATAAACATTCAGAGATCAAGTAACGAGACAAAAAATTTCGACGGTTATAAATGAAAAATCATCATTTAACGGTTATTTTAACTCCGATTTTGATGATTTTTTACCGCTACACTCCTTGACCCTATATGAATACAATGATTAAATTTGATCTTCAATTTAAAATATTTACACTAGTAGATACCACAAAATCTTATGTTATATTTAACAAAAGTATAAATAAACTCTTAATTGTTAGTGAATATATTTTTTGATGGCATACGCATTCTAAGAAACTAGTTTCAATGATCCAACCGTCAAACTTGTTTGTTTATACTTCGAGATCATATACGCCAAAAATTGGAAAAAATAAACATTCAGAGATCAAGTAACAGGACAAAAAATTTCGACGGTTATAAATGAAAAATCATCATTTAACGATTATTTTAACTCCGATTTTGATGATTTTTTACCGCTACACTCCTTGACCTATATGAATACAATGACTGAATTTGATCTTCAATTTAAAATCTTTACACTAGTGGATACCACAAAATCTTATGTTATATTTAACGAAAGTATAAATAAACTCTTAATTGTTAGTGAATATATTGTTTTGATGGCATACGCATTCTAAGAAACTAGTTTCAACGATCCAACCATCAAACTTGTTTGTTTATACTTCGAGATCATATACGCCAAAAATCGGAAAAAATAAACATTTAGAGATCCAGTAACGAGACAAAAAATTTCAATGGTTATAAATGAAAAATCATGAATTAAAGGTTATTTTAACTCCAATTTTGATGATTTTTTATAGCTACACTCCTTGACCCTATATGAATACAATGACTGAATTTTTTTTTCAATTTAAAATATTTACACTAGTGGATACCACAAAATCTTATGTTATATTTAACGAAAGTATAGATACACTCTTAATTATTAGATGACGGTTTTTTTTATAAAAAGCGTCATCTTTACATATAATAGACGACGGTTTTTTATTATAAAAAAGCTTCATCTTTACGTACAATAGACGATGGTTTTTATAAAAAGCGTCATCTGTACGTATAATAGACGACGGTTTTTTAAAAAAACGTCATCTTTACATACAATAAACGACGGTCTTTATAAAAAGCGTCATCTTTACATACAATAGACGACAGTTTTTATAAAAAGCGTCATCTTTACATACAATAGACAATGATTTATAAAAAGAGTCATCTTTACATACAATAGACGACGGTTTTTATAAAAAGCGTCATCTTTGCATACACTAGACGACAATTTTTATAAAAAGCGTCATCTTTACATACAATAGACGACCTTTTTTTATATAAAAAGCGTCATCTTTACATATAATAGACAACTTTTTTATAAAAAGCGTCATCTTTACATACAATAGACGACGATTTATAAAAAGAGTTATCTTTACATACGATAGACGACGGTTTTTATAAAAAGCGTCATCTTTACATACAATAGACGACGGTTTTTATAAAAAGCGTCATCTTTACATACAATTGACGACCTTTTTTATGTATAAAAAGCGTCATCTTTACATATAATAGACAACTTTTTTTATAAAAGCGTCATCTTTACATATAATAGACGACAGTTTTTATAAAAAGCATCATCTTTACATACAATAGACGTCGATTTATAAAAAAGAGTCATTTTTATATACAATAGATGACGATTTTTTATAAAAAAACGTCATCTCTACATATAATAGACGACGGTTTTTATAAAAAGTGTCATCTTTACATATAATAGACGACGATTTTTTTATATAAAAAACGTCATCTTTACATACAGTAGACGACAATTTTTATAAAAAGCGTCACCTTTACATACAATAGACAACGGTTTTTATAAAAAGCGTCATCTTTACATACTATAGACGGCGGTTTTTATAAAAAGCGTCATCTTTACATATAATAGATGACGGTTTGTATAAAAAGCGTCATCTTTACATATAATAAACGATGGTTTTTATCAAAACAACCACGTCTTTACCAAAAAATGACACTTGATTTTTAAAAGACTACGCTTGTCATACCAGCCGTCGTCGTTTTTTGGTCAGATTTGAACTCTGAAGAAAACCTTTTTAATAAGACGACGCTTTTTTATTTGTGTGCGTCGTTATAAAAAAAATATTCAACAGTACCTCCGGTTTTTAGTTGTTTAAGTCACTTATCCACTACGGTTTTTGGTTACCATCGTCGTTTTAAATACAACGACGGTTTTTTTCTTCTACCGTCGTCTTTTTCTGGTCGTCTTTTTCACTTTTTGTAGTAGTGGTGCTTGTTGGAATTGGTCCAACAAGATTATTGTACAAGACATTAAATTTTCTCAAGAAAGTAAGGCTTGCCAATGACGATGGAATTCTTCCAGAAAAATGATTCATGGAGAGATCCAAAACCTCTAAATTTTTTAGGTTAGATATTTGGTCTGGAATGACACCGGAGAAGTTGTTGGAGTAAAGAGCCAACTGGCGGAGAAGTTGCAATTGTCCGATCTCAGCAGGTATATCACCAACAATGTTATTGTTAGACAAGTCTATCGTTGCGAGGAAACAAGACAATTTATGCGGTTGAAAATTTTCATTTGGAGTTGCTGCCGAAGACAGTCAATTCAAATTCATATCGGTCTACTTGAGATGCAATAGGTTCATTAACCAACCTTGGTAGTCTACAAAGTTGCTTTGGAAATTCACCTGAAATTTGGTTATTTGACAAGTTGATAAAAAACAGTCTAGGAAGATTCCCCAACCAACTTGGAATTGGCCCAGTGATTTGATTAAAAGCTAGAATCAAGATCTCTAGATTCTTGAGCTTCGATAACCACACAGGTATTTCACCATGAGATTAGTACTAGCCATATTCAATACTCGAAGATTTTGGAATCCGTCAAAATCAACCATCCCATCATCAAATGGCATTCCCTCACCCACAAAGGAACCAATAAGTGAGAGTGTGTGAAGGCTTTTGCAACTCATCAATATCTTCATTGTGCCTGTGAGGTTGGTGAATCGGTTGTAACCAAGGGTGAGGAAGGACAAGGATTTCAATGAAAGAATCTCAATTTGTATTTGCCCCTCTAGATGATTTCTAGTCAATGCAATGGCTTTTAGGTACCTACATGAGTAAAGGCTTACTGGAAACATACCAGTAAAGTTATTGTACCTTAGGTCAAGTTTTGTAAGTTGACTAAGTCTGGAGAAATTAAGCATGGAGATATCTCCTTCAAGGTTGTTGATTCCCAAACATAATTCTACAAGGTTTGTGCAATTCATCAAAGATGTGGGAATAGTACCTTCTAAATTGTTGAAATCAACAGTCAAAAACTTCAACTTGGAGAGCTTCCCCAAATTTAGAGGAAGCTCGCCGTTCAATTGATTAAGGCTGAGGTCAAGGATTTTAAGGTTGGTGTGGTTGACAATTTTATCACTAATGGCTCCACATAGTGAATTGATAGGTAATGAAATTTCTTCAAGTTTGGTAGCATTATAGATATCTTCTGGAAGTAACCTTGAAAGCTTATTGTGACCAGCACGAAAAACCTACAGTTTAGAACACTCCCCTAGCCCAAGAGCAAGGTTGCCACCAAATTGATTGGAAGAAAAGTCCAATAGCCTAACAAAGGGAGAGTAATAGAGACAAATAGAGAATGGGACATACCCTGTGAAGGTATTGTTGCTGACATTGAAACTAATCAAGTTTCTTGCTTGTTGGAAGAATGAAGATGGAATTGCTCCAAAGAAGAGATTGCTCGACAAATCGACTATCCGAATTTTGCTGGATGGTAGAGAAAGTGGTAGCTCCCCATAAAGATGGTTATAGCTCAAATCAAGGATCTCAAGACGATTCAAAGACAACAAGAATTGAGTCTCAAGTGAACCATATAGTGAGTTGTGGGAAAGGTTCAAGTGGGTGAGATGTGTGACATTTCTAAGTGAAGAGGGAGAGATACCTCCTTTGAGCCCTTTGTAAGGTAAGAGCAAATGGGTGACCCAATCATCTTGATCACAAGTGATGCCCTTCCAGTGACAGCAATCAAGTGATGTCCAATTTAAAGGAGGAGAAGAGAGAGTGGAGGCAAAGGACAGGAGGGAGCAGCGTTCAATTTGGTTGCAGGCATGAATATTTATAGATATAATGTAGGAGAATAAGAGGAAGAGAACGAAGCCATGAGCCATTAAGTTAGCAACGTTGCTTTGTGTGTGTGTGTCATTGTTCATAGGTTTATATATATGTGTGTGTGTGTATATATATATACACAGAGAGCTTCCATTGAGGGATCCCTCAAATAAGCTCATTTGAGGGACACCCCTAGTAGGGCCCACTCCAAATTATATTTCAATAATCCAAACCCTCTATTTTGTAGATACTAATTCAAAGATCATCTCTACAAAAAATCACTTGAATCCGATATCATTTGACCACTCAATTGAGTTATTGAAAATTTAGTACTTTTTTAAAGCACCATGTTCATTGATTTCGTAAGACACAATTGGACGTTGAAACGGTTTCTGATTTGTCTAATTTTTTTGTTTGGATGATCTATGAATGAAGACCTAAAAATGGATGGTTTGGATCATTAGGAAAAAAAATGTAGGGTACCTTAAAAGGGCATCCCTCAAATAATTTATTTGAAGGATCCCTCAACAGAAGGAGACTGATATACATATATACAGAGAGCTTTCATTGAGGGATCCCTCAAATAAGCTTATTTGAGGGATACCCCTTGTAGGGCCCACTCCGGATTGTATTTCACTAATCTAAACCGTCTATTTTGTAGATACACATTCAAAGATCATCTGACCATTCAATTGAGTTATTGAAATTTTAGTACTTTCTTGAAGCACCGTGTTCATTGATTTTGTAGGACACAATTGAATATTGAAACGGTTTCCTATTTGTCTAATTTTTTGTAAGGATAATCTATGAATGAAAACTTAAAAAATAGATGGTTTGGATCATTGGAAAAAAATTGTAGGGTACCCTAAAGGGCGTCCCTCAATAGAAGGGGACTGTACATATATATATATATATATATATATATATATAGGTGATGCTATGGAGACCAACTTTAGATACCAACTTGTGTATCATCTCTCTAATAGAGGTGGAGCCCACTAATACAATGGGTCTCACACTCTATTAGAGAGATGATACACAAGTTGGTATCTGAAGTTGGTCTTCCTAGCATTTTCATATATATAGGGGCGGATCCGTGGCACCATATTTTTGACACAAATTTTGAACCATTAGATTAGACTACAATAAATGACCGAGATTAAACAAACTAATTCTTTAATTTAAATTTAATTTAATTAACTTTGCTATTCAATTTTCTCTCTCCTCATTTATGTTTTCACATCTTCATAAAAGCATCAACATTCTCTCTAACTACATCTTCTTCTTCCATGACTTTCCATTTTTTCTCTCTTCAATATTTTTTTTTCCTTTGAAATAACATCAAAGTCCAAACACCATTTTCCTCCATAACAAGAAACAACAAACCCAACCCATTTAGCAAAATCAAATACCCAATAAGGAAGATTGACGTAAGGAGGAGGAAGGTTGATCTCTGTGTTTTTTTTTGTTTTTTTTTCCTGGTGCTGTTAAAAAAACTTCTATTTCCCCTTGCTGTGAAAAACAAAAAAGGATCAAGCATAGGGAATATGACTAAATTTCTAAATTTTAATATACATGGAGAATTTTCAGTTAACCAAAATAAAAAGAAAGGAGCCATGGTTGCTGTTTCTCTTAGTCAATTAGTTGCTAACTTATTCCATATTGAAGAGAAAAAAAAATTGAGATTACTGATAAAGGGGGAAAAGAAACTGATTGAGATTCATTGTGATCATCCCCAATGAAATTTCAAGAAACTAAGAGCATGATTACCCTGCTCTCCCATGGAAGTTCCCCAAATTCGTTCTGATTCTGAGTGGAGCGAAAGTTTATGTGTTTTTTTTTATCTTGACGATCCCATGTCCCTTGGGTATTTTATCAAACTTCATATGCATTTCTTGGTTTCGATCTGGATATGAACCGTGTCAAAATAGATGGTATCAATTGCATATAACTAGCAGTAGGCGAATGGAGATTTTTCAGACATCGAAGCTATGGAGGAGATTACCAAGGCTAGGCACGGAGGAAGGGAGATGTAGAATTTGGGGTACTGTGCAATTCATAATTATTATATCAAAATAATAATAATTTTGAATAATGTATTATTTTAGAGATAATAATAAATTAGTAGTGAGATTTAATTTGAGCCATTAATAGTGCTTAAATCTGATGGTGCCATGAAACCGCCCCCATATATATATATACATTATTTATTTATTTATTATTATTATTTGAAAGGTTTTTAAAATTTAAGGTTTTGATTTTGTTTTAATATTTTGGCTATTTTCTTTTGTTTATTATGGAAGTTACAATGGTTTAAATTTTTAGTGTTTATTTTCTGTTCATTGCCGTAATTTTTCTGGTTTAATGTGTCTGGAGGTTACGAGTGTTGGATGCCTATAAAAGGTCACTCCTCCTTCACATTTGAACACACCACAATTAGATTTCTCTATTCTCATACTTTCATATATTCCCTACTTTCCATATTATTATTTTGGGCAACGGTTTTGTGGCTTGGAGATTTGTATCCGATTGTAAACGTGCTCATATCGGACCTTAAGCTTGCGTATTGGGGTCGTATCTTGGAGTCTTGTATACAATCATTATCTGCATGTAGGAAGGCTACAATGGCTTTAGGACAACGTCTTTGACGTGCTTTCACTATACCAGACTTGCTTTCTTACTCTTGACATATTTTATTTATTTATTTGTTTCTTTATTTTTACTTTACTGTTAAAGCTTTATTTTATATATTATTTATATCTAAATGTTTGAATAAGAGTTTTACAAAAAGGAAAACACAATTTTTAATTATAAGAGGTTTATAGAAAAGGAAAAACACCACTTTTAATTATGATATGTAAGAGCATCCACAATCATGCTCCCTACTTAGTTAAAATTTAGCTAAAAACATATAAAAACGATTTTAAGAGCTCTCTATAAAATTTAAACTCCCATCATGCTCTTTAGTTTAGGGAGTCATAAATGATATAACTCTTTTTTAACTGGTCAATCTCTATTAAAAAATAATATAAAAATAGTTAACATTAATTAAAAGTTTAAAATAATCATAAAATAAAATAGCTTTGAATTATATGGAACCAGTAGGAGTCTTTTCTCTCTCCTCAGATTTAGGAACTCTATAGGTTTCCCTATTTTAGGGAGGTTGATATATTTTAGGAGGTTGATAGGGATTCATTCCTAAATTTGTCTAAAGAGATGGTTTAAAGAGCCCATTATAGATGTTCTAAGTCGCCAAACAGACAACCGCATGAAGCAAATAGGGAGCCCACTAGGAGACCACTGGAAATTGAGAAGTCGGCAAACAACAACCGCATGAAGCAAATTATTCAGATTCAAAGAGAAGACCTCATTTGGGTCTTAAGCGGGGGCCACCAGAGAGGACTTTGCTACTTAATTCAAAGGACCCATAGTTTCTGTTGTGTTGATAATTTTTCTTGGAAATTTGGAACATTACATTGTTAGTCAACCCTGACCTCAAGCGTGACGTCCTATATTCACAAGTCACAAGTGTCCTATATTCTCATTGTTGATTTTTAGTACAACAATGGCGAAAATTCTGGGGTATATTGGTTCAAGGGATAAAATTGCAGTTTAAAAATCAAGAGTTGAGATTGAATGACCTGATAACTTGTTCAGCCATTTTTTATTGAACATCACATGCGTCATATGTGACTGATAGAAAGGAAAAGAGATCCAGACTCATGCGCTGGAGGTCTTCCACAAGAAAACCCAATACGCTGCCAAGACTTCATCGCCATCTGTCTGCAGCCAAGACATCTCAGCCCTTTTTTTTTTTTTTTTTTTTTTTTTTTTTTTTTTTTTTTTTGAAGATTGAACTTGTTAGTTTGCATCAGCATAGGAAAATAATAAACTTGATGATTCAAATGATAGTGGTTGAGGACAAAATGTGAATTTTTAGAAAGCATTGCAATCCTTATTGTTCATAATTCATGAACATTTCGTTATCTTTTCTCTAGTTGTTTTAGGAAATATGGGGTCCTAGTTTCTTCTTGACTTAGTTGCCTTAGTTTAAATGATAGTGATAAGCTTAATTCGAATGAACTAGTTTGAATTCCAATCTCAAAAAACCTTGTTCGTAGGCATTTTATGTTCATGAAAACTCCTTCCTTCTTTTTTCTTCACAAAAATATTTGGGGGTGCACTGACAAATTTCTTAGATGAGAAGTTGAATCATCTATATTGAGGTAGCTGAACATAGTCTTCATAGCTAGACAGTTGACGTATAGTTGAAAAATGTGTGATTCACTGTTTCTTGGGCAAAATGAGTATAGGCAGGCATAATTTCACTGTGTTTGAATTGCAGTCAGCATTTGCAAACTGCCTCTCATCTTGAAATGTGCTCTTCTCTCATGTGTCAATTCTTCGCATTTTAAACCAATTTATAGTGACCAAGAAAGACTAAAATCAAAGAGCAGAATTCATTCAAACCTTCTTTCATAAAATCATCAATCGTCAGATCTCGTGAATAAATATTTCATGGATGGATGGAAGGACCTCTTAAAAAGAAAAAATTATCTTCTATATACGAAATTACTCAACTTTAGGAAAAGTTCTGTCTAACTAAAACCTTCCTTTTTCGTTGTGGACGGTGTTGGGGGATGATGTTTGTTTAAGCACTTCAAAGGTTTTCATCTCCGAACTTAATGAATCTTTCGCATTTGTTACTTATGGATCCATCACATGATTGAGATCTTATTTGATTTCAGATTTAGGATATATGTTGCAGTATGCTTATTTCCTAATCATATTTTGGAATCACAAAACTGATATAATTGAAGTATAACTGCAGACTCTCTACTGGGAACTTCAAATGCTAAGCTTCAGCTGTAAATCGATACCAAAGTTTTGAGTTTGGCAGAGCTTTAATCTATTTCAAGCCTTGGAAGGCTTTTTGAAAGGGCAGAACTGCAACTTCTTTGGTATGAACGGGGCAGAAGTGGTTGGACTTGAGGATTACTGAGCTGGAACTGCACTATGGTACCTGTTCTGCTTGGTCAGGGCTCTCCATAAATTTGTTGAGGTTTTCATATTTGTGAAAACTCAAACTCTGCTTGTCTTGGCTTTTGCTGAACCAAATTTGTAACGAGAGGAATCTCGTTTTGAATGACTTATTTTTCTAAGTCTGAATTTGGAAGTTCTAACTTATAGCTGGCTTCTTCTGTGGCTTGAATGAGCTTTTTGTTGCTTCAGTTTATTTTGGGGTTCTCATGGATCAAGTGATCATTTTGAGTTCTTGTCTTGGGTTGAGTTTTTGATTGTTTGATTGATTGTTTTTGTGTTGTCGTTTGCTATGTTCACCCTCTCTTGTATTTATAAGAAATGCTGGAGTAGGGTTTCTGATTCTTTTAATAATGGGTGGCAAAAAATTCTCAAAAGATCTTTCATTTTTAAATGAAAAGAAAGAAATGGGTTTTATCAATTCTGGCAGATAAACCCTCAACAGTCAGTTCCTATGGCAGTCACTTCCCTGTATTTTTTGAAAGGAAACCTAACCCTTCTTCCAATTCAACTGCCCTTTGTAAGAGCTCAAACTGTGATGGTTAGTTTTGAAGGACCTGTTGAACAACTCCCTGTTTTTGCTTATTTCTTTGAGATTGTAGTGTGGTTATCTTTTGGAAGTATCACCTGCTCTGACGCAAAATTGTAAGAAAGGATTTTGATCTTTTAACCCTAGAGTTTCAGAGAAGTATTTTGCTAATGACCTGCTTTCATTTAATTCCCAATCAACTTTTTGTGATAGTTGAATTTGTTGACTTTTCCAAGTCAGATAATTACGTGGGTTCTGAGGATAGGCTCTCTAAAAGATCTTTGCTGATTTTGCATTCTGGGTTTTGAGATTAGTGGTGGGCTAGACGCTGGGCCCCATCTAATTTTTCTTTCAATTTTTTATTGACCTACTTCAGTGGTTGATTGCTATTTTGTAAAAATCATGGGCCTTCTGATTTGGTTTTGGGCTTTCTCTATTTTTTTGAATCAAAGCCCAGTCCTCCGTCTTTTCTGTTTCGTGGGCCTTTATGAGAAGTGGGCTTTCATGCGATTTCTTTTGGCCCAAACAATGCCCCCTTAAGTCTGAACCGTTTTAAAATGGTTTCAGACTTAATGATTGGCCATTCAATGATGCGCACCATTTCCTACCGTTGCACTAGCACACGTCTACCTATTTGATTTAGACTTCGTGGGGAATTGGTTTTTAACGGCTAATTAAATCTGAATAAAACTCCCTTCTTTCCAACTTCCCACGATCTTCCTACCCAATTTATAAAATTTGTCGAATCCTCATTATTGTTTCATCAAACCCTAGTTCTGTCTTAGCTTTTTATTCCTTTCAAAACCCTCTGTCCTTTTGATTATGTTCCTTTCAATTCCCCTATTTGTTCGTCTGATTTCGGAAGAGAGAAAGAAAAATGTCTTCCCTAAACACTTGAGCCAAGAGCTTCTCTTCTTCACGCTCTCCTGCCTATCTCACCGAAGATGGGGTCGATCAACATGCGATTGAGGTCCGTAGCAGGCTTCATCCGTATGTGCGGAAGAATTTGGATGAAAACGTTCTTCATCTGTTCGAAAACACCCTTGTCTTGGGTCCTCACTGGTTTGGCTCCGTGCTAGAAGAAATGGCGGGCCTGCTTAAGGAAGATGTTGAGGCCCCTCTATGCCTTCAAAGTCTGTCTTCTCATACTTAGGTTAGTAAGAACTTGAGTCGTTCCTATCCTTCGAGTGAAGTGAGGAACAGTGCAGTGAGGTGGTCTGATTGGATCGACAGACCTCTCCCAAGGCATGGAGCTTATTGGAAGAAGGTTGGGATTTACGACGCCATCCTTCTGTCTAGAAACTCTGTCAATAGGGACGAGAACCTGCTGGCTGCTGCCTTATGTTTCTGGAACTCCACCAGCAACATCTTTGACTTCCGGTTAGGTCCCATGAGTCCAACCCTACTAGATCTTGCTCAAATATTTGGGTTCAGTCCCCATGGGAGGCCTGCTGATGCTGTTGATGACTACCATAGAGGAAAGAATCGAGAGAGATTGGCCAAACCCTTTACCATTCCTGCTGCCACGATCAACCAGAACTGTTCCTTCTATACTAGTTGAAAAGGTTCGTCTTTCCCAACCTCTCCTAGGCAATTCTACTGGAATACAAGCATTTGGCAGAAGCCTTGCATAATCATGCTGATGTGGGACTTGGCCCCATAGTTCTGGCTCACCTGTACAAGAATCTTCACAGCGCCACTCTGGAGAGTACTCTGAACATCTCTGCTCATGGTGCATTATGGATGATCCAGATATGGCTGCAGGTTTATTTCCCGGAACTGAGATTCCTAGACATTGTTCTGCCTGAAGATCAGGTCATGACGGCCCCCTTGATGTCGATAGAGGTGCCTAAGCGCTCCATTGAAGAATATCTCATGTTTTTAAGGCCCTGCACCAAGAGGTCTGTTGCGCAGTGGCAAGTAGTGCTCAGAAGATCATACCCTTGGTTCCAGCCTGGACATAGACTTTTCGAGAAAGAGCCAGAAGAGGAGGAGGCAAAGATTGATTTCAGAAAAAAAAAAAATTCTGAGTGTGACGCTGCCCCGGGACATACCCTTTGGTGGAGGGAAACCTCCCAACTATCATCTGGGGGCAAAAGCGATCACCCCAATTTCTGTGCCAAGCAGCTTGGCTGTCCCCAGCTCATCCCTCTCAAATCCTATAGGAGCTACAACTGTGCTACCTCATGGAAGGACTTAGATGATTTGGATGTGCACAAAGACTACAGGTGTTCAGTGAACAAGATAAATAACAGCGTGGATGCCCTTTACCCATCCTGGGAGCCTAAATCTTGCAGCTCTGGTGAGTTTGATGCCTGGTGGAAAGCTCTCTTTGCTGGTCTGCCTGATGCCAGTACTGCTATGAAGACCTTGTTTGAAACTTGGGATGCTGGGATTATCCTTGTAGAACCAAAAGCCAAAAAATTCATAGTGCAGATGGTCAAAGGCATCAATGCTCAAGTGATTGAAGGTAAAATTGCCAGTTCTACTCCTTTGTTTTGGACTTCTGCATTCTGAGTTGTGCCTTAACTCTATTCTGCCAATTTATCTCAGATCCTTCTATGACAAGCAATCTTGGGAGCCAAAGTGTGGTGTTTTTTAAGCTTGTTTCTTTGCTGGATTGTTTGCTAACCCTTTTCTCTCTTGTGCAATTACTTCTGTTATTGTTGCTGGAGACCTGGAGCTTCCTTTTAGTGATGAGGAGGATGATTATGAGACTTTGGCAGAAGCTAGTGTTGAGATAACTCCTACCCGAAAGAACAAAAGAAAGGAAGTCACCTAGGCTCAAGACAATGATGTCCAGCCTGATCCCCTAGGTATAATTTTTTGAGACTTTCAATTCTGTTGATTTTTTTATCAGTTTTGCACTTAATTCTAACTTCCTTTCTCTGCGCAGCCGAAAGCTCCTCTTCTCCCTCCAAGGTGAAGAAGCTGGGAAAGAAAGCTGTTAATGAGCTTGACGAGAAGGAAGAGCATGCAGCAGTTCTTGTTGAACCACAGAAACTGATGAAGAGCTACGAGAGGCCTATAAGGCCGTGGAACAGGAGAAGGAGAAGGAGATTTTGGAAGGAGAAAAAGAAAAGAAAAAGGATGGAGAAGAAGAAGTGGGTTTATAGCAAGAGATCTCTTCATTTGGCATTTTTCTAGCTTTCTATTGTATTCCTTTGACTTGAGTTCTGTCTTTCTATGGGAAGAAATTAACACCGAAATAATAGCAGAAAGCATTGAGCTGGCGAAGAAGTAGCAAGAGGCCCTAAGTACAGAGCCCACCAGTTCAAAATTGGCTCTTTTTGATGATGTGAAGGTAGAACATTCTGAGGTAGTTCTCATTCTTTCTTAATTTTGTCTGTGTTCTACAATCCTTTCTTCCTCTATCTTTCAAATTAATTGAGATTCCTTTCTTTCTAGGTGGAGGAGGGCAGAACTACTGTGATGTTGGCTATAGTGACCAGTCCTCTCAAGCCTCCTATTGTGGCTGTAAGTATCGATGTGCCTTTAGTTTTCTTGCTATTTTTCTTTTTTAACTCTCAGCAAGGAGTTTCCTAAAGATCATTTTTTGCAGATGCCTATCCACTCTGTTCTTGGTTCACCAGCTACTGCCTCTTTTGCTGATCGAGAGTTGGTAGAATTTGAAGCCATGGATCTAGATGCTCAACTGGACAGGCTAGAGCAGCTTAGCTCTACTCCAGGCAAGGCCAAGTCTAAAGCAGTGGATGGGGCAGTGGATAGAGTGAAAATATGGCAGTCAACAAAGCTGGATTTGGATGAAAATAAAGAGGCCATAGATCAGCTGATGCAGGATCTAGACCTGCTGCATAGGCAGAATGTGGTTCCCATGCCCATTCTTGAGATTAGCCTTGGCTTGGCAAGAGACGTGCTAAATCTCCACAATCGCTATGAAGATCTCCAGCCCTCGTTCAAAGCTTTTGAATTCTACAAAGCTACTCATGAAGCTAACCTTGCTGACTATCAGAAACAGAAAGCCGAATTGGACATGATGGTTGCTGACTATAAGAAACTAAGATCGCTACTGATAAACTGGAGAAGCACATTGAAGAACTTCATAAGCAGCTAGCTAGCTTGAGGGGCAAGCAGAACAAGCTTAGGGCTAGACTGGGCACCAATACCAAGGCTACTTTTCTTGTACAGAACATAGTAGCTGCCTCTAGGCCAGCCTCGGAGATTGCAGAGGCCTCTCTTCACCAAGGGATGCTTCTCCCGCAAGAAATTTCTACCAAGAAGGACGGATTTTAAAAGACTCTTAGAAAACTAGGACTTTAAATTTCAGATTTCAAATGTAATAAAATTTTAGTCATAAGAAATGACTATATTTAATATAAAAGTTATTTTTGTGGAACTATTTCTTGCACTTGCAATTCCTTTTGTCAAAATAATAAAAAAATAAACTCAAAAAGCGAAATAAAAGTGGCACTTCTGAAACAAAATTCAAACAGCAGTTTTATTTCGTTCACCCTTTATTCTAGGATCTGTTTGTACAGCTTATGAATCCCACATAGTTGGATAGAATTTCTTCAACCATTTGCCATTAATTGGCACAGCATGAACGTCTCCATCTCGATCTTGCAATCTGTATGCCCTCATTCCGACAATTTGCTTAATTATGAAGGGGCCTTCCCATGTAGGTGACCATTTTCCATATCCAGCTATGTGTGTTCCAAGGGGCAGAATTGCTTTCCAGACTATTTCTCCCTCTTCAAAACTCTTGTTTCTAACTCTCTTGTTGTAAGCCCTTGACACAACCTGTTTTCCTGCTAGAGCTTGTTGAGGGTATGAATCCTACTTGCATCCAATCCTTCCAGTTCTAGCAGCATGGCTTGAGAGTAATCTTCTCCAACCAGATTGTGTTGATGAGCAATTCTGAGGGACTGGACTGCTATTTCCATAGGCAGAATTACATCATGGCCATAAGTCAGAGCATAAGGGGTCATGCTAGTTGCCTCTCTTTTTGAAGTTATATATTGCCGCAGGGTTTCTGATAACTTCTCATGCCATTGCTTTGGATTTTTCTTAAGCATCTTCCTGATAATGTTGATGATCACCTTGTTACTTGATTCTGCCTGTCCATTAGCCTGAGCATAATAAGGAGTGGATTGAAGTAGTTTAAACTTGAATGCTTCTGCCATATCTAGCATTTCTCCAGATATGAAAGAAGATCCCCTGTCGGTTGTGATTGATTTTGGAATGTCAAACCTTTGTATGATCTGCTCTTCTATGAAAGTGATGATTTCTTGAGATGTAGTGGATTTAACAGGCTTAGCTTCCACTCATTTGGTGAAATAGTCTGTAGCTACAATGATAAAATAATGTTGTTTGCTACTGGCTGGATAAATCTTACCAATTAGATCCATTGCCCATCCTCTGAATGGCCATGGCTTGACTACTGGATTCATGGGAATTGAAGGAGCTTGCTGGATTGGGCCATGCCTTTGACAAGCCTTGCACCCCTTGGAATAGTTAATGTAATCCTTCATCATGGATGGCCAGAAGTAGCCGTACCTTCTAATTAACCAGCACATTTTCCTTCCTCCTTGATGAGCTCTACAGATCCCTTTATGAGTTTCTTCCATGACCTTCATGTATTCTTTCTTTCCAAGGCACCTTAGAAGTTCCTCATCCTTACTTTTTCGGACCAAATCTCCATTCCACATAAGGTTAATTCAAAGCCATGATCCTGACTTTTTTCTCAGAAGGCAAGGTTGGATACTGCAAGTAATTTATGATGGAATTTCTCCAATCATCTTCAGTGATTATGGCAAAATTGACATCTATCTCTGGTCAAAACATATGGTATACTTTTCTTTCCCACCTTGATGATCCTTTACACACAGTCTTCAGGCATTTGTATACCTGTTGCTACCTGAGCCTATTCATTGGCTACAAAGTTTTCTTCTCTTGGGATATGCTCCCAGGTAGCTTCTCTAAATTTTGTTAGAAGGTTTTTGGCTGCCACTAGATAAACAACTAAAGAAGGACTTAAGCACTTGTATTCTCCAGCAATCTATTTCAACACAAGCATAGAATCTCCCAAAATTTCCACCAGCATTTCTAGGCCAAAGATTAAAGCCTCATATTTTTCCATGTTGTTGGTGCACTGGAAATCTAACTGGAAAGAATAACAATGTCTGATCCCTGGCGGTTCCTCCAAAACAATTCCTGCCCCAGAAGCTACATCAGTTTTTGATCCGTCGAAGTACAGCTTCCAAGGTGTGAGGTGAACTGAATAGATAGGATTGTTAAGGCAAGTATGAGCTCTAGTCAGCAGATCTGCGTTTGCTATGTCCAAAGAGTCCATGTTTTCAATATTTTCCCCTTGATGATCTGCTAGGAAGTCTACTACGACTTGTCCTTTGACAGCTTTCTGAGGAATATATCTGAAAGCAAATACTGTCAAAGCCAAAGTCCATTTTCCAATTATGCCTCTCAACATTGGCCTTGTCAGCATGTATTTGATTAAGTCTGTCTTGGCAATGATGTAGATGGTGAATGGCAGCATGTAGTGTCTGAGTTTCACAACAGTGAAATATAAGGCTAGGCAAAGCCTTTCAATTGCAGAATATTTCCTTTCTACTTCTGTCAGAGTTCTGCTGAGATAGTAGACTGCCTACTCCTTCCCTTCTTTGTTATCTTGAACTAACAAACTCCCAATGGACACTTCTGATGCAGAAACATAGAGTTTGAGTGGTCTGCCTCTCTTTGGTGAGAACAGAACTGGCGGATTTGAGAGGTAATTCTTGATTTCCTCAAAAGCCTATTGATGTTGTTCTTCCCACTTAAATGTTTGTTCCTGCTTTAATCTTAGCAAAGAGGAGAAGGGCTGGATTTTTCCTACAGAATTGGATATGAATCTCCTTAGAAAATTAATTTTTCCTATGAGACTCTGCAACTCTTTCTTGTTCTGAGGTGGTAGAGCTTCTTTGATGGATTTAGCTTTATTTTTGTCAAACTCTATGCCCCTTTGGTGGACCAAGAAACCTAAGAAATTTCCTGCCTGAACTCCAAAAACACATTTTTTGGGATTCATTTTCAACTTATGTTGTCTCATTCTTAGGAATGCCTTTTTTAGATTTGATACATGATCTCCCTTGTTTGGGGATTTAATCACCACATCATGTATGTATACCTTTAGAGAATGCCCTATCATATCATGGAAAATAGAATTCATTGCTCTTTGATAAGTGGCTCCTGCATTTCTTAAGCCAAAAGGCATTATAGTGTACTCAAAAGAACCTATATGTCCTGGGCACATGAAAGCTGTCTTGTGGATGTCTTCTTCTGCCACCATAATCTGATTATATCCTGCATTGCCATCCATAAAAGATAGCATTTGGTTATGAGGAGCTCCATCCACTAGCATATCTGCCATTAGCATAGGATATTCATCTTTGGGAGATGCTTCATTCAGATTCCTGTAATCCACACAAATCCTAACTGCCCCTGTTTTTCTTTTCAGAACTAGTACAATATTGGCTAGCCAGTTAGCATAAATGGCTGGCCTAATGAATCCTGCTTTGAGCAACCTTTCTATTTCTTCCTTGACCTTCAATTCTGTGTCCATAGACATCCTTCTTCTGGCTTGTTTGACTGGAAGGTAACCCTCTTTAATTGGCAGCTTGTGTTCCACTAGTTTTTCTGTCTAATCTAGGCATCTCATGATAATGCCAAGCAAAACAGTCTCTAAAATTATGCAAAAGTTCAATGATTTCACTCTTGAGTGGTTCTTCCAATAACGCACTAATGAAAGTGGGTCTTGGATCTTCTTATGTCCCTAAGTTTATCTCCTGTAATGGATCTTCCACTTCTGGCAAAGAGTCATCCAGTGCTGCTGGTGCAAAATCTAGTACCTCATCCTGCAAACTCTCTTCTTGTTCTTCAGTGCTCTCATGGGTGAATTTTGCCATATTGATGGCTGGATTATGCATAAAGAGGTTCCTTTCTTCCCAATATATCAACAATCTTTTTGTAATGGATCGGATTGTTGCAGCTTGATTCTTTTCTTGTTGATTGAGACTAAACATCAGAGTTCTGGAGGTTTAGAACAAAAGGTCTATTCCAGTCTTCTAGAGAACTGGCTAAACCGTCTTCAATGAGTCTTTGGGCCGTGATACCATGAGGGCGGCCGTTCTGGTTGACTCCAAGGAAGGTGAAAGGACCAAGGTCATCATGATAATACCTTGCCTCAAAACATATGGCAGAGGGCAGAAATGGTCGTGCATCGGCCTCTACTATCTCCATGTAACCCTCTTCATTCCATAGGGTAGACGTGGAAGGGACACATAAGCTTTAGTGAATCCAGTCCCTGCCAAGTAATGCATTGTAAGTGGTAGACGTGGTGTCTACCACAAAGAATGCAATCTTTAGCTCTTTGGTTCCAACTATGACATCTACATACAAGATTCCATGAGTCTTAGTGATGCCCCCAACAAAATTGGTGACAATTAAACGTGTTGGAATTAAATCCTTCTCTGTTCTGCCCATCTTGCTCAATAATCTATGAGGTAGAAGATTAATGGCTGCACCTCCATCTACCATGACCTTGGGAATAGGAATACCCCCCAAAATTTGCTATTATGAATAGAGGTCTGAGGTGATTGGCCATCTCTTTTGTTGGTTTGGAGAAGCAAAGCTCTTCTGCAGCTAGTTTCATGGCAGTTCTGCTTGTCTTCGCAGTAGGTATTTGCTATTCTGGTGCCTCCTCTACTTCTGTTAACCTGTACTCAAAACTTTCCTGGGAGAACACGTCTCCCTCCAGAGTATTTTCTTGTCCTTCTGCCGCCATGAACTTCTCTGGCAAGATGAACACCATGTTAATTCCTAGATCACCCTGCAACAAGCTTTCCAATTCTGCACCAAAAGCCTCAGTTTCTTCATCTAGTTCTCCATCATACTCCATATGTTCTTCCCCATACTCTTATGTCCAGTTTTCCTCTCCTCCTGTTTCGAGGAGTCCAATCTGGTCATCTGCAGATGGTTCATAGTCTAACTGCTCCTCTTCATACTCTTCAGTCCAGTCTTCTTGTTCTTCTATTGGAATAGGTTCGAATTCACCTTGTGCTTGTGAAGGCTCAAGCTGATTGACTGAGCATGAGGCAAGATGGATAGAAGGTCTGCCTAGAGATTCTGATTTTACCAGCTTTTGTGGCTAGCAGGTTGTTTGTTTTGTCTGATGAAGTACTTCCAGATTCTTCCTCTTTCTGGCAGAACTGGTCTCTGGAAGTACCTATGTATCATCCTTATTCTTGAGGAATGTGCAGTACTGCCTTTGGACCCTCATCTTCTGAGTTCTGGTTAACTCCAAAGTTGGCCTACCACTTTTTCCCACAGAATATCATCTGCCTTCTATGATAGTTGTCAAGGGCTTTCCATTCCTGGGCATCTTAATTGGTATTTCCTTCTTAGGATGCTTTGTCTCTCTTCTGCTATGTTGAGCATGCCTTAGATAATCCTTATGCCTGGCTCTGTATTTAGATAGAGCCGGAATCGGGGCTTGTGGATATAATGTCCCAATTCTGTCAAAAACACTAGGTGTGGGCCGTTTTTGCCTGTCCAGAGTTATTTCTAACTCACTCTCACACTTGCATTTGTTGCACAATACTACCCCAGACGAGATAGTTGCCTTTGGCCTTTGATTAGCTTCTCTTGTGACTCTTCCGCCTCTGCTGGTGCTAGCTTCTTTTGCTAATTTGCCTCTCTTCTGTTCTTTTGCTAGTTGCCTTTGGCCTTTGATTAGCTTCTTTAGGTTGACCATGTTGACTTGAGGTTGGGGAAAGGGATCTGTTGTAATTGTTGGAGGTTTCTCTGCTAATTTTAATCTTCCTGCTGTTATTCCTTCCTGTATGACATCCCTAAAAACAACACAACTACTAGTGGAATGGTTCCAAGAGTTGTACCACCTACAATATTGTCTGCCCTTGAGTTCCTCTGGTTTGGCCAACCTGTGGGGTGTCTCTATTGCTTTATGTAGCAGCATCTCATTAAACAAAGCATCCATCTTGGTCAGATCGAAGGAATAGACCTTGTTCTGTGTTGGTTTGTTTGGAACAAACCCTCATGTGAATGGTGGTGGCTTCTGGTCTTTCGGTGGCTTCGTAAGAGCCTTGCAGCTGATGGGATGTTTCAGTTTTGCCGTTCTTGCCACTACAATTTCTCTTTCCTCTGAGCCTTCTATGTCTTCTTCAGATTCTACCTCAACTAGGTGTATCGAAGAGGAAGGGGTTTTGTAGTATGTGCCTTTGGAAGAGTTCTTCTTCTATTGTTCTTCTTTGAGCAGCTCCTCATATTTGGATGTTTTATCAGCCAGTTTTGCCAGATCTCCAAACAGCATCCCGTCAAATCTTTTTCTCAGAGAGATTTTAAGGGCGGCTTGAGCCATTTAGATAAAGTGTCTTTCTTTCATAGGGATCCGGCACTTCATTTTGAGCTTTCTGAATCTAGTTATGAAGTCTTGGGAAGGTTCATCTTCACTCTGTTTGAGGGCAGCAAGATCACTGATGGTGACTTCTGGTTGGATCCTGAAATAGTAGTCATGGAAAACGTTTTCCATTTGCTCCCAGGTTTGAACAGTATTGGCTGGTAGGCTAGTGTACTAGGTGAAAGCTTGTTAAGAGAGAGAATTTCCAAAAAGCCTTAACTTTAACAGGGGTTATTTTCTATGGCTATGCACTGGACAAAGAACCTGCCTATATGTTCGACTGATGAGGCATGGGGATCTTCTCCGTTGAACAAGGTGAAGTTTGGCACCTTGAAACCTGGTGATAAAGGTATTTGATCAATGTAAGGCGATATGGCTTTCTGTAGGTGGGCCTTTCTCCACTTCTGGCTTTGGGCTCCATCATCTCCCTGATTATTCTCTGTAGTGCCCCCATGTCATTCAAGGAGTTGAGAGAGTGTAGATTTCGTCCCTGTTCCGGCTGGGCGTGGTCAATCTCGTGCTCCATCTTGTATGGCCTAGGCAGACCTTCCTCCCTGTGTTCTTCTTCTTCAAAATCTGGATGATTCCTCCAGTTTGCCCTTGGTTTGTTCCTATCATTGTTGGCAAAGGGGTTGATTCCCCCTCTGCCTCTCGCTGAGGGAGGGAATGGATTGGGATTCATCCTTCTGGGTCTGTAGGGCAACACAGCAGGCAGAAGTGCCAAGGGTTGATCACGTAGGGCCACGGGTTGTGGAATAAGTGGAGGTTTTGGCTGATTTTGTGGAACCTAAACTGGTGCTGGACCTTCTGGCCAAACTGGCCCCTCATGCTCTTGAATGGGAAGGGCTCCTCCCCTCTGTCTAGCTTGGATCTCTCCATGCCCTAGTATTCTAGCTATCTGTGCGATGAGAGGGTTCTCCTGATATGGCCATGCCAATACTAGTGGGGGATCGTTAGGGAGATCTAGCTGCTGGACAACAACATTTGGGTTTGGAATTCTTGCCATGGCCGCCTCACGGTCCTTCCTGAACTGTCTGTTAACTTGCCATTGCATCATGGCTGTCATGTTGTTCAGAGTATCCTGGCTCCTTTGTGCTATAGCCTCCTGTCGGAATACAGCTTCCTGTATTTGATTCAACCTCCTGGAGCTAGCCCTGGAACGTCTGCTTCCGGTACTACCATGAGTTGAGTGTCTGGTATCACTTTCTTCCGACTCCAATCCTTCTCGAAGAACTACCTGATCTCTTTCCATGGCGTGGCGTGGGTTCTGGCTAGAGCTTCTAATATTCATATACTTTAGAGAATTTCTATCGGAGTATGTATAATGAGAAGTCCCACCGGGCGTGCCAAATTGTTCACCTGTTTTGTGTTTGTACCTGTGATGGTAGGGTAAAGTTCCCCATTGTCTTGAAAACCATTGACTGGTCAACAAGTCAACTTCATTTAGTGTGCGAGCGTGCCACTGCTAGCAATAACAATTCTAGTAGACTGCTTAAAAATAGATAACTTACGACCCAAGTTACTGATTTCTAAATAAGTGATTGTGAATTTGGGTGAGTAATATCTCCCAAGTAAGTTCTTTTCTTGCCTCAGACTGGTGAGGACTTCATAATTTATCTTAGTACAAAATTGGTAGTTCTGGCCAGAATAAATGATAATAAGGTGGATTGTTTTAGGAAGAAATGCCTTTTACAAAACTAGAAAGGAAAAAAAAATCAACTCCAGAAAGACAAAAAGAAAGCTGGAATTCCATTTCTGCCTATATGGAATTCTCTGATCTGGGCTGGACTGGGTATGTCCGTGCTAGACTGAACTGTCAACAACTTCAACTGCTAAGCTTCAGCTGTAAATCGATACCAAAGTTTTGAGTTTGGCAGAGCTTTAATCTATTTCAAGCCTTGGAAGGCTTTTTGAACAGGCAGGACTTGAGGATTGCTGAGTCGGAATGGCACTATGGTACCTGTTCTGCTTGGTCAGGGCTCTCCATAAATTTGTTGAGGTTTTCATATTTGTGAAAACTCAAACTCTGCTTGTTTTGGCTTTTGCTGAACCAAATTTGTAACGAGAGGAATCTCGTTTTGAATGACTTATTTTTCTAAGTATGAATTTGGAAGTAATAATTTATAGCTGGCTTCTTCTGTGGCTTGAATGAGCTTTTGGTTGCTTCAGTTTATTTGGGGGTTCTCAAGGATCAAGTGATCATTTTGAGTTCTTGTCTTGGGTTGAGTTTTTGATTGTTTGATTGACTGTTTTTGTGTTGTCGTTTGCTCTGTTCACCCTCTCTTCTATTTATAAGAAATGCTGGAGTAGGGTTTCTGATTGTTTTAATAATGGGCGGCAAAAAATTCTCAAAAGATCTTTCATTTTTAAATGAAAAGAAAGAAATGGGTTTTATCAATTCTGGCAGATAAACCCTCAACAATCAATTCCTATGGCAGTCACTTCCCTATATTTTTTGAAAGGAAACCTAACCTTCCAATTCAACTGCCCTTTGTAAGAGCTCAAACTGTGATGGTTAGTTTTGATTTTCCAGTTTGAACAACTCCCTGTTTTTTGGTTATTTCTTTGAGATTGTAGTGTGCTTATCTTTTGGAAGTATCACATGCTCTGACGCAAAATTGTAAAAAAGGATTATGATCTTTTAGCCCCAGAGTTTCAAAGAAGTCTTTTGCTAATGACCTGCTTTCATTTAATTCCCAATCAACTTTTTGTGATAGTTGAATTTGTTGACTTTTTCAAGTCAGATAGTCACGTGGGTTCTGAGGATAGGCTCTCTAAAAGATCTTTGCTGATTTTGCATTCTGGGTTTTGAGAATAGTGGTGGGCCAGAAGTTGGGCCCCATTTAATTTTTCTTTCAATTTTTTGCTGACTTGCTTCAATGGTTGATTGCTATTTTGTAAAAATCATGGGCCTTCTGATTTGGTTTTGGGCTTTCTCTATTTTTTGAATCAAAGCCCAATCCTTCGTCTTTTTGTTTTGTGGGCCTTTGTGGGAAGTGGGCTGTCGTGTGATTTCTTTTGGCCCAAACAGTAGGATTTTTGTGACAGTCCAAGTACCCCATTCTTTCGATCTCTGCTTATATCTATGCCTAAAACATATGATGCCTCAGCTAGATCAGTCATTTCAAAGTTCTTAGATAGGAAACTCTTGCAGTCATGTAACATGGTGAGGTTTGTGCAGGCTAGTAAAATGTCATCCACATACAGAACTAGTATAATGAAATGTCTCTCACTCATCTTCATGTATATGCATTCATCTAGAACATTCTCAACAAAACCAAAATCTTTCACTATCTTGTTGAACTTTAGGTACCACTGTCTAGAAGCTTGTTTTAATCCGTAGATCGATTTGCATAGCTTGCAGACCAAACTTTTTCCCCCTTCTTGAAAAAATCCTTCAGGTTGTACCATGTATATTTCTTCTTCCAAATCTCCATTTAGGAAAGCTGTTTTGACATCCATCTGGTCCAAGTGGAGGTCAAAATGTGCTACAAGGGCCATGATAACCCTTAATGAATCTTTGGTTGAGACTGGTGAGAAAGTTTCATTTAAATCTATTCCTTCTTTCTGTGTGAATCCCTTCGCAACCAATCTTGCCTTATACCTGTCTATCTGCCCTTTTGAGTCCAACTTCGTTTTATATACCCACTTACAACCAATTGGTTTGCAACCTTGAGGTAAAGTCACAAGCTTCCAGACTCCATTTTTCTCCATTGAATTCAGTTCTGATTTCATTGCTGCAAACCAATTTTCCTTCTTTTCACTTGTCATGGCCTGTTTGAAGGTTGCAGGATCTTCAGTGGTATTCACATCATGTTCTGCTCCCTGCAAGTACACAAAATAATCATCTCCTAAGGCAGGTTTTCTTTGCCTTTGTGATCTTCTTAGTTCCATGTTTGGTTATGGATCTTATACTTCTTGTGCTTGAGCCATAATCTGGTTTTCTGCTGGCAGTGCTTGATTGTCATTTAATTCCATTGGTTCTGCAGTTTCAGGTCCATTTGCATTGGTCTCCTCAGTGTGTACTAGCTGAGTATTGCTTGAATCAAATTGAGGTAGTCTGACAATATCTTCATTCGAAACCTGTGACATGTCATGGTTCAAGGTTATTTCTTCAAAACTGAAACTTTCTTCCTCATCTCTTTCTTAGTCAGTTGTTATAAAGATTGCTCTTGAGGTTTCTATGAATCTGGTAGTGTGTTGGGGCCAGTAAAATCTATATCCCTTTGTTCTTTCAGGAGAGCCAACAAAATAACAACTTATGGTTTTTGGATCCAACTTCTTTTCTGCAAGATTGTAAGGTTTTGCTTTTGCTTTACAGCCCTATACTCGCAAATGTTTAATGCTAGGCTTCCTTCCATTCCACACTTCATATGGGATTCTATTTATGCTTTTGGTTGGAATTCTATTTAGAATATAGTTGGTTGTTTTTAAGGCTTCTCCCCAAAGAAAAATTGGCAGATTTGTACAGCTCGTCATACTTTTTATCATGTCTTTCAAGGTCCTATTTCTTCTTTCTGAAATTCCATTTTGTTGAGGTGTACCTGGGTTGGTATACTGAGCTATGATTCCTTCATCTTGAAGAAATTTAGCAAAAGTTCAAGGATTTCTTCCAATCTCATCAACCCTTCCATAGTACTCTCCTCCTCTATCAAATCGAACCACCTTTATTTTCAAGTTTAACTGGTTTTCTACTTCACCCTTATAGATTTTGAACTTGTCCAATGCACTGGATTTCTCTTTAATAAGATACATATATCCGTATCTTGAAAAATCATCTGTAAAGGTTATAAAGTAGTTAAACCCCTCATGAGTTGGATTTGGAAAAGGTCCACATATGTCTGTGTGAATGAGCTCTAGTAAACCTTTGCTCCCCAATGCCCCTTTCTTTCTTAAGTTGGTTAATTTCCCTTTGATACATGAATGCAAACTTCATCTATTTTTTCGTGATTCAATGGTGGTAAGACAGATTCTTTGCACAGTTGTCTTATCGTTTCTTTTGAAACATGTCCAAGTCTCTTATGCCATAATTTGAAGGAAATCTCATTGGTTTTAGTTTGCACAGTGTTTATTTCCATTTCAGTTCTTTTGCAGTTTAATCGAAACATTCCATCAATGAGACTTGCTTTGCCAACTAAATCTTTATTTCTGAAAAATAGAACAACCAGTTTCATCAAAATTCAAACTGAACTTTGATTTTACAAGTCTAGTAACTGAAATCAAACTCTTCTTCATAGAAAGAACATAAACCACTTCATCTAATTCCAAAACAAAACCAAATTCTAGCTTGATTCTAACTATCCCTATGCAATTAAATTGAACTTCTTCTCCATTTTCCACGAACACCTTCACTTCATCCTTGCTTGGCAACCTCTTGCTTGTAAACTCCTGCAAGGAATTAGCCACATGAATAGAAGCACCACTGTCTAACCACCATGAATCACACGAGAAATTAACCAAATTAGATTTGAAACGTACCAAAATCAGATTGTTATTACCTTTTCCCTTCTTCTTTTCCAGCCACTTTTTGTATTTCTTGTAGTCTCTCTTCATATGCCCTGCTTTCTTGCAAAAGAAACAACCCAATCTAGTTGTAGGTTTCAAAGCCTTTTCTGTAATGCTCTCTTTTTCTTTCCCAGTTGCAGTCTTATACGTATTTTCCTTGTTTTGTTTAGTCTGAATCATGTTGACCATCTTGGCTCCCCTTTCTCTTATGATGTTATGCTCTTGTTGGACATAAATAGTAATGAGATCATTCAAAGTCCAATTCTCTTTCTAAGCAATGTAGGTTTCCTTGAGAGATTTAAATTCTTTAGGCAATGAATTCAGTACGAAATGGACCATCATATCCTCATCAACTGTCATCCAGTTCCTGTAGTTTTGTCCCTATGTCAATCAAGTTCATGATATGAGCTCTCACACAACCTTGCCCGTCATATTTCATATCAATCAATTGATTCAACAGGGTACTTTTGACAGCTTTTTCGAATTCCTTAAACCTCAGTGCAATTGCCTCATAGTATTGTTGTGCATTCTTAGATTTAGGAATACTTCCTTTCACTAATGAAGACATAGCCCTTTGCATGATTAACATAGCCATCTTGTTTGCCTTTTCCCATTTGGCAAACTTAGTCTTAGTTCCTGCAGAAGCATCTGTAGCTGGTTCTTGAGGAGGTTTCTCTTTGAGCACAAAATCGTAATCCAGAAAACCTAGAGATATTTCCAGATCCTGTTTCCACTTGCTATAATTCGATCCAGTCAAGGTTTCGATGGAGTTGTGATTCACTATAGAATTTGCAATACAAAGATTAGGTATATTCTATTTCTGGGCTTGTGCGGATGAATAATTGAAGAATTTTGTTGAATTAGCTTGAAGTTGAAGCCTGTGTTGACATGGAACATAGGCCAATAGTAGTAAATTGTAACTATGTACTAAGCTTTTATGCAATAATACTAACCTTGTTCAACCATTGTAGCAGTAGAGTATCTTGATTTCGTCTAGAGTGTCTTCTTCCGTATGCAGCACTTTAGTTTCTCTTTCTCTTAGATAGAGTGAGATCTGATTTGAGAGTGTGTTTGCTGCAAGGGAAGGGACCTCTATTTTATAGATGCATCACTACGAAAGCCTTTCCTATCAAGAAGCATTCGAGTGTCCTTTTTGCATTAGAATAGGTTTGTTTCAATCCATGTTATATTAGGAACCTTTCAATACTTGTGTTTAACTTTAATAAGCTTTGTACAGGTATTATCTCATAAGGATTGAGTTCTATTTCCTAATCAAACCAAAACTCGAGTCCTCTTGGGATTAGAGGATCATCTTTTATGGGCTGAGACAATAAATTGTCTTACATAAATTTGTCTAGAATTAACCATAACCAGGAAGACGTCTAGTTCTAAGTTCTAATTACAGTGAGAGAATGATTTCTTTATGCTTTCACATGCACTACTACAAAAATCGAAATAGACGACGGGAAACCACCGTCGTCTAGAAGGTTTTCCAACCGTCATGAAATCAACAACCATCTTTTGTACAACCAACAACGACGGTTAATAGCCGACGTCGTTAAGTAATTCAACGTCCAGATTTATTACGAACCGATGTGTAATTACTATATAATTAGCGAAAAATGAAATCTTTGACAACATTAGATGACGGTTTTATGAAAACTGAGACATCTAAAGAGTTTTACATGTCAAGATCAAAAGAAGAACTGACATACAGATAATTATCCATGTCCCTAAAAGAAGGAAAAACGACTTGGATAAGCTAGAAACTGTCATGGTTAATTTGTACTACGTTAAACAAACAAAAAAACCGACGTCTAAAACATAAACTACGACATTTACACAAACCAACACACGTTTAAAGAGTATTGCATGTCATTTGGCTCCCAATAATCGCTGTAACATGATTTAACCACGTCCTGCACCTGGCATCACAAACGCTTATGTAATTATCCACGTCGAGAACTTTAATAAAAACCGACGTTGTAAGTATATTCCACGTCTGTTACTTGCGAGACTCATCGTTTAAATTTAACAAAGAAGGCCCTTTGACACAATTAGACGTCACTTTTTCTAAATAACTGACATCTAAAATATTTAAAATGACATAATATTACTCAATATTGACGTACAAAACTATACTCCATGTCGGTTTTAGTCAAAGGATGAAGTTATAAATAGTATTGAAGGCGTGGATAGGAAAATAACCGACGTGGATTATGTACGTGATTAATTATATCACTACGTCTAGAGATCCATTTGGCTGACGTTGTACTTGCTTACCACATCGGTTTTGATTACATAATGACGTGGTTGTCCTTTTAAAATTTGCTTGTTTAACCTGCCTTGACGTATGTATGGTCGGAGACGTCAGTTATTTTAGACTATCCGACAAGCAGAACATCTATCACGATAGTTAATGGAACTAAACGACCTTTATTTCGACCTTTAGACGACGGTTTATTTTAACCAAACCGACTTGATTTCTTTTTCAAATGTCTATTTTTTTGCTTTACAGTCTTTTGCCTTTTTAAAACCCGACGTTGTTTTTATTTTAGACGTTTGTTTTTCTAGTTTTTTTACCGGACCGTCGTACTTTACGGCTTTAACCCAGCTTTTTAATTTTTGATTTGTCGTGCCCAAAGCCTACATATAATGAATATGTGATCAGAATTAAAATGATGTACATAATTATTAATTAGTGTCATACAATTAACTGAATAAGTAATGTCATACATTACAACAATCAATCAATCCATATATCTTCACACCCATCTCTAATATTTTCATTCCCTAACTCACCCACTAGGTCATCAAATGTGTCAACATTTGGTATCCCTCTAGTAAATGGCTCACACTCAATTCTAGTATCACCTAGCACATCATCACCAATAACATCATTATATTCTCTATTAGGCATTGATAACACTACCAACCAACCACGATGCATTGGGTCGTCAACATAAAATACTTGTTTGACTTGAGAAGCCATAACAAATTGGTCATTCCTATGTCCAATTTTACTCAGATCTACAAGGGTAAATCCAAGTTCGTCGACTACAAGGCCCGAAGTGTTATCTATCCAATCACACCTCAAGACTGGGATTCTAAACTTTTGGTAGTCAAGGTCCCAAATTTCTTGAATAACACCATAAAAACCCATATTGGAGACAATAGGGTTTTTATCCTTGGCACTAGCAACTTGCATAGTATGTGCAAGTAAATAAACTCCACTATTTTGAATAGTTCGCACATCATCTTGTGCTTGGTGTTAAATTTAACACCATTAATAAGATAGCTCCTATATGAAGGCACTGCCATGCTTGGACCAGCTGCTAGCCACCTCAAATTTTCTGATACGCCATTATGCTCTTCCCCACTAAGTTCACTTTAAACCTGGAAATTAATCATATATATCTAAATTCAATCTAACATATAGAATGGAAGAAAATTAAAAGTTGAATATGCATGTCATTCAATAACATATATATACCTTAAAGTGGAGCCATTGAATGAAAGTGCTATTGTGCTTATCTTGCAGCCACTTTGTTCTATTTCTAAATTTTGGATAAGTGGTCTTGATGTGGATCATATGTTCCCTACATTGACACAAAAAAATCAAGCATTACGGTCCCTTTTATTCTAGAATAGATAACTTGGGCCCCAAGTCACTGATTTCTATAAACAAATGATTGTGAATTTGGATGAGGAATATCTCTCAAATAAGTTCTTTTCTTGCCTTAGACTGGTGAGGACTTTAACAATTTATCTCAGTAAATAGAGGTTGTTTTGGCCATAATGGTTGATGGAATTTAAGTTGTCTTAGGCAGAACTGCCTTTTACAAAACTATAAAAATAAATACCCATGCTAGAAAGATAAAAAGACAGCTGGAACCCCATTTCTGCCTGGATAGGAGGCTCTGATCTGGGCTGGACTGAACTGTTAACAACTTCAACTACTAAGCTTCAGCTGTAAATCGATACCAAAGGTCAATTTTGACAGAGCTTTAATATACTTCAAGCTTTTGTGAGGCTTTTGAGGGGGCAGAACTGCGGCTTCTTCAGTCTGAAAGGGCATAAGTGGCTGTTCTTGAGGACTTCAGTGGGCTAGAGCCTGCACTGTGAAATTTGTTGAGGTTTTCATGTTTGGGGAAAACCTCAAGCTCTACCTGTCTTGGTTTTTTGCTGAACCAAATTTGTAACGAGAGAAATCTCGTTTTAAATGACTTATTTTCTAAATCTGAACCTTGGGAATTCTGATCTAAAGCTGGTTTCACTTGGAATTTAAGTGAGCCTCTTGTTGATTTTGAGTTGTTCGTTTGGTTGATGATTTGAATGTAGGATTGATTGTCATCTGCCCTGTTCACTCCTTCTTGTATTTATAAGAAATGTTTTCTGGAGTAGGGTGATTCTTTTAATAATGGGCGGCAAATCCTTTTCAAAAGATCTTCCCTTTTTTGTTTAAAATGGAAAGAAAAAGGGGATTTCATCAGTTTTTGGTAGATAGGTTCTCAATAGGCAATCACTTCCCTATTTTTCTTGAAAGAGAACCTAATCTTTTCTTTTAATTTCAACTGCCCCTTGTGAGAGCTCAAAAATCGTGATGGTTAGTCTGATTCCTAGTTTGAACAACTCCCTGTTTCCTGCTTATCTTTTGAAATTATGGCCTGCGTATCACTCTGACAAGATGGTGCCTGCTTTGGAGTGGAGACACTATCCCAGAATATACATAAGAGGGGATTTGATTTCCAACTGGCAGAGTTTTAGAGAAGAAATTTTGCCTGATGGCATTAATTTTCCAATAACTTCTCCTATGACAGTTGCCATTGTTCACTTTTCCTATCTCAGAGATGTCATGGGTTTGTTTCTTGTTTCTGGGCTCCCCTTTTTTTGATAACAACGGGCCTGTTTTTGGAGCCCTAGGCCCAAACAATGCCCCCATTAAGTCTGAAATGTTTTGGAACGGTTTCAGATTTAATGACCTGGCCATTAATTTGCCCGCCAGTTTCTTTCATTAGTTCCTGCCTGCCACGTCTGCCTAGCACGAACTTAGAGTTCGTGGGAAACTGTTCAGTTACTAGCTCTTTACTAGCTAGTCAATATCATATGACACCTTGTCTTCTCCACGTCCCTGTCTTCTCTTTCCACGTTTTCGAGCTTCTTTTAAATGAGATTCAAAACCCATTGTTCCTGTTTGTCCGAAAACCTAGTATTTCAGACCTTTACTCCTTTGAGCTTATCTTCGACAACTCTCTTCCTTGCTAGAAAAGCTGTCTTTCCTTTCCTATCAACTTTCTTTGCTTTTTCAATCAAAACAATCTGAGAAATATCTTCCCCGAAATCCCGTGCTCAATCTTCCTCTATTCCAATTCCTCTAGATTATATTACTGGGACTGGGATTGACAAGCACGCGATAGAGGTCAGGAGCAGGCTCCATCCTTTTGCTAAAAAGAACCTGGATGAGAATGTCCTCCATCTGTTCTAGAATACCTTCGTCTTGGGTCCACATTGGTTTGGTTATGTTCCTCCTGAAATGGTGGGACCTGTTCAAAGATGACGCCGAAGCTCCCCTATGTTTCGAAAGTTCTCCTGCTCTGGCTCCTCATTCTTGGGTTAGCAAGAACTTGAGCCATTCATTCCCATCTAGTGAAGTGAGAAACAGTCCAGTCAAGTGGGCTAACTGGATTGACAGGCTTCTTCCCCGGCTTGGGGCTCACTGGAAGCGGGCTGGTATTTATGACGCCATCTTTCTGTCTAAAACAGTCCATTAACAGGGACGAAAATCTCTTGGCTGCAGCTCTCTGCTTCTGGAATTTTGCCAGCAATACCCTTGATTTTCGTGTGGGGCCGATGTCACCAACCCTGCTGGATATGGCTCAGATCTTTGGATTTAGGCCCCATGGAAGACCTGTTGATGCTATTGGGGACTATCATCGAAGGAAAAACCAAGAAAAGCTGTCCAAGCCTTTCACCATTTCTCCAGCCGTGATCAACCAGAACTGTTCTTTCTCCAATTATCTGAGGAAGTTCAGTGTTGAGAAGGACAAGGATCAGCAACACATGTTGTTCCTCCTGTACTGGCTGAACAGGTTCGTTTTCCCAAATCGTTCCTCAGCAGTTCTGCTTGAGTATAGACACCTGGCAGAGGCTTTACATAATCACACTGACGTCGAACTTGGGCCTACTGTTCTAGCTCATTTGTTCAAGAATCTGCACACTGCCACCCTGGAGAATCCTCTCAATCTGTCTGCCCCTGGCGTGTTCTGGATGATCCAATCTGGCTGCAAGTTTATTTCCCGGAACTGAGGTTTCCGAATATAGTTCTCCCTGAAGACCAAATTCTGGCCCTACCTCTAATGTCAGCAGAAGTGCCCAATAGATCGATTGACGAGTACCTGATGTTCTTCAGACATTGTACTAAGAGGTCTGCAGCGCAGTGGCAGGTGGTGATTAGAAGGACATACCTTGGTTCCAGCCTAGATACCGGCTTTTTGAGAAGGAACCAAAAAGAAGGTAGCCAGAACTGACTTCAGGAAGAAGTTCCTGAGGGTTACCTTGCCCAAAGATCTGCCTCATGGAGGAGGGAAACCTCCAAATTACCATTTGGGGGAAGAAGTCTATCACCCTAATTTCTGTGCAAGACAACTAGGCTGCCCCCAACTATTCCGCTTAAATCATACAGAAGCTGCAATAGGGTTTCTTCCTGGAGGGATGCAGATGACTTGGAGGTCCACAAGGATGCCAGGTGTGCAGTAAGTAAGATCAACAATAGTGCAAATGCCCTTTATCCTTCATGGGAACCGAATTCCTGCAGTTCTGCCGAGTTTGACGCTTGGTTGAAGGCTAGATTCCGTGATCTGCCTGCTTCTAGTACTGCACTTCATGTCCTTTTTAATGGCTGGGACAACTGGACTGTCCATACAGAAGAGGAGACTCATAAATTTATGGTGCAGATCATCAAAGATATCAATATGCAAGTTATAGAAGGTAATTTTTCAATTCTGTCTGTTGCTGTCTATTCTGTCTTTAGTGATGATGCTTATCTTTTATTCTGCCTGTAATCAGATCCTTCTCTGACGAAGAACATTGGCAGCCAATCTGCCCAGAGTGGAGAAGTGATTGGTAAGTTCTCTTGATTTTATGTTCCTCTTATCATTTCTCTGCTAGATTGATCCCTGACTTCTTTTTCCTGTACAGTCACCTCGGTTATTGCTGCTGGGGATCTGGAGCTGCCCTCTTGGGATGGAGAAGAAGAAGAAGAAGAAGAAGATCAGGCAGAACAGACTCATGTTGAGGCCACCTCTTCTGCTAGAAGAAAGAGAAAGGAAACTGCCTAACCTGGGACTCCAGGTATATTTTGACAGTTTTGAGTCCTTCATAATTCTGTTGTGCCATAATTCTCTTTTGTCGTGTCCTTATGACCCATTTTTTGTTTATTACAGTTGGAAGTCCCTCTCCTCCCCCTACTAAGTCAAAAAGACTTAGAAAGAGGATTGTAGAGGAGTATATGGCCTCGGAGGGAACTGGGGCAGATGATGAGCTGAGAGAGGCTTTTGAAGCTGTGGAGCAAGAGAAAGAGCTGGAAGAGCTGGACGAAGTAAGAGAGGGGCCTGAGGAGAAGGTCAAGACAGTGGAAGAATAGGTGAGTTTTGGTTTTCTGACCCTCTCTGCCATCTATCTCTTCTGTTTTCTGACTTCTGCCTATTTGTATGAGGAAATCCCTGCCGAGGTCATAGCAGAGAGCATTGCCTTCGCTCATAAGCAACATGAGAAACATGAGGATATAGGGGCAGGGCTGACTAGTTCAGAGTTGGCCCTGTTTGAGGATCCATGGGCAAAACATTCTACTGCTGTTCCAGCAGCTGAGGAACAAACGGAGCAATCTGCATCCGAGCCTGTGAAGCAGGCAGAACTACCTGCTGCCCCTGAACTAATGGTAATTTTCTTCTCATTTTGTCCATATTTTCCTGCAATTCTGTTCTGTTCTACTTCCTTAATTGTTGTAGTCCTTCCAGGTAGAACTGCCCAGGTCTGCTGGCGTTCTGGCAGTGATGACCAGTCCCTTGAAGCCTCCAATTGTTGCTGTAAGTTTTCATCATATTTTTAGGCTTTTCTTTTTTGTCTCTGCCTGGTTTTGACTTATGCTTTCTTCTGTAGATGCCTATTCATTCCCTTCCAGGTTCATCTGCTATGGCCTCCTTTGCTGATCCAGAACTGGCAGAGTTTGAAACCATGGATTTAGATGCACAACTAGATAGATTGGAGATGCTTAGCTCTCCTGTAGGCAAGGCAAAATCCAAGGCAGTGGAGGAGGCTATAGAGAGGCTGAAGATCTGGCAGTTTACTGAACTGGAGCTGGATGAGGATAAGGAAGCTATTGACCAGCTGATGAAGGATCTGGACCTGCTGCACAGATAGAACATGGCCCCTAAACCTATACTCGAGATGAGCCTTGGTTTGGCAAGGGATGTGCTCAACCTTCATGACCGCTATGAGGATCTCAAGCCCACCTTCAAAACCTCTGAGTTCTGCATGGCCACTCATGAAGCCAACTTGGCTGATTTTGCAAAGCAGAAGGCAGAATTGGATCAAATGGTGGCAGGGTATAAGGAAGCCAAAGCCACTGCAGACAAACTGGAGAAGCAGATTGCAGAGCTTCAAAAACAGCTGGCAGAGTGCAGGGAAGTGCAGAACAGGCTCGGGGCTGGACTGAGCTCCAAGACTAAGGCTACCTTTCTTGTGCAGAGCATGGTTGTAGCTAGAGGTGTCAAACGGGACGGGCCGGCCCAGCACGGCACGAGCCCAGCCCATTTAAATGAGGCACGAGCACGGCACGAGCACGAATATTAATGGGCCGTGCTCGGCACGGCACGAAAACTTGGGCCGGGCTGGGATCAAAAATTGAGGTCCAATGGACCGGGCCGGCCCATGGCCCGACATGGGCCGAGCTTGGCCCGAGCACGCTTCAAGCATGGCACGAGCCCAAGCACAAGCCCAAGCACGGCCCACTTAACATTTTTTTCTTTTTCAAAAATCAAAATGCAATAATTTGACATCTAATGCCATTATTTATATGTTTTTTTAATCATAAATATATATATAATGTCTTTCATTTTAGGGAAATTACTTGGGTCCTTAATTAATTTGCCTTAATTAATTAAACATATCAACTACAAATTAATTAAACAATATTGGACTTAATATCTAATCAGTACATATGACATATATGCTTCTCTTATAATCAAAGTAAGACATTATTTTACATATAAAATAATAAGTTGTTTAAAGATGAAAAGTTGAAGTGGACTTTGTAGAGTTTGACACTTTTTGCCCTCTGCCATTTTCATATTGTTTGGATGTTTGATTGATTAATGTTTTCAAATAGTTCATCATTTCTTACCTCTAATTATATTTTAATGTTTATAATTTGAATTATCTAGTTAAAAAAAAATGAAGTGAAAAAATTCAAATTAAATGGATTGGTTCTTGGGCCCAAGTATGGCACGAGCACGAGCACGGGCACGGCACGAGCCCGGCCCGGCCCGTTCCAATATGGACATGGGCTTTGGGCCGGGCCGGGATCAATAATTTTACTAAATGGGCCGGCACGGCACGGCCCGATAAATTAAATGGGCCGGCCCGGCCCGACACGAAAACGTTAAAAGCACGAGTTTAAATGGGATGGGCCGGCACGGCACTGCCCGTTTGACACCTCTAGTTGTAGCTTCCAGGCCAGCCCTGGAGATTGCAGAGGCTTCAAAAGGAACTCTCCATTAAGAAGACCAACTTGCAAGAAACCCTCAAGAAATTAGGATTCTGATTCTGTTATTTATTTACCCTTTTAGTTTTTTCTTCATGATGAATAATTTGCCATGCGGAAGGCCTCATGGCTATTTATTTTAAATAAAGTTTATTTTCCTTGTTGCAATTTTCGGGTTTTTAATTTCTTTTGATGAAATAAACAGAAGTACAAAAGGAACAAACTTTAAACAACTTAGAACAAAGATTACTCTAAACAGAAATAAAAGCTTTTTAGTGTTGTCCCTTCTCTATCCCAGGATCTGTTTGTATAGCCTGTGAATCCCACATGGTTGGATAAAACTTCTTTAACCATTTGCCGTTGATTGGGGCTGCATGAATTTCTCCATCTCTATCCTGCAACCTGTATGCCCCCATCCCAAGGATCTAGTTGATTATGAAAGGGCCCTCCCATGTAGGTGACCACTTCCCATAACTAGCCACATGTGTTCCAAGGGGCAAAACTGCTTTCCAGACTATTTCTCCTTCCTCAAAACTCTTGTTCTTTATTCTTTTGTTGTAGGCCCTTGACACAGCTTGCTTTCCTGCGAGTAGTTTTCTCCTACCAATTCTGCTTGCATCCAATCCTTCCAATTCTAGCAGCATGGCCTGAGAGTAGTTTTCTCCTACCAAATCATGTTGGTGAGCAATTCTGAGGGACTGAACAACTATTCCATAGGTAGAATTGCATCATGACCATAGGTTAATGCATAGGGGGTCATGCCAGTTGCTTCTCTCTTTGAAGTTCTATATGCCCACAGAGTTTCTGACAACTTCTCATGCCACTGCTTTGGATTCTTCTCAAGCATTTTTCTAATAATGTTGATGATTACCTTGTTGCTTGATTCTGCCTGCCCATTGGCTTGAGCATAATAAGGAGTGGATTAAAGCAGTCTGAATTTGAATGCCTCTGCCATATCCAGCATTCCTCCTGATATGAAAGAGGATCCCCTGTCAGTTGTGATTGATTCTGGGATGCCAAATCTCTGTATAATATGCTCTTCTATGAAAGTGATGATCTCTTGAGATGTAGTAGATTTAACAGGCTTGGCTTCTACCCATTTAGTGAAGTAGTCTGTAGCAACAATGATAAAACAGTGATGCTGACTACTGGCTGGATAGATCTTGCTAATGAGATTCATTGCCCATCCTCTAAAAGGCCATGGCTTTACCACTAGATTCATGGGAACTGAAGGAGCCTGCTGGATTGGGCCATGCCTTTGACAAGACTCACATCCCTTAGAATAGTCAATGCAATCTTTCATCATGATTGGCCAGAAGTAGACATACCTTCTGATCAACCAGCACATTTTCCTTCCACCTTGATGAGCTCCACAGATTCCTTCATGAGTTTCCCCCATGACTTTCACATATTCTTTCTTTCCAAGGCACCTTAAAAGTACCTCATCCTTACTCTTTCGGACCAAATCTTCATTCCACATAAGGTAGTTCAAAGCCATGATTCTAACTCTCTTCTCAGAGGGCAGGGTTGGATATCGTAAGTAAGTCATGATAGGATTTCTCCAATCTTCTTCAGTGATTATGGCAGAATTGACATCTATTTCCATTCCCCTGGTCAAAACAGATGGTAGGCTTTTCTTCCCTATCTTGATGATCCTTTGTACACAATCTTCAGGCATTTGTATGCCTGTTGCTACCTGAGCCAATTCAATGGCTGCAAAGTTTTCTTCCCTTGGGATATGCTCCCAAGTAGCTTCTCTGAATTCTGTCAGAAGACTCCTAGCTACCACCAAGTAGACAGCTAGAGAATGACTTAGGCACTTGTATTCCCCAGCAATCTGTTTCAAGACAAGCATGGAATCTCCTAAAATTTCCACATATTGGATTCCTAGTTCTACCAGCATTTCTAGGCCTATGATTAGAGCCTCATATTCTGCTCTGTTGTTGGTGCACTGGAAATCCAATTGGAAAGAGTAGCAGTATCTGATTCCAAGCGGTTCTTCCAAAACAATTCCTGCCCCAGAAGCTATGTCAGTCTTTGACCCATCAAAGTATAGCTTCCAAGGTGTGAGATGAACTGAATAGATAGGATTGCTTAGGCAGGTATGAGCTCTTGTCAATAGATCTGCACTTGCTATATCCAAAGAGTCCATATTTTCAATTTCTTCTCCTGGATGGTCTTCTAGGAAGTCTGCCACTGCTTGTCTCTTGACAGCTTTCTGGGGAACATATCTGAAGGCAAATTCTGTCAAGGCCAGAGTCCATTTTCCAATCCTGCCTCTCACATTGGTCTTGTTAGCATGTACTTGATTAGATTTGTCTTGGCAATGATGTAGATGGTATATGGCAGCATGTAGTGTCTGAGTTTCACAGCAGTGAAGTACAAGGCTAGGCAAAGTCTTTCAATTGCAGAATATTTTCTTTCCACCTCTATCAGAGTTCTGCTCAGGTACTAGACTACCTGTTCCTTTCCTTCCTTGTTGTCTTGAACTAACAGACTCCCAATGGATACCTCTGATGCAGATACATAGAGCTTGAGTGGTCTGCCTCTCTTCGGTGGGGACAGAACTGGTGGATTTAAGAGGTAATGCTTGATTTCCTCAAAAGCTTGTTGGTGCTGTTCTTCCCACTTGAAGGTCTGTTCTTGTTTCAATTTTAACAAAGAGGAGAAAGGCTGGATCTTCCCTGCAGAGTTGGATATGAATTTCCTTAGAAAATTAATTTTTCCTAAGAGACTCTGCAACTCTTTCTTGTTCCTAGGCGGTAGAGCTTCTATGATGGACTTTGCTTTGTTCTTGTCGATTTCTATGCCCCTCTGGTGAACCAAGAATCCTAGGAAATTTCCTGTTTGAACTCCAAAAACACATTTCTTTGGGTTCATCTTTAGTTTATGCTGCCTCATTCTTAGGAATGCCCTCCTTAGATTTGGTATGTGGTTTCCCTCTTCTGTGGATTTAATCACCACATCATCGATATACACTTCCAAAGAATGCCCTATCATATCATGGAACATAGAATTCATTGCCCTTTGATAAGTAGCTCCTGCATATCTGAAACCAAAAAGCATTACAGTGTACTCAAAAGTACCTATGTGTCCTGGACACATGAAGGCTGTCTTGTGGATGTCTTCTTCTGCCACCATGATCTGATTGTAACCTGCATTGCCATCCATAAAAGATAACATCTGGTTGTGAGCGGCTCCATCTACTAGCAAGTCTGCCATTGGCATAGGGTACTCATCCTTGGGAGAAGCTTCATTCAGATTTCTGTAATCCACACAGATTCTGACTACCCCGGTTTTTCTTTTCATAACAGGTACAATATTAGCTAGCCAATCAGCATAGATGGCTGGTCTGATGAATCCTGCCTTGAGCAACCTTTCTATTTCTTCTTTGACCTTCAGTTCTGTGTCCATGGACATTCTTCTTCTGGCATGTTTGACTGGAAGGTATCCCTCTTTGATTGGCAACTTGTGCTCCACCAATTCCCTGTCTAATCTTGACATTTCATGATAATGTCAAGCAATCTCTGAATTCCTGCAAAAAGGCAATGAGCTCACTCTTAAGTGGCTCTTTCAACAGTGCGCTAATAAAAGTAGGCCTTGGATCCTCTTATGTCCCTAAGTTTATTTCCTGTAAAAGATCCTCAACTTCTGGCAGAGAGTCATCCAGTGCTGCTGGCGCAAAATCTAATACTTCCTCCTGTAACTCTTCTTCCTCTTGGTCTTCTGTGCTTTCATGAGTGAATTCTGCCATATTGATGGTTGGATTCTGCATGAAGAGCTTCCTTTCCTCCTAATATATCAACAATCTTTTTGTAATGGATCGGATTGTTGCAGCTCGATCCTTCTCCTGTTGATTGGGACTAAACATCAGAGTTCTGGAAGTTTAGAACAAAAGGTCTATTCCAGTCCTCTAAGGAACTGGTTAGACCATCTTCAATGAGCCTCTGGGCCTTCACACCATAAGGGCTGCCATTCTAGTTGACTCCAAGGAAGGAGAAAGGACCAAGGTCATCATGATAGTACCTTGCCTCAAAACACATGGCAAAAGGCAGAAATGGCCGTGGATCGGCCTCTACTATCTCTATGTAACCCTCTTCATTCCATAAAGCTAACTGTTGATGAAGAGTGGAAGGAACACAAAGACTCTGATGAATCCAGTCTCTGCCAAGCAGTGCATTGTAAGTGGTAGAAGTAGTGTCCACCACAAATAATGCAATCTTCAGCTTCTTGCTTCCAACTATAACATCCACATCTAAGATCCCATGAGTTTTGGTGATGCCCCCTGCGAAGTTGGTGACAGTCAAGCGTGTTGGAATCAAATCCCTCTCTGTTCTGCCCATTTTGCTCAGCATTCTATGAGGCAGAAGATTAATTGTTGCTCCCCCATCTATCATGATTTTGTAAATAGGAACACCCCCAAAGTTTGCTGTTATGAACAAGGGTCTAAGGTGATTGGTCATCTCTTTGGTTGGTTTGGAGAAGCAAAGCTGCTCTATAGCCAGCTTGTTGGCAGTTCCTTCTGTCCTGGAATTGCTTGCTTGCTGTTCTGGTGTCTCTTCTGCTTCTACCAACCTGCATTCAAAACTCTTCTGGGAAAACACATCTCCCTCCATAGTGGTTTCTTGCCCTTCTGCAGGATGAACACCATTTTGATGCCTAGGTCACCTTATAATAGGTCCTCCAATTCCGCACCAAAAGCCTCAGCTTCTGCATCCAATTTTCCGTCATACTCCATCTGTTCCTCCTCGTATTCCTCTGTCTAGTCTCCCTGTTCTCCTGCTCCGAGGACTGCATTCTGGTCATCTATAGATGGCTCATAACCTAACTACTCTTCTTCATATTCCTCAGTCCAGTCTTCTTGTCCTTCTACTGGAATAGGATCGGATTTTCCCTGTGGTTGTGGAGTTTTAAGTTGATTTCCTGAGATGGAGGAAGGATGGATAGAAGGTTTCCCTAAAGATTCTGCTTTCATAGGCTTCTGTGGCTGGGAGATTGCTTGTTCTGTCTGAGGAAGCATTTCTGGCTCTTTCCCTTTGCTGGTAGAATTGGTCTCTGGAAGTATCTACGCATTACTCTTGTTATTGAGGAATGTGCAGTACTGCCTTTAAACCCTCCTCTTTTGAGTTCTTGTTAGCTTCATAGTTGGTCTGCCATTCTTCCCGACAGAATACCACATGCCTTCTATGATAGCTGCCAGAGGTTTCTCATTTTCGAACATTTTTACTGATATTTCTTCCTTGGGCTGTTTAGTCATTCTCCTGCTGCGTCGGACAGGCCTGGGATAGTCTTTCTGCCCGACTCCATCATGGAATGTGGTTCCAATCCGGTCAAAAACACTCGGAGTGGGCTGGTTCTGTCTGTCCAGGACTACTTCTAGCTCAGCTTCACATTTGCACTTGCTGTAGAGCACTACCCCAGCTGAGATAGTTGCCTTTGGTCTTTCAATAGTCTCCCTTGAAACTATTCTGCCTTTGCTGGAGCTAGCTTCTGTCGCTGGTCTGTTCCTCTTCTGTTATGGCCAATTTAAGTTGACCATGTTGACTTGCAATGGGGGAAAAGGGTCTATTGTGACAAATTGAGGTTTCTCTGCCAGTTTCAGCCTTCCTGCTGTTATCCCTTCCTGTATGACGTCTCTGAAAACAACACAACTATTGGTAGAATGATTCCAAGAATTGTGTCATCTGCAATACTGTCTGCCCTTGAGTTCTTCTAACTTAGGCATCCTGTGGGGTGTCTCTATTGCTTTTTGTAGCAACATTTCATCAAACAAAGCATCCACCTTGGTCAGATCAAAGGAATACACCTTGTTCTGTATTGGTTTGTTTGGAACAAACCCTCCTATGAACGGTGGCGGCTTCTGATCTCTTGGAGGCTTTGTAAGAGCCTTACAACTGATGGGGTGCTTCAATTTTGCCATTTCTGCCACCGCAATCTCTCTCTCCTCCAAGCCTTCTGCATCTTCTTCTGACTTTACCTCAATCATATGTATTGAAGAAGAATGGGACTTGTAATATGTGCCTTTGGAAGAGTTTATCCTCTGCTGTTCTTCCCTGAGCAGCTCCTCGTACTTGGATGTTTATCTGCCAGATCTCCAAACAGCATCCCATCAAATCTTTTTCTCAGAGAGATTTTGAGGGCAGCCTGAGCCATCTGGATGAAGTGTCTTTCTTCCATAGGGATCCGACACTTCATTTTGAGCTTCCTGAACCTGGTTATAAATTCTTGAGTAGGTTCATCTTCACTCTGCTTTAGGGCAGCAAGGTCACTGATGGTGACTTCTGGCTGAATCTTGTAATAGTAGTCATGGAAAACATTTTCCATTTGCTCCCAAGTTTGAACAGAATTGGCTGGCAGATTGGTGTACCAAGTGAAAGCTTGTCCAGAGAGAGAATTCCCGAAAAGCCTTAGCTTTAACAGAGGGTTATTCTCTATGGCTATGCACTAGATGGAAAATCTGCCTATGTGCTCAACTGATGAAGCATGGGGATCCTCTCCGTTGAACAAAGTGAAGTTTGGTACTTTGAAACCTAGGGACAAGGGTATCTGATCAATGTAAGCTGATATGGCTTTCTATAGGGAGGAGATTTTGCCCTTCTTCTGGTTGGGCGTAATTAATCATGGGTTCCCCCCTACATGGTCTGGGCAGAACTTCTTCCCTGTGTTCTTCCTGCTCTTCCAGATCTGGGTGATTCCTCCAGTTTGCCCCCGGCCTGTTCTGTCATTGTTAGCAAAAGGGTAGTTTCCCCATCTGCCTCTCCTTCCTCTTGCAGGTGGAGGGAATGGATTGAGATCCATCCTTCTGGGTCTGTAGGGCAACACTGCTGGTGGTTCAGGCAGAAGTGCCAAAGGCTGATCCTGTGGGGCCACAGGTTGTGGAATAGGCTGAGGCTCTGGCTGGTTCTGCTGAATCTGTCCTGGTGTAGGGCCTTCTGGCCGGATTAGGGCCTGACGCTCTTGGACAGGAAGGGCTCCTCCCCTCTGTCCAGCCTGAATTTCCCCACATTCTGGCATCCTAGCTATCTGTGCAATAAGAGAATTCTCTTGATATGGCCATGCCAATCCTGGTGGGGGACCATAGGGAAGGTCTAGCTGCTGGACTACAGCATCCGGATTTGGAATTCTGGCCATGGCAGCCTCAGGATCCTTCCTGAACTGCATGTTGACCTGCCATTGCATCATGGCTGTCATATTATTGAGAGTGTTCTGGCTCCTTTGTGTTGTGACTTCTTGTCGCAACACAGATTCCTGTATCAGGTTCATCCCTTTGGAGCCAGTCCTGGATCGTCTGCTCCCTGTGCTACCATGTGCTGAGTGCCTGGCATCACTTTCCTCTTACTCCAGTCCTTCCCTGAGAGCCACCTGGTTTATCTCCATGGCGTGATGTGGGTTCTGGCTAGAGCTTCCAATATTCATAAACTTGAGAAGAATTCTGTGAGAATATGTATACTGAGAAGTCCCACCGGGCGTGCCAAATTGTTCACCCGTTTTGTGATTTCTCCTGAGATGGAAGGGCAAAGTTCCCCACTGCCTTGAAAACCATTAACTGGTCAACAAGTCAGCTTTCTTTGGTGTATGAGCGTGCCACTGCTAGCAATGAAGATTGTAGCAGACTTATTCTAAAATAGATAACTTGTGCCCCAAGACACTGATTTCTATAAACAAACCATTGTGAATTTGGGTGAGGAATATCTCCCAAGTAAGTTCTTTTCTTGCCTCAGACTGGTGAGGACTTTAACAATTTATCTCAGTAAAAAGAGGTTGTTCTGGCCAAAATGGTTGATGGAATTTAAGTTGTCTTAGGTAGAACTACCTTTTACAAAACTATAAAAATAAATACTCACGCTAGAAAGATAAAAAGACAGCTGGAACCCCATTTCTGCCTAGATGGGAGGCTCTGATCTGGGGGCTAAGCTTCAGCTGTAAATTGATACCAAAGGTCAATTTTGGCAGAGCTTTAATATACTTCAAGATTTTGTGAGGCTTTTGAGTGGGCGGAACTGCGGCTTCTTCAGTCTGAAAGGGCATAAGTGGCTGTTCTTGAGGACTTCAGTGGGCTAGAGACTGCATTGTGAAATTTGTTGAGGTTTTCATGTTTGGGAAAAGCTCAAACTCTACCTGTCTTGGTTTTTTGCTGAACCAAATTTGTAACGAAAGAAATCTCGTTTTAAATGACTTACTTTCTAAGTCTGAACCTTGGGAATTCTGATCTAAAGCTAGTTTCACTTGGAATTCAAGTGAGCCTCTGGTTGATTTTGAGTTGTTTGTTTGGTTGATGATTTGAATGTAGGATTGATTGTCCTCTACCCTGTTCACTCCTTCTTGTATTTATAAGAAATGTTTTCTGGAGTAGGGTAATTCTTTTAATAATGGGCGGCAAATCCTTTTCAAAAGATCTTCCCTTTTTTTGTTTAAAATGGAAAGAAAAAGGGGATTTCATCAGTTTTTGGTAGATAGGTTCTCAATAGGCAATCACTTCCCTATTTTTCTTGAAAGAGAACCTAATCTTTTCTTTTAATTTCAACTGCCCCTTGTGAGAGCTCAAAAATCGTGATGGTTAGTCTGATTCCTAGTTTGAACAAGTCCCTGTTTCTTGCTTATCTTTTGAAATTATAGCCTGCGTATCTCTCTGACAAGATGGTGCCTCCTTTGAAGTGGAGACAATATCCCAGAATATACATAAGAGGGGATTTGATTTCCAACTGGCAGAGTTTTAGAGAATAAATTTTGCCTGATGGCATTAATTTTCCAATCACTTCTCCTATAACAGTTGCCATTGTTGACTTTTCCTATCTCAGAGATGTCACATGGGTTTGTTTCCTGTTTCTAGGCTCCCCTTTTTTTTATCACAACGGGCCTGTTTTTGGAGCCCTAGGGCTGTTTTGCTTTTTGAGGCCCAAGTTCGTTTGTTTGGTTTGATAAGCTTTGGGCTGGGCCTTTCTGGATTTTGGGCTTCTGTTTTCCGTTTTTTCAAAGACCAAACTGTTTGAATTTTGTAGTTTTATTCTGGGCCTCTTTTTGTTGGGCTGGGCGTGCCAAATTTGGCCCAAACAATTACATAGCGAACAAAATAATTTACCAAGTAAACGATAAAAGGCTCGTTTGGTGGGAAAATAAAGCCATTCGTTGAGTAAATTATTCATTTAACGCACATATACATTAGTTATATGGTTCTCAATTACAAAGTTAAACCCTACATTAATTAATTCAATGTGGTTCAAACATTTGAGCATTTTGATATGTAGGTCTTTATTATTTAAGGTAATAGTAGATGAGCAATGTGTTTTCAATTAGTACTGAAATAAAAATAATAATATGACTATACAATCACGCATGATTGAAGAAACTCTGGTATAGGCACCCCAACTAAGATTGCAAACTCAAAATAATAAAAAGATATAAAGCTTGAAAAAACCAAGTCATAAGAATACAAATAAAACTCTTACAAATGAGAGATGAAAAGCTCTCACCAAGGAGAGGTGAAAACTACACAAAGAACCCAAAGAATCTCTGTGACTTATTCCAAACATAAAGAAACCACAAAAAGGATGGTGGTGGAGATCCGACACCGAAACGTAGGTGGAGATCCGACGTTGAGACGCAGTCGCTTGTGATGGTTGGAGAAAAATCATAACAAAACAAAGACAAATAAAGAAAACCTTTTGTCTATGAAAATGAGGGTAAAAGAGAGGGAGGAAGAGAAGAGAGGAGAGGGGGGGAAGGGAGGAAGAACAGTAGCTTCCTCCCCCTCAAAGTGAAAACAACTATAGGAGTGTTTTTTGGAAGAGAAGGGGCTAGGGTTCCATCCTTATTTACTCTTTGTCTAAGGACGTTTAGCGAGCCCATTGTATAATATACTTATATCAAATGAAGGGGATTTTATAATTAAATACTTCTTTCTTCTTTCATATATTGTCATGTATTTTTTTTAACAAGGTACAACAGGGTTTTATTATTATTATTTTGATATGAGGTACAATAGGTTTAATCACATACCAAATAAAACATTTTTTTTATTTATATAATTTTAATTAATTTCTAAATGAAAAAGAAATGTTATACTGATCATCACATATTTATTCTAATTGTTGAATACCATATACTACGATTTATTAACATTACAATTCTACATGGTTTACTAGAAGTATCTTCTTCTTTACAAAAATTTTAAACTTTAAATTATAATTTTTTTCAAATAATTAAAGAAGTTATGTTACCTTTGAAGCAAATTGTTGTTTTGTTTTTTTTGTTTTTTTTGTTTTTTTAATTTGTGATGTGTCAACTTTCAAGCTCTTAGATTGAAGTTAAATGAGGTGTTATGTAGAGAGGAGAAGTCAAGCTCTAAAATTGGATTGAAATAATGAAGTTGCATAACTACTTTGTTTTTTGAGTACAAGTTATTAGGAGAGGAGGGTTTACACAAATATTCATTAGATGTCTGAGAATTTCAAACCTCTACCCACATAGATATAAGTGAAAGAGCTCAATCAATTGAGCTATACTCCACTTGCGACTTTGTTTTTAACCTCTAGAAACTTGAATAAAGAGACTGTTGTAGTAGAGAATTCTTTATTGACAGCAGGGATAAGTTACTTGTGCGATTGGAAGAATATATTTGCTCTTTGTTAAAGTTGTATTCTTTATTATTTTCTCTTCGTGGATTATTATCATCACTATTTTTTTGGTCGAAATTTTTATAATCACTTGTGGACATAAATTGTAGTCATTTGTATTTTTGTACGTATTTGGTGTTTCATGCATCTACTGTCTTGTTATGATTCGTATCTTAGAAAGAGGTGAAGTCTACTCTCACATTTTAATTGAATTTATGATTGAACAAAAAAAAATATTTATAGAAAAACTCTTTCACAATTTTGTTTTGATGAATCTAGTGGAAAACAGTATTGATATGCATACTAGTGGTTTTAGGTCTGTAATCAACCTTGGTAGTGTGTATGTGAAAAGCCGCTCTCCTTGTAGTTTAGACTATCGCTTGTATTCGGAAGAAAGAAAAGTGAACCAAGAACGAATTATTTATAAAAAAAAATTAATTATTACAAGAAATGCAAATAAAGTAGGCTGTGATCACAGATCAAATCTTAGGAATCAATTCAAAAAACAAAAAATGAAAATGAAAATTTGTGTCATCATCAGTGATCACAAACCAAGCAAGAAAACATCTTTTTAGCAAACGACTTGGGAGATGGCGATTCAAGTGAGGTTGCACAGACCACAATCTGAGATTCGTCTGCTCCACCTTCCCTGGCTTTCTCACATTCATCTGAAAATTTCTTAAACGATGCTTCCACATAGTTGACAGCCTT